AAAAATCCACGCGTAATAAAACTTCTCCCCTTAACGAAAGAACTAACTTATATAATAAAGCTAATATAATATTCTTAAAACTCCCGAATACCTAACGACCTTTAGAGCTACCGGCTTTAGTATCTTTTTTAGGGTTATATTTATTCTTTAGATTACTTAACCTAGCCGGAATTAAGGTATTACTAGTTCTATTATTATTAAACCGTATATAATTATTCGAAGCTTAATCTAATAATATCCGGGTTAATAATAACGGGGATAAAGCTTTAAGCCGAAGTAGTTCCTCGTTTAATATTAATCTATATACTTTAACGGAAACGAACGAACCGGTAAGGAATACGAGTAACTCGTTATCGGCTAACTCTACTACGAACGTAACTACCGCGAGTACGAGAGCTACGAAGGAAACGGGTCGGAATTAAGACCTATTTACGTTTAGTAGGAGAGCTATCGTCCTAAGCGAAAGCATCCGTAGTCGCCTATCCGCGTAACGACTCGGTAGTAAGCGGTAATATAGGCTAACGCTATTACTCGGGATAATACTAACGAAATAACTCCTTTATTTCTTCGCGGAAAGCGGTAGTTTAAAGTAATATAATTAAAAAAGCGATTTACGATAAAAGAAAGCTCGGAACTTACTACCTTAGAGTTAGGATCGGTTATTTAAGCGGCGGTAAGCCGTTAAATAAGACGTATAACGCGAAGGTAACTATAATTAATTAACTTTCGACGAAAAGCTTATATAATTCTAAGGGATACTTATAGAGCTACGTAAGAGTAGCTACGCGAATAACGTAAATAACGGTTAATAAAAGCTAGAAATTAAAAATACTTTCTCGTTAAGCGATGCTATATAGCGCTATTAATATACCGATAATAAGGAATATCGTTACGCGGGCCGTATTCCTTAATAATAATAGGAAATAACGAGGCTATATTATTATTAGCTCGGGTAGCTCGACCGATTCCTTTAAACGTAAGCGATAATTTAATAGCTTCTTAGGAGCTAGATCGTATTAAAAGCTCTCGAGGAACGCGAGTAATAAGGATAAAGCTTAATTCGGCTAACTAACGAATAATAATAAAAGTAACGATAGAAACCGTTTCGAATTTAAAAGAATTACCTTTATTAAAAGCTTACTCTTTAAGCGCGAATATAAAAAATAAAACCGAGCTAGGAATAAAAATAAAAACGGCGGTAACGCTAGCGCGATAGCGCTTCCCTAGACTTAATATAATATCGTTAACGATAAACGAGCGATTATTAAGTTATCCGTAACTTAAAAGAAAAAAGAGGCCGCCGGCTTTCGTTAAGCGAATAAGCGTCGGCGCGACGGCGGTAATAATAATAAGGAAATTATCCTCTTCGTTCCGAGCTCCTATAAGAATACCTAATATATATAACGACGGCTTAATAAGTATTCGATATTCGCCGATGATTTCTTTAAGAGCTATTAATACGGCGGCGGCCTAGGCTTTCGAAATAAAAGCGATTATTAGTTCTTATTCGGCTATAATAATAAGCGCCTAACGGAATCCTAGGGTAGCTTAAATAATTACTTTTAAGTCGCTTCCGGAGTCGCCTTTTATAAAGCTATCCGTAGTTTCTATGTCCCGAGGTATAAACTCGGAAGTATTATTATTATTATCTAGCTTTATAGCCCCGTACTCGCGAGTAGCGCGACGGACCTCCTCTCGTTTTAAATCTTTACGTATCTATTTCCGTTTAATATAACGGGTTCGTTACTTACGAGCCTTACCTCTAGAGCTACTTTCCTTACGAATCCGCTTACGAGATACGGCCTCCGGCTTTAATATAACGAGGAAGGTTCTAAGGAGCGAAGGAATACGGCGGGTCATACGACGCTCGAGGAAACGTAGTTCTATAATATTTCATACTATAACTAAACCTCGGTCGGAAATCTAAAGTAAATAATTAATTAAAGGCTTATAACTTATAGTAATTATAATATAAAAGCTAATTTATATATCGATAAATAAATTATTCTTTCATATCGCGGTATATAAAGAGATTATTAATACCGGTATTAAAAGGGAAGCTACTTATAATAACTATCGAGATATATATATTAATCGCGATATCGTAGGTAGAGTTATTTAAGAAAGCGATAATAACGTCGAAGAATATATTACGTCGTTCTTCGGCGGCGCTAGAAGTAATAACTAAAGTAGTTTTAGCGGCCGTAGGAATATCTAGGATAACGATAGCTCCCTTTATTACGGTAGATTAAATAACTAACTCTACGTATTCGGCCGGAGCTTAATCGGGTATAGCGGGATCGTAAGCTCGCTTTTCGACGAATATTTAAGCGTAGTTACGGAATTAATTTATTTTATCGCTTAATATCTTAGCCGCGCTATCGATACTAATAAGGATTTCGTAAGAGTTAGAACGGTCGGATATTCTATCGAATTATTAGCTTCTAATTACTTATACCTATATTAATATTATTAAAACGTAAACTTATCTTACGCTTCGCGCTTATTATATTAATATATAGCTTACGTTAATATACTATTATAAGCTCGTTACGATAGTAAGCGATAATAAGGAAGTACCGTAATTAAAAGATAACTTACTTAAATAAAGTACGCGCGGATAAAGTAATATATAGGTTATATACGTAACCGAGAGCGATAGGGAATTAAAAACGAACGTATCGGATTAGCTCTAGATATGCCTCTATAGAAGAAAAGAGGAAAGGAAAAGAGCTACTACGAAAGAGTAGGAGATTTTTCTCTTATAATATAGGAGCTCGAATATAAGGAGGAGCGTTACCGGGTACTAACCTAGTAAAGCTACGAAAGGATTCGCGTACGATAATAATAATATAAAGCGAAGTAATAAGAGCCCTTACGAACGTATAACGAATACGATAGATATATTTAATTAAGAGCTACGATATATCTCTTTTATTAGGATATTAAGAAAAGCTAATACGATAATTAATTAAGAGGATATTCGGAGCTATTAGGAGTATTATATAAAGACGTAAGTAATTAAAGCGACGAATATATTATATATATTACCCCGGAGAGCTAACGAAGTAAGTAAGGCTCGAACTAACCTAGGTCTTCTATTAGGAGGATAGCTAAGCTAATTATCGCGAGTCCTTCGGCTAAGCTACTATTACTATTTAGCTAAGCCCGCTATCGTAAGCCTAACTAGGGGGTATGTTACGTAAAGAGCCACCTATATATAGCTCCTTACTCCTTCTCTAGTTACTCGCTTACCTAATATAGCTCCTAGCTCCCTATCGTCTATATATAGGTAGCTCGCATCTCCTTTATTCATCTCCTTCCTTCTTAAATAGTTAGTTAATTTACCTTCTTCTTCCCACCTTCCGTTACTCCTAAGAAGCAACCTCAGTGCCTACGTAGCTCTCCCGATCTACGTATCATTTCTTACGTTTTTTATGTTTTTTATTATAAATAAAGTTCGTAAACGTAAAAATAGTTATTAAATAAACTAAGTATATTTATATAAGTTTTCTATATATAATTTTTTACGCTTTCTATATTTTTATTATAAATAAAGTTTGTAGCTCTAAAAATCATTATTAAATAAACTAAGTATACTTCCTATATCTCTCTATCCTCCGGATAGGTTATTATTTTTAGCGTAAACGCTAAAAATAAGCCCGAATTATTCTGCTTCGCAGAATAATTCGGGTCTTATTTTATCAGATAACGCCGATACGGAGAGCAGTCTACATAAGGGCGCGATTTTGCAATACATTCTGTAACTATTAATACTCATAGTTAATACATCGCAATATCATTTAAATGTAGTTTCTCTCATGTCTCTCTGACACCAACACGTCGATGCCTGCATTTTCGGCCCAGAAATACGGGATTCTATAGGCTCCTTTGAGAGCAGACTCAGCTGCCATTTGGTGTAGGTAATTCGCTCGTAGAGCATTTACATCTGTACCCACCAGCCAGGCTTTGGTATCAGTAGGTAAGTTAAGCAGTTGTAAGAGACTGAGGGAAGAGGAGGACAGAGGGTAAGGTGAGGCTTGGGGTAACAACTACCCTACCTGGTAAGCAGAGGGAAAGGAAATCCTATCACAATACAAGAAGTGAAGAATCGACGAGAACATTGCCGTCTGAGAAGGAAAATCAAAACTGAGGGTTTGATACTCAACCTGAGGTATAGTTACTGATTCGGGGGGTAACATGCATTAACTAAGCACTTGCCCGACGCTGCGCTTCAATAGACACAGTTGCGGATCCGAGGGCATCAGTGCCTTACCTACCTAATAAAACGGCAACCTGTAGTGATGCCTTACCTAGGTACTCAATCAAACGGCGGCCTGTGATTGATTTGTCTGTTTACAGCACCTTAGGAGCTGAGCCAATATTCATTATAAAAGGAGCTGTGTATACATTTAAGCTCGTGGATTAACAGTTCTAGGTTCTAGTTATCCTCTCAATTGATCGGCAGTTCAGCTTCAGCTTCTTACGCTTCGTATGTTTAGATGACTGACGCATACTGCTGGCTCGCTTCCTGTTGCTTCGTAGGCAATCACCTAATCATCTCAGCATACGAAACGCAAGAAGCTGAACCTGAGCTGCTGATCAATTAGGAGGATAACTAGGAGCTTAGACCTATTAATTGACAAGCTTATAGATATACCTACAGTGGCTCGTCTCCTAAGGAGCTGTGAACAGTCAATCAACCACAGGCCGTCCCTTGATTACCTAGGTAACAAAGGTGCCTTGGTACCTTAGACCCACAAGCTGACTCAGAGGAAGCTAGGTAGGATAAGATAAGATATGCTGCTTATCTACATACGGGACAATCTACCAAGTCAGGGGATTCAACTTGAGTTCCGTCAACCGCTAAACATCAAGAATTACATCCACACCAGTCAATCCGTTCCCGCTCCCTCACTCCTCCATCTCTCTCCTGACAACTCGCCGGCCTGTCGTCGCGAAACCCGAGACGCGGGCAAATATATCCGCCAACGCAAGCCATGGCGTCGTCAGACCCGCGCTTCACGCCGCAGAACACCACGACGCAGCAGCGGCTGTCGAGCAACACGGTCGGCCTCGTCGCCCTGTCCGACTTCCGCAAGCGCCGCGCCGAGGTCCTCGAGCAGCAGGAGCGCGAGGCTCGCGAGGCCCGCGAGGCCGTCGCCCGAGGGACGCCGCTGGGAGCAGCAGCAGCGGACACGCCGTCGTCGTCGGAACGCGAGCGCACCGCCACCCCTGACGTGCCGAGCGACGCGTCGGGCCCGCGCAAGAAGCCGAAGCAGCAGAAGAAGGGCGACGCGCCCAAGGGGAAGAAGGCGAAGAAGCGAGGCGCGGCGAAGTTGTCCTTTGGGGTCGACGAGGACGAGGACGGGGACGAGGACGGAGGGGATGGGGATAGCGGCGAGGGGGTCAAGAAGAGCGCAAAGGACGACAATAACGACCAGGACAACAACGACGACGATGACGAGGGGGGCAACGGCGGCAATGGGAATACGCGGAAGGATAGGGATAACAAGAAGTCGAAATTCCAGGCGAACGCGTCGGTCTCGATCGTGCCGCGGGTGGTGACCAAGGCGGCGCTGCGGCGGGAGGCGGCGGAGCGGGAGGCGCTGCGGCGCGAGTTCCTGGCGCGGCAGGAGGCGACCAAGGCGGCCGAGATCGCGGTCCCGTTCGTCTTCTACGACGGCACCGACATCCCGGGCGGCGTCGTGCGCGTCCGCAAGGGCGACTTCATCTGGGTCTTCCTCGACAAGAGCCGCAAGGTCGGCGCCGACCTCGGCGTCGGCGAGAAGCCCAACTCGCGCCGCGAGTGGGCGCGCGTCGGCGTCGACGACCTCATGATTGTGCGCGGGAATATCATCATACCTCACGTACGTTCCTTTCTTTTTTTCTTTTTTTGGTTCGGTCTAGCTGGATTCTATATATCCATGTTACAAGACGGGGAGCTACCAGCCGCTGACTCTAGAGGCTATATACATCTAGCATTACGACTTTATGTTCTTCATCATGAACAAGACCATCGGCCCCACCGGCAAGCTGCTCTTCGACTACTCCACCGAGGATCACACCAAGGCAGCGGAATCCCGGTCCGACGCTGCTAAGCCGGCGAAGAAGCCCTTGGCCGTGAGCGACCTCGAGGGTGCTTCCGACGACCCGGCCTTCACCAAGGTAGTCGACCGGCGGTGGTACGAGCGGAACAAGCACATCTACCCGGCCAGCGTCTGGCAGCAGTTCGACCCGGAGAAGGACTACCAGAACGAAGTGAGGCGCGATACCGGCGGGAACGCCTTCTTCTATTCCTGAGCGGCTACTAGATCCCAGGGGTTATGACGGTCGTCTCGTGCGAATACCCGGGTCTATAGCCGAGCTCGGTTGCCGAGTGTATATCGGATTGGTCCTTGCTCCAAAATTAGGGTACTGGGGCGAAAATAGCGAACGTTGTCGCCGAAGGACGGCATGCTCACCCGCGGGACATGCAACAACGCTCAACCAACGGACAATCGCGTCGCCAGGGCGATCAGCCCTAGCACCCACCAGCCCGGCCAGAACAGCACTAGGAACAGAGCATTGCCCGAGCCTAGTAGGAGGGCGACGAACTCGAATACGACCTTCCTCCTCAACGCCATTACCGGCTTGGACCTCCATACCGCCTTCGCTAGCACGGCAGCGCGTACCGCCGCGGCGCAGGCGTGGACGGCCACGCTCCAGCTCGTCAGGGCGGCCTGCCAGGCGAGCCAGCAGACTTGCGCGCACAGGAACAGGGAGGCGACGCCGAGGAGGCGCTGGCATCGCAGGGCGGCGGCCAGGGTGGGGCCCAGGAGGGCGGTGGTGGTGGCGGCGGCGGCAGCGCGGAACTCTCTGGTCGGAGGCGCGATAATGGCCATCTTTGGGGGGCCCATGGTGTTTCTAGCGACACAGGCGCAGTCTGTCTACCGGTGCGACTCCTTGCGTGTCTCTGCGTCTCTTTGTCTCCGAACTTGGTCTCTGAACTGGGTGACGGTCCGATATCAAGTTTTACGAGGGGAGTGTGCAGCAGGGGAGGGTAAGGGTAAAGGAGGGGAGGTGGTGAAACCTGTCAGGCTTCTAACGGAAGGACGGGTAGCTCTTATGTACCTAGCACACCATGTCGCCGTCTTACCTTGAAAGAATATACTAGCTGTTAGGATACGTGCGAAGAAGGGAGGAGAGGGGAGGAGGAGAGAAGAGGAGGAGAAGTAAGAGCCGAACGGCATCGGAACGCTCGGTCACGAGCACGTACAGACCGGCCGGCCAGCCAGCCAGCCAGCCAACCAACCAGCACACATGCGGATATCAACTGTTGCTTGCGCTCGCCCGTACTACGTAGGTGCCTCCTCTGGTGCGCACCTCAGGTACCTTCTACCTACCTGGATGGAGGGCAGATCAGTACGAGTAGATCAGGTCCCTGGACCAAGGGCTATATCATAGATGCGTGCAGATGCCCCGGTGCCGTCGCGGCCTGTCTGCAGGCGGTCCAATGAGGCCCGCGCGATGCGAATCGTGAAAGCTGCGGTGGGCGGGCCGGTGTATGCACGTATCTCGCGCAGGGGATGCGTGCGGTCGACGTGTGCTGCTGTACGCAGACGCACGCATTGCCGCAGCACGAGGGGCAATGCCAGATCTCCCCCCCCCCCCCCTTCCTCCCCCTGCGCGCTCGGAACACACCCCCCTCCCTCCCGTCGCCCACGCCCACGTGCGTCCCGCCATTGGCCGTGAGCGCGGCCGCTGCTTGTCGCCGGCAACGCGGCGCTGCGTACGCGCTATCTCTGCGTATGTTTGTGAACGAGTGGAGGGAGGGAGAGGGAGAGGGGGAGGGGTAGTTTGTGGTTGCTACCGAGGGGAGTGGGGGATCTACGTCGTGTCATGGGTGTGTCTCGGTGCGCAGACACACACACACACACACACACACAGAGAGAGAGAGAGAGAGAGAGAGAGAGAGAGAAGTGTCTCGTGTGTGCGAAGCGGTGCCAATTGCTGCCGCGCCGAGGAGGCAGAGACCTACCTACGTACCTAGCCGACCCAGCGCCGGCTGCCACGGGAGCGAGCGAACGCTGCGAAGCTGAGCGCGTTGCGCGGGCTCGTATAAGGACGCCTGCGAAGAAGAAGACGTAGACACGCAGACGAAGACGGGAGTCCTGCGCGGACGCACACATACATCCCAGCAACTCGATCCGCGGCAGCCAATGGCCCGGAACGTGCGCCGGTGATTGGCCCGGCGGCTAGCCGCGAAGCCGGGATCCCTGGGACGGCCAGACTTGCGATGCTGCGCGTAGCTTCACTCTGACATACGTATCTATATATATACATTGCACATTACACGCGCGGCGGAGGAATAGAGTATACGCCCACCTAGCTGAATGTACCTACCTATAGAACCTGATGGGTACATTCGCAAGCCGTGTGGGGCCTAGCTAGCTAGACCTTGGGTAGTTCTGTAGGGCGGTAGGGAAGCTTGGACAGAGGAGGGAGAGGGAGAGGGGGGGGGCCGGCACACACTGCTAGCATTTTCAAACACGTATTTCCGCCAACACTACGGACCGACACAGGGCGACACGTCCCACGCCGGCCGATCCGCAGTCACCCTAGGCACGGAATCTTCTCGGCTGGCTGCCACGTCGCGGCACGCAGAAGAAAGGAAAAAAAAAAGGGAGGGCAGCGTGTGAAACCGGCTGGACGCCGTGTCCAAACGCGCACGCAAACAACAACTACCCGGGCAGGCATCTAAGCCCCTCGGCTGCATACCGGACCCGAGGCGCCTGTCTATTTTGCTACGTAGCGAGGCAGCTGGCATCTTGCCGCCGGCGCGAGAACGAGTGTCGCCAATGAGGAGGGGGTTATATCCGCAGGAAGAACGCGTTCACGGCCCTGGGCTCGTAGCGAGCGCGCATCCGAGCCTTCGTCCGTGAGCGTCTCCGGTGCCGTCCACCGCCGGTCTGGGTTCGATTCCTCCCTTCTGTGTCTAGGCGACGATATAGGCGCACGTGGCTGTACTACGTATGTAGGTATCCCGAGAGGGCCAAAGACCGCACCCTCCTCATACAAGCGTGAGAGAGGGGGGACGGGGAACCTAACGGACTAACCAGCAGAGGGTCCGCTGGGATTGCTCCCGACCAGGATCACCAGTTCCTCCGCCCGCCACGGCCACGACTACCACCGCCGCCGCCGCCGCCGCCGCCACTGCCACCACCACTACCAAAACCGCCGCCGCCGCCCCCTCCGCCCCGGGCCATCCCCTGGTCGTAGCCGAAGTTCTGGGCCTGGGCGCCGCTGAACCCTTGGCCGGACCCGCCGAAGCTCTGGCCCTGGACGCCGGCGGCGCCGGCGCCGCCCGCGCTCTGCATGCCGGAGAACATGGCCGTCAGCGCGGAGGCGTCCATCTGGCTGGGGTCGAGCCCGGACGCCATCATGTGCTGCATCATGGCCTGCATCTCGGGGGGCATGCCGTCCATGCCGGGCAGGGTCGGGGCCATGGAGCCGCCGGCGCCGGGCATGCCGCCCATCATCATCATCTGCATCTCCTCCATCATCTTGCGGCTGTTCTGGCTGATCGTGTCCTGGCTGTACTCCCCGCGCACGCTCTCCTGCTTCGCCGCGTACAGCGCCCACGTGAACTCGTCGAACCCGTAGTTGAAGTAGTCGCTCAGGTCCGTGCCCGGCTTCCTCCACGGCTTGTCGTTCTCCGGAAGGTCTTTTTGAGGGGGTGGCACGGTCAGTACTAGTGACTAAGAGAGAGAGAGAGAGAGAGAGAGAGAAAGCGGCGACAAACCTTCGTCGATGTTGACTTGCGTGATCGGCTTTCCTGCAGGCTTGTAGATCGGTATCGCGTTCACGTCTACGGTGGACGTCGAGACGGCAGCCAGGTCGGCGCCTGACGTGCCTTTCGCCGGCGCATCCTCCTTCTTAACGGCCGACTTGGTGGCAACATCGGTCGACGCCGATCTCTGAGGTATGTTCCGTATGTCGCTGTATCGCGACTGGCTACTGACCCGGTAAGTATGATGGACGCGAACGCGCAGCCGAGGCCGCGCCGGAGAGCAGGCGTCGAGGGGGAGCTCTTACGTGGGGGGAGGGGGTTTCGAGCCGTCTTTCCGCTCTGTGATGATGTCTATGTCCTGAGCAGATTGCCGTCAGCAGGAAGGGGAGAGAGCGTGGGCCTCGCGGAGAGGTTGCAGCACGTACCGAATCGTCCTCGTCCATGTCGGCGCCTTCGTCTTCTTCCTCGCCTTCTTCGAGATCCCCGTCGTCGTGTTGTTGCTGCTGCTGCTGGTTCTGTTGCTGCGGAGGGGCTTGTGACCCTGAAAAGGCACTGCCGCGGTCGTTGTAATCGCCTACAGGGTCTGCCGGAACTGTGGGCTCTTCCGGAGCGTAGAAGTCATGGTCGTCGATATCCATCGTGGCGTCGCGCGGTCAACGTCGCGCAAGGTGCTGGCTGCGGGCGCGACTCGGAGTGGTGGTTACGGGAGATCAGATTAATCAAACACTAAGCCTCTGTAGGAATATGTCGAGGTCGACTCGGTTGCGAAGGAGGTGGACGGAGGGAGAATCGGTATGGACGGGTTCGGTGGATGGATCGTGTAGGCGTTGAAATGTGTTTAGGTAGAGAGAAAGAAAGTGGGGAGCTGATTGGAGAATTGGGTTCTGCTAAGGGATGAGCCGGTACATGGGTACATACTTGTGCTTGTTCCGATTAGGCAAAGGCTAGAAGGGAGCTATGACCACCATGCTGCAGCTCCTAGGTACCTACCTAGGTAGCTATTCAAGTACCTATGTACATATGCACCCATGTACCCGGAACATGCATATAAGCGATGTTGAGATGAAACATATCTCCGCTACATCCTTATCGCTTATCGAACGCGAGAACGGGGGACGGGACGGGATGTGTACATAGCAACCAAAAACCATCGGAATCCGTGATACTGCCTTTTCTGTCTCTCCATATACCACCCTCTGTCTCCGCCAAATCCAATCCCAACCACACGCACCCACGCCCGTGTTCCATTCCAGCGCGCCCGAACCGAGACAGCATACATTCCTCTCCCTCCACGAACCTCGCCGACACCTGCTCGCACACGACCCTGCTCGCCATGGCCCTAGCAAGGTCCGCGAGCGGCCCCGGCGGCCTGAGCATAAACACGTCGTCCGCCAACTTGTTGTGAGTTCATCGCCCCCGTCCGCCGGCTGTGTGTCTTCTCGAGGGCTGACACCGCATGTCCGACAAAGCGGATCAGGCAGTAACCAACCTGCGCCCGGAGGCCCGTTCGGCAGTGGCCCGTCTGTCACGCCTGCCGGCACCCCACAGCCACCGTCGTTTGGAGGCAGCCTCTTTGGTGGCTCCACGGCTGCGACCTCCCAGCCATCTCAGACAACGACCAGCTTGCTCGGAGGAGGAGGAGGTGCGGGCGCTGGAACGAATACTACCTCTCAACCGCAGCAGCAGGCGGGCAGCCTCTTCGGAAACACACAGCAAACCCAGCCTCAAACCCAACCCCAAGCCCAAACATCCAACCCCGGCTCGCTATTCGGCGGTGGCACGGCCGGTCAAGCGCCGTCTGTAGGTGTTAGTAGCGGTGGGGGACTCTTTAACAGCTCAGCCCGGCCTTCGCAACCAGCACCAGTTACGACTGGGACGACCGGTCTCTTCGGCCAGTCGACGCAGCCGAAGCCCAGTCTCTTGTAGGTCACGGCCCAGCTGTCTCGCCGCGCACCTCTGCTAACGCGTATACGTGTGCGATAGCGGCGGTAGCCTCAGCCAGCCGGCTCAACCCCAACCAAATCCTCTCGCGCAATCCCAGCAACCGCAGGCCGGCTTCGGCCTAGGTGCGTCGCTCGGCCTGGGCCTAACCATGGGCCAGCTATCGAACCAACCGACCGTGCCTGGCGTGCGCATAGACGTCAGCAATCTGAAAGGCACCACGCGGTTCAACGACCTGCAGGAGGACCTGCAGAAGAAGATCGAGCAAGTCGACGTGTTCATCCAGCAGCAGATGCAGAACAAGGACCAGGTCGAGTCCTTCATGCCGGGCCACCGGGAGATGCTCGAGAGCATACCCAACGACGTCGACTTCGTCGAGAGGAAGTACGAGGGCGCGCGGAACGCGCTGCAGTCGGCGGCCCAGGCCATCGACGCGGCGCGCGCGCTCGTCGGCCAGGACGTGGACCACGCGCGGCTGAGCTTCCGCGCGATCGACAACCTGAAGCTGCCGGAGCAGTACCACACGCCGGGCCTGTGGTCGCCGCGGCAGCAGGCGGGCGGCACGGCGGCGAACGCGGAGGCGGACGGCCAGGACCTGGTCGGCTTCTTCTCGCAGGCGGCGGACGAGATGGAGGAGCAGATGCGGCGGTACGACGGCAACATGACCGAGATCGAGATGCACCTGCGCGGCGTCTCGGACGGGCTCGTCGAGGAGCTGCAGAAGGTGATGGCCGCCAAGGGCGGCGCGCCGCCCGGCCCCGACGAGAAGGTGCGCGAGCTCGGCGTCGTCTTCCGCGAGTTCGAGCACGGCATCCTCAAGGTCGCCAGCGACGTCGCCAGCGCCCGCGAGGGCATGACCCGCCTGCAGCTCGGCGAGTTCGCCGCCGCCGACGGCAACCGCAGCGGCGTGTACTAGTGCTATTTCTGGCTTGATAGATGACGGGAGCGTTTACGGCGCGTGCGCGCGCGTGCTCGGCGTTGCTTAGCGTGTAAGATACCCCCAGACAAGGAAAAACAAAGAGGGTTTTTTTATATCTACTAGCCTGGCGTGTCTTCTCTACTCTCGTTTCCCCTTGCAAGGCATCATAACTGAAAAGGGAGACACGGGATTTTCGCTTCCCCGGGGAGACGACTCTCCTAGACGACTTATGGGAGGTCAAATTTATACGAGGGACGGTTCGTAGGTACATCGGTATACTACGGAGGCACAGGGCATTCGAACGGTGTGTTGGGCATCTGACGAGGTATATATATATACATATATATATAGGAATAGATAATCATACGTCGTGTCTGCCGACTCTATCTAAATCGCGGCCCGTGTATATGCGTACGTGACTCCGAAAAGGAACCCGGGAGGGCCGGCGGCGATACGATGCGACCGCGTTCCCGGGCCCCGCCCGAGGAAGAAAGATACAAGAGATGTGCCGCGGCGTAATCCTCAGGGCGGATGCGCGGCCGTCGATGCTGGAGAAGGGAATGTAAATAACACATGGCTCGTCTCGTCGTCTCATCGTGCACTCATCCAGTTCCTTCCCACTTCCTCCCCCCCCTCCACAATCTGCCTCTCGCCCCCTCTCCCCCCTTGTCCCCGTCCACTTATCCTATCCCGTTTCCATCCCCCTCACACCCACCCCCTTCTCCTCCCCCCCTTTACTTACTCAACACACACCTACATACTCAGCACGCGCCAGCGCCAGCCCTCGAGCACGGCGAGGTCGTCGGGGCCGACGTCCTGCTCGCCGCGCTCGACGCGGGCGGCGAGGCGGCGCAGGCGGCGGGAGACGGTGCGCGCGACGCGCAGCGCGACCTCGCCCTGGAAGACGTACAGCGCGGCGAGCACGAAGGCGGCGGCGGCGGCCGCCGCCGCCGCCCCGCGCCCCACCAGCCGCCACAGCCCGCGCAGCCGCGACCCCGTCCACGACCAGCCCGCGCGCGCCCGCAGCCACGCGCGCACCCGCGCCGCCACCGCCCGGCTGCGCGCGAACGCGTGCTCCGTCGCGTTCGCGCGCGGCGCTTGGTGCGCTTGGTGCTGCGGCTGCCGGGGCCGCCGGAAGAGGCGGCGCACGAGCGGGATGATGGCCGCGCTGCGGAGAGGAGAGGCAAAGGTCAGCGGCGCTGCGGTGGAGAGAGGAGAGAAGGGGGAGGGGCGGGGGGGGGGGGGAAGAAGAGACGTACCCGAGCCCGCCGAGCGCCCAGCGCCGCCAGCGCTTGCCCTCGGCGGCGCGCAGCCGCGCGTCGAGCTCGTCGCGCAGCACGCGCAGGTCGGCGAGCGCGACGTCCTGCTGCGCGCGCAGGCGGGGGTCGGCGGCGGCGGCGCCGCCGTAGCGCTGGCGCTGCAGCTCGGCGTAGGCGGCGAGCGAGCGGCCGCAGGCGGCGCGCGGAGAGGACGTCGTGGCCGACGCGCCGCGCAGCAGCGCCGGCTTCACGCCGTCGGCGGCGCGCAGCCGCGGCGGCGACGGGTCCTCCACGAGCCGGATCCCGGCGCCGCTGCCGCTGCTGCTCGGGTCGGTGCGGTGGCGCGTCGGGAGGGCTGCGGACCTGGCCTGGAAGGCGCCGGGCGGCGGGCTGCTCGGCCCGGCGGCGGCGGCGGAGGGCCCCATGCGGGTTGCCTGGCTGGGCTGGTACTCCATCGAGGCGGTTAAGGGGAGGCCGGTATGGCGAGGGTTGGATAGCGAGGTGCGCGGCTACGACCGAGGAGAGAGGACGGCGAGTGGTCCGAGGGAGGGGAGGGCTGGCTACCTGCTCCCGAGACGAGGGCGATGGGGAGGGGCGGAAAGGAGTAGCAGGAGATGAGGTGAGACGAGGTGGAGGGGGAGTATGGCGAATCCCGAGTGATAATAGTATCCCGAGGTAGGGTGAATGTCGGAGATGCCGTGCGGTGTTGTGCCGTGAGGACGTGAGACGGAAAGTTTACTGGTATTGTTTCTTTTTTGCTCCTTATCTTCTATCGTTAGTCGCGTGCTTTTCCGTGCTTTGCTCGTCTCTGGGAACCCTCGGAGACCGGTATGGCAGGCTGGATACTAAGTAGGAGAAGGCGGACTGCGTGATGCCGTAGGAGCGGGTGGCTGGGGCGGGACGGCGGGGTAAGCAAGCAGGTAACGTCAGTTCGGGAATGTCGCCAGGCGTGCACGCAGGGCAGGGCAAGGAGGTGTAAGTGGTAGCATAAGTCACAGAACGGTTGCGGGACCAGGATCAGCCGAGGTGGGTGAGGCGGGTACGCAAGCACGTAGTATCATTAAATACCATCCTTAGTAAGTGCGCGAGCGAGCGGGCGACTGAGACCTGCATGGTTTCATGGAAGAGGAAAGGGAGGGGGAGGAGGGAGGAGGGAGGATGATAAACTGGCCGGTTGGGATCGCCGCCGTCTTGTGTAGCCTTCGCTCGTCGCCCGCGATCCTCTTGGCGGGCGCAGACATGGATAGGGATAATACCTACCACACGCGGGACCGGGGCCGGGACTAGGCTGCTCCTCTCTATGTCTCTGTCTCTCTCTCTCTCTCTCCTCTTTACCCCCCTCACGCCCCCCCTCCTCCCTTCACCCCTTCTTCTTTCTCGTGGATGCATTCTCTTATTAGGTATTAGTTAGGTATTATACATACATACACATGTAGGTAGGTATGGTGAACATGTGCCGCGCACATCGAGAAAGAAAAAAAAGACACACGCATGCGCGCACGGGACCCGGCAGCATCGACGGTAGCGACAGATAGATACCCGAGGGGGCGCATTTGTAGGTAGGTATATGGGTAGCGCTCCGCGTGGCTATGCGTGTTTCTCTTCTCGGGCTGGCGTCGCAGCGCCCGCCCGCTCCCGTCCGCACGCACATCAATGGGGAGATGGACAATGTGCTAGTCGCGCGCGAGAAAACCCGTCGTGTTTTAGCTCGTCGTTGCGCGGAACGGTTGGCTAGGCGGATGCGGGTTGCGACCTCGGTCTCATCACCGAGAGGGTCGATAGTTACTTGGGTCAACGCCTTAGTATCAGCCACCGGCAAGCTGAAAGCGTCGACCAAAGGGGGGGTAGGAGGGCGGAGGAGAGGGGGAGACGGGGGGGCGGAAGGATAGAGAAAACAAGAGAATGGTGATGGGAGCACGAACCCGTTCAGGAGTGAGAGGAGGGAGGAGGGGGTGCGAGTGGTGACGGGCCAGCCATTTCATGATCCTTTTTTTTTTCTTTCCCTCCCGGTCCCTCGGAGTAGAAGCCTAAGGGAGGCCGCCGGGTATCGTCCGTCCATCTGGTTAGGTATATATCCAAAGCTACGTGGGTTGTTCCTATTTCACCTCGTCCCTTACACGTCGCACGTCGCATACATATAGGTATGTGTCAATCTATCTACCTACAAAAATGCTATTTTTGACGCGTCTGGCCAGCCTCGACCGCTAGTGATGCCGTCTCGTTCTGTCCACACCACCCGCTACCACCCGCCGCGCGCCGCCCCTTCGAAGTCTCACCAGTTTCCCGGCTGGCGGATTTCGAGAATGCGAGGCCGTAGGTAGGTAGGTAGGTAGGTAGGTAGGTAGGTAGGTAGGTAGATAGATAGGTAGGTAGATAGGTAGGTAGATATGTTGTTGGTAGTCTTGACGCGAATGCGCCGTCGCTATTCGCCAAAAGCTGCCGTTGCTAGTCAAGGGAGCCGTCATGTGGCAGTGCGATCGCCCGCGGTTCGGCTCAACAGGCTGCGGGGGTGCTAGTTTGCGATTCAGTCGGCCCCGGATGCTCGTCGAGGGCGGAAAAGAAAACTGTCCATCATGACGAGGGAAAGGAGCAGCTTCGGTCTAACATGTCTCTCCCATGCACGCGCTCGATGCATGTAGGCGCCGAATGCATCTCTTTTTTACGAGATCCGATCGTCCCCGGCCACGCAGGCATCCTGGCAACTTGCGCAACGACACGGGATATAGCGACCAGGAGTGGCCAGAGCCCGCGTGCGGCTTGTCTCTGCGGGCAATCTATGGCCTGGGAGACGACCGATCCCGCCTCACTTACACGACACGAGCGGCTTGCCAATTTACCTAGCCGGCGAAAGGGGGGTTTATGGGTAGCAGGCAGGTCAGGCCAAGTGCTTACAGGACCGCGGCAGGGCGCGCTAGTGGTTGCGGTTAAGCCTACGAGGTAAAACGCACAACCCCGGACACCCCGGAAGTGACGGCGGATCGAGGGGCCTTCTTATTGCATGGCCCCCCCGGCACGCCCTCCCAGCCTGCCGCCAGCGACAACAGGAGGCGGTACCGTATTCCCCATGTCGGTAGCGGTACGCAGGAGGGCATGTTCGGAAAAAGAAAGGAGACAAAGAAGGAAATAAATGAATGTGAAAGTTGTCGTTTGGTTTGCCGACCAACCCGACAGGAAGATCGCCCCCCCTCTTCCCGCTCGCTCACTGATGTCAGAGTGATTGATTCTCGGCGCTCCTGCGTCGCGGGCGGTCCTTGGCCCATTTCCTGCTCGACACCCCCCCCGGTTTCGCCGAACACCTTCCAGCGGGTCGATAAGGGGGGCGGGCATGCATCGGACCAACTGGTATAGACGGTCGGATTTGCCCACGCCGCAGGGAGCCGAGAAGAGGTTGCCCCCTTATTGTTGGGTTATGCATCCGGCATGGCGTTTGGTAGGTTGGGAGAGAGGTTGGTTGGAGGGGTGGGGGAAGAAAAAGGGGGGGGGGGGGGAAGAGACGATGCGTCGTGCTACCGTGCTCCGCCCTTCGACTCCAGCGGCTCAGGCTCAGCTTGCCACATCTCGAAAATCCCTTCTCACCTGATCAGGTTACACCCCTTCCCGCCACGGGTACCGTAGACCCGACCCTACGAACACAGCAAGGGCGGGAGCGGCGGAGACGGCGATAATGGGCGCAGGGCGAGACCGGTGTATGCGCGCGCGCGCTAGCGCCAATACCCATCCTTTCTACAATCCTGTGGTCGCTTACTTCCTACCATCGCATCGGGCCGTCGGCTTGGCTAGTATGCCCGTCCTCAGTTGCCTGACAGTCTACCGAGTAGGAGGGCGTGCGGGCGTGTTGGCGTGCACGAATCTCGGCATACAGAAGCCGGGTCGCCCGATTGTAAACCGTCACATACGTACCGAGGTTTGACGCGATGCTAGGCGATCGGCCGCGTTCCATGTATGTGTCGCATCCAGGTATTGTCACAATTAAAAAAAAAAAAAGGTTCGGAGGGGAGGGGGCGGCCGGGCGTGCGGCCGGGCGTGCGTGTCTCGTTAGGTGGTGGTGGTGCCGTAGTATAATATATAGCCAGGCATTCTACACGCGAGGCCTGATACGATCGCGCCGTCATGAGGATCACCACAGAGATCGTTGGGGGGAGGGAAGGGGTGGTCTCGGAGGCGGACGGACACGCGCAGATATGACGGAACCTGCCACTCAATCTGGCGCCCTCGAATCCAGATTAATTACCACCTTCGCACACATACATGTCCTGGCTGGCACGGCTGCGCGGGCTTTGCGGTCTTGGTGGCGCAGGTATTCCCCGAAAGTACCGGTCGGTGCATAGTGCGAGCATCCACGGCCTACCGTGCAGCCCCGGAATTCTCCATCTTATGATTTGGTAGTAGTTTAGGCCGTTATAAGGGGAAGGCGACCGGGGGGGCTAGAAGCTGAGTGGTCGAACAATCTCCTGCAGGCCGAGAGGACAATGAATGGGGGACTCGGACGGGGGAGGGAAAAGGGACGAGAGGTCTGTGTGTGTCGTGACGCCCCAATAAAACAAGTCGTCGGCCGTCCCACGATCTCCCGAGAAGACGACGGACACTCAGCCTCCAGAGCAGCAGCGCACCGATCCCAGACCGGGGGTACCTACAATGTGTACATGGTATTCCGTGGGCGTGGCCCGCTTGTGGGCTTGTGGGCTTGCTTTGTATTCGACCATCCATTTCATCGGCAGCTGGGTAAAGAGCGGAACGGGGGCAACGGGGGCCATATTGTGCGCGCGCACATATAGTATTGATCCTACTCCGGATGAGAATCTGCGACATCCAAGTCCTCGGGATGTTATTCGCTACGTAGAGTCTCGAAAAGCCTTCTGGGTGGGTTTCTTTTTTTGGCTGAAACAATGGTTAACCGCGCATGGTGCCGCGTACACATGTCTAGGCTATTGGGTGATCAGGATTCCTTTTATTCTTCTCGGCCGGGCGAGACGAGGTTCGGCGGCAACGAGTGGGCGTCGCCGCCCCCCCCCTCTCTCCCCTGGTCGGGCTGGGCTGGGAAGGACGGAGTTGTAGAGTTGCAGGATGACATCGCTCGGGTGTTTTTTCTCTGGCTTGGCGGGCATACCCCGTACATACCTGATACCTCCTTTACCAGAGATACGTGCCTAAGCGATCAGGGCGAGCGGAAACGTTTGGCAGCGTGCGGCCAGAGCCATCGCACGATCCTCTCCGCATCCGCACGGCGTCGAGTGAAAACCGGGACCCGCGCGACCATAGCCTGTATTATGCCTCACTCCAAGGGGACGGAGGGTTGGCCGGTCGAGATGGAATGCGACTCTAGAGGTAGCGCGCGCAGGCTGGTAGATTAGAAGCATTTGCGGAGGCGGGCGTGTGTGTAAACCTACCTACGTGCATACGTATATCGTATACCGGTAGATGTACAAGGGTTATAGTTAGCACGGTCGGGCAAAAGTGTGCGCTAGATGAGTCCGGCGCCGACGATCAAAGAGTAAGGAGCGAAAGGATGGGAGGGGGGGGGGGAGGCAGGATGGGACGAGATGAGGGATGGCGGATGGGGATTACGACGATTGCGCACATGGCACTGCAGCTCGTGTCACCCATTTTCGCCCATTCCCGCGTCGAGCCATCCACGACTCCCGTGGCCTCTGGTACGCGCATAGGGAGGTAGGTTATGCTCGATATCGGTCTCAAATGGACTGTCGTCGGCCGGCGATTGTTGCGAAAAACACTCGTCGGAACCCGCATTTCCACGCCCCGAGGAAATCGACATATTATACACCGGAAGAGGGAGAGGGATGGGGTAGACTTCGTGTGCGGTGGAGGCAACAAGGCGCCAATCGCTCCGTCGGTGAGATGGTGGTCTGCATCCGGCGGTCGCTACATCGTACTTATTTTCGAGATGGCTACATGCTAATGTCTCGGCGACGGTGAACCGGACCCATTCCGGTCAGCCTGCGCGTGACCAGTGGGAGGCTTTCCGTCCCGCGTGTTCTCGTCGTGTGTGGCCAGCGACGCGCGGGCGGGCTGGGCTCCATTCCTTTTTTATTTCCCCTACGTCGACGGCGGGCGGGCTCAGCACCCAACGTGGCAGGCTGCGTTGCCTGAGCGAGGTTGCATCGAGTCAGCCCCGGCTAACCGACTCGTGGCCTCGTCAGCCGATACCAGACCCCGAAAGCTTTGCCATCTCCTCAGATCGCAGGCTTCGTGCACGCCGGGCGCACGTATATTTTTAGCATTGCGCGTCGCCCACGTCCGTATGATCATCCCTCTCCCGCTCTTACTCATGGGCCGCGGCAAGGGGGGTAAGACGGAGGAAAGATGCGAGAAGAGAAAGAGAAATCTCGGGTAAGGTGTACATACGCGGCCATCTCATCTCGGAAGACCGTTACGGTACCGTGAAAGTGGACTGGCATACCCGTACCCACCCTCCAACGGCCAGCGGGTACGCGTCGGTTGTATTTTGGGTATTTGGACACATCTAGACGTGTGCGCGCCTATATGTAGGCATGGATAAGCGCATCTGGGATTTCTCGCAAACGACGCCCGCCGAGCTCACCAAGTTGCTGGTCGGCGCCGGCGCGGATGGGTTCTCCGCCTCTGGAACCGACGAGAGGACGAGAGAACAAGAGTCGGGACGGGGCGCTGACTCGCCAGCCACCTGGCGCATTGAATAGGACGAATAGACGGACGATCATGGGGTGTTATGTATGTTTCCATCGTAACTGCCTAGCGACCTCGGCCCCCGAAAGGGGCAGCCACGGTAGGCACGAAGGCTCCGATGTTTCTACGGTATGGATGTCCATGTACAGACCTGCGACCGACCGCGGCGCCAACCTGCGAGGTGGCTCGTGAAGTACATACACAGGGGCCGAGGCGCGCCGTAGGGTACAGACCCCCCCCCCCCCAGCCCGTCCCGATGCTGCCTCGCAACCCGATGGCGACTTTCCAAGACCCGTGCTAGCGCACGAACTTACCTAGATGGGTTTACCGTGTCGGCAGACTAGTACGTCCCCGTGTTCCCCGTGCATGTACCTGGCGTATGCCCGCACCACACGTTGTGTACATGAGAAAGACGTAAATACAACATCCACATGTGGAATAGGCAGGTGGGTACCTGGGTACTTAGGACGCGCGCCTTCCATTTCTTCTTGTCGCCGGCAAATGCGTCATCGTGGATACCTCCGTCCTGTGTTCCGGGGGTATGTACATACAACATGTACGTGCCTGACGTCCTCCCTAGAGCGAGGTACCTCCCGCCTCCCGCCTCCGCCCATCCCAGCGGCGATGCCAGGCCAGGTACCTGCTCTAATCTCACCGAACCGAGGTGGACCGCGTAGGGGAGATACACGGATACTTGTCTAGGAGGTACCTAAGGTACATAGGAGGTAGGTAGGTAGTCAGCAAGGGCCGTGCTTCGATGGGGCTTTCGATCCGTTGCCGTTTCTCTCCGTAGCTCTCAGCTGCTTGCGCTCCGACCGAGTCGATGGGGGTACCAAGGTACACGATTGGATCGGTCGGCTTGCCGAGTTCCCCATCTCATTTTACCACCCACGCGTTGTGCGGCACATAACAGACCTCTTAGAGAGCGTGGCCTAGCAAACAAAGCGGAGCGGAAGGGGAGCTTCATCATCACCGACCTCGAAGTCGAAGCGGAAATGGACCTGGATGTATTTAATTATGTTTCCCCCTTTTCGCCCGCTGGTGCACGGGATCGGAGGGAGAGGCGGCGATGCCTATCGCGCATACTGCGCACGAAGACGCCCCCGATGCGCGCGACGGGGTTATTTTTACTTTGTCGGGGCTGCGTGACGGGAGACTACCAAGGTAGGATCCGACCGACCGACCGACCAGAGTCGAGGCGAGGCGATAGGGAAAAGGGGGGGGGGTGCACCATTGGAGCTATATAGTACGGACGTCGGAGGCGGATGTATTACGAAGTACGTACCACACCACCCTTTCCGTACCCCATATCGCGTCGCACAGTACAGTACAGAAACAGTACGGCATGGCGGCCCCGTCTTATTACCTAGCCAGAATATTAAATTCCCACGCGAGAGAGACGACCAGCCCCGGGAGCCGTAGAGCCGAGCACCACCACTCACTCCATCGCGTCCCCCCCTTCTACCTGCTCGCAGCGTAGGGGGCCTCGACAATCTACCTCCGATTGATCGACTCTTTTTCTTCTTCCCTCCCCCCTACACTACTTATTACCGCTTGCGGGCACATCCACGCCTACCTACCTAGGGCGAGAGGGCCTCCTTTCCCGTGCCGAAGCGGTTGACCGGCTCTACCTCTCTTCCCTCCTCTTGTCATCGCAACCCTCGTCTGCGCCTGCGTCTTTCTGTCGCCGTGCCGATGTTCAGATCCGGGTGCGGAGAGGGCGCATCGTGCGAGAGAAAGGAGGCGAAGGGAGAGGAGGAGGTAAGGCAGGCCACGCACCCCATGGCAGGAGACCGGGACGGACGACACCCCCGGCTTTGGCCCCCACAACATTAAAAAAAAAAAGACGGAGGTGTGAGAGCAAAAGAAAAAAAAAAAAGGCTACTACTACCTGGGCGCAGGTACATAACACAACCGTGAGCCGATAGAGAGCAGTAGCAACACTAATATACGATGCCGACCCTGGGAGAGGGCAGCACGGGAAATGCAACCGAGAGAACGGGAAGAGGCCGGAAGATGATCTCCTGTAGGCGGCCTATGTAAGAGACGCGCAGAATAGAAATAATTGTGCAGAGGGCAAGGCAAGAAAAGAGAGAAAGAAGAAGAGGCGGCAAGGCGACGGCGAAAATGGAGACTAAAATAAATAAATATACGATAAATTCGCTGAGGCGGCCAGAAGCAGAGGCAGCGGCAGCGGCAGGAAGAGCCGGGCTAGGCGGCCTTTGCCCCCCGAATTGACCGCCTTGTCGCATCGCCCTCTGTTCAGGAATCGTCAGTGCTGGGGGTTTGGCTCAGGTGCGCGTGCTGATTTTAGTGCAAACGCCCGAGTCTGGTCCGTCCCTAATTTCTCGACTCCCTCCCGTCCTGTCCGTCTCCTCTGCAGCGACCCTCTCTCCCTCTCCCTTCTCCTCTCTCTCCTCGTCTCTCTCTCTCCTCTCTCTCTCTCTCTCTCTTCTCCTCGCGCACGCGAAATCCCTCCCCCGTCTTTCTCTCCACCCCCCCTCATCTCTAGAGCCGCCTCTCTCGCCAGAGCGCCGTCCGCCCAAACCTGACCTTTTTATACCCTCCACAGTCACAAGGAGTCAGGTTGGTGCCTCTGCCTTACCATTTCTATTAACCAGATACTCTTCTTCCGTCTTCCCTGTCGTTTTATCCAATTTTTTTCTTTTTTTTTGCGCCGTGCCCCCCCTGGAGTCTCGCCCATTCACACGCGCACACCAGAGACACGCGTGCACGTCTGCCCTATTATTAACCGCCCCTCCCTCGAACCTCCACTCCGACCGAGTCCCCCTACAACAAACTCCCACCACCGCACCGAAAAATCCACCGTCCCCCGTCTTCTCCGTCCAACCCTTCTTCTCTCAAACAACTCTTTCCTCTCCCACCGGACCTGCCTTCGGAGCATCCCAATCCTGCTCGGACCGGCATCGCCATCATCACCGTCTTCCCGTCATCTCCTGGTTGCCGTCTGTTCCCGCTGCCATCATCAACCCGTTCGTCCCATCACCCTCTCTGCCTGCACCTCTCTCTCGTCGCCATGTCGGCGCCTTTCGTACGCGGCACGTCGCTCAGGGCCGGCGGTGCCTGTGTGCGCTGTCGCAAGGGCAAGACCAAATGCGTGTACGAGAATGGCCGCGCGCCGTGCAGGAACTGCGCGAAGGGGATGCACGAGTGCTATCTGCCCTCCGAGTCGATGGCTCACGTCCACGGCCAATCTCCCGCGAGGCCCGCCCGTCCTCGCGAGAGTCTTCCTGGCGAGCGCAGCGTGTCGGCGACAAGCGACCGCCAGCCTGTCGCGTCCAGCACCGTCTTACCGCGCAACCTGCAATCTAGTACGGATAAGTAAGTGGTCTCTCTCTCTCTCTCTTTCTTCTCTAATTTATACTGTTACGACTACTCGCTATTCTGCTCTTCCTTGCCCCGTTTTGTTCTTCGGCGTCGCTCTCTTTGCATCGCCTCTGCTCACCGTCCGGGTGTTCGGTTGCATTTGCCAACCGCCCCCCCCCTGGTGTCTACCTAATCTGCCCGATTTGCTTCTTTGTGGACATCTGCTTCGGCCATGACCGAGGGACCGCGGTGGTCTGCGCCCCGGGGCGATCTTGGTATTTGGTGACCCGTGCTCCCTGGTCCCGGTCAAGCCCAGGACGCGCATACGCAGCCGGCCAAAATCTCTCTCTACCCCCTCCTCCTACACCACCCGCTCGTACCACTATCGCCTTTACCTACATACTGCTCTCGCTACCCGCTTCTACCACCACCACCATCATCACCGCCTCCACCACCATGTCGATGACGGTGGGTGGCTACGGATGGGGCATGACTGCCGGTCGCCTCGTCTCGCCTCGGGATCTTTGCCTGTCTCCCTCTCTGCCCTCTCTGCCCTCTCCAACGCCTCTCGCTCCCATGGACCCCATCCTGCTCCGTCCGCTTGACCCTGCACCTTGACACGCGCGCCCCTGCGATCCGCCTCTCCATCCCCCTTGTCCCCTCCCCCCCCGAATTTCCCTCGCGTTGATCGGCCCCCACTAACACGTATTTTCGTCTGTCCCCACAGGCTCAGTCCGGAATTGATGACGGAATGCGAGAGGGTAATCAACAAGACGCTCCCGTCCTGTGTTGCCTTCCACAAGCCTTCGTTTTTGCAGAAGCTCAAGAACGGCACCCTCGAGGGCAGCATCGTCAACGGCCTGCTGACTTGCGCCGCTCGGTAAGTCACCATTTTCGTCTAGCTCGTTTTGCTCGGCGGCATCTTGCCATGTCGTCCCATCATCTCCCACACGCACTTGCGCACACCACCAACCCCCCCCCGGAGCCCGCGCTATCCACTTCTGAAAATGGATTCCGGGCGAATGGTTCATTCATCTCCGGAGGTGCATTCGCCTCTCGCCTAATGCACCAATGATCCCCCTCGCGCCCGTCGCGGCGTCTTCCCCCGCCGCCGCCTGGCTTTCCGACTGCACGAAAAGATGTCGTTGCATCGAATTGAGATTGCACCACCCCCCGGACTTAGCTAACCATTCTGTCCTTCCCGCGCGCAGGAGCTCGCCCGCTTTGATTCGTCGGTATGGCGGCCAGGGAGGCGCTTCGGCTGCCTCGGAGCATTTTGCCGTCAAGGCCATCAACGTAATTATGCAAAATCTCGACAACCCCAGCTTGGCGGATATTCAGGCTCTTTGTCTCCTCATCATCCACGAATGGGGCAACCGCAATGCCGTGCGCGCCTACGTCTACCTCGGCCAGGCCTCCCGCATGGCCCAGATGTATCGAATAATTGCCGTCCACCAGAACCGCGGCGACCCGGACCAGTTCATTAAGGATGAATCGTTTCGTCGTACGCTGTGGCTCATCTACGTTCTCGACTGCTTCCTCACCAGCAGCCCCGGGCGCCAGCCGGCGGTCTCGCACCACGACATCAAGGATGTCCCTCTTCCGTGCCCCGACATGAGCTACAACTTCGGCACGCCTGCCTACGTGCGCACCCTGGCCGGCGGCCCGCCCCCCAGCCTCCCGGATTCGTCGACTCCTTTGGCCGAAGTGGGCGAATTCGGCCACATCGTCATGGCGACTCAGGCCTGGCGCAATGTCATCGAGATGCTGACCACGGTCACGAGCACCTCCTTCTCCGAGGAGGATTGCGTTACCCTCGAGGCGGGTATCGAGGTCGTCCGGAACTCCCTGCCGATGCACTTCATGGACAAGCCCGGGCACGTGACCTTGCACATCACCATGGGCAGCGGGTACACGTATGCTCTGCTGCACTGCCTCCTCCACTGCGCCACCATCATGGTGAACCGCCGCAGGCTGCTCCATCTCGTCACCACCGACGGCTTCAACCACGAGACCTGGCGCATGGTCCCGCACGTCCATCTCCAGACCGTAGATCGCGTCTTCGCGGCGGCCCACAGCGTGGTGTCGCTTCTGCTGGCCCTCGAGGCGAACACGGAAAAGGACGCCGTCCTGAACTTCCCCCTCGTCATGCTGTTCTCGTGCTTCACGGCTTGCTCCACCGTGGCCTGGTTCAGCCTGAAAGGCCTCACTCCCGGCGACGTGAACGAGACGGCCGAGTCCATCGTCCGCGACGGTATGCGCTTCCTGCAGGACGGCGCTAACATCTGGATCCTGGCAGTTCCCTGGTACCGCCACCTCTCTGTGATGAACAAGGTCCTGCGTAACGGTGACCGGTCGCTGCAGCGGGTCGTGCCCGAGACGGCAGCGTCGACCAAAGATGAGACCGCCAGCCAACCGGATAATCCCGACAGCATGGACTACGAACGGCCCGAGTCGGCGCACGCGCAGGAGCAAGTCGACAGCCGTAGCAGTGAGCCGCCGCGGAAGTCGGGTTTCACAACCATCAACGGGGGTTCGGCGGGTGCGTCGACGCCGGCGACCGCAAGCCCGCCTCCGGGCCAGGCGAAGGCGGAGTCTCCAGCGCCCTCCTCTACTGGGCAGCCGGCCGAGGTGGCACCAGCCGCATCGGGTAGCGATATGACCGCTGCCGAACTCTGCGTTGCCTTTGAGCGCCAGCTGCTGGAATTGGATGATCTCGCAGCCTTCATGGGAGGCGGCGTCTGATGGCGCTCTTGGCTAGACGCCTTCTTAGCTCGCGCCTCCTCAGGCCTGTAACTGGGTGCTTTGGGCTTGCCGGCGGTTCCCGGTACCATTTTCAAGTCATCGGGCGACGCTTTCTACAGTACTGTATGCTAATAGGAAAACCCCATGGGCTGGCGTTGGGTGGCGTTTTCGGTCTGCTCTCACGCGAGCCTGGTCTCTTTTCCCTCCCTCTCGGTGGTATCATGGTCCACACTCCCGCCGTCATCCGTAGTTTTGAACTTGTCTCATACTACGCAGCGAATTGAGGCCGACACGCGCCTACGATTCACGATGATGCAAGTCGACTGTCGCCCGACGGCAACGGAGGGAGCGGGGCTGTGATGCGTCGCGGGACTCGGGTTGTGTTTTATGCGTAGTCGGATTTTGGGTTTCGTTCTACTTTCTCCCTACGGCTTCTCTCGTCCAAGAACACTTAGAGCATCTTGATTCCAGAGCAATACGCATTCGCCGCGGGCGCGGATAACTAACTCTATCAGCATATATGGAAGGGGGGGGGTTCGAGGCGGAGGCTCAGATACGGGATGAGAGATCGTGTAAAGGAATCGGGGACGAAGAAGAGGAGTAAAAGACGGTGTTATCTGAGATTTCCATCGTGTACGCCAGTGGCACCTGGGCAGTGTAGATGGCTCGGCCGTTGCTTCAGGCGGTTAGTCGGGGAAGGAGGGTGGTGTTTGTATTTGCGGCTTTGACGAAGCTCTGTAGTATTACGTTCTAGCATTTGCACTATGATTCCCATATTTGCGTTTCCCGGAAGCATCATGACAATGGCAAGTGGAGGAGGTATCGGGGTGATAATGTCGTAGCAACCCCCCGAGGCCCTATTATTAGCACTCATAGCGTTGGAATATACAGGTGCCCGGCGAGCCGTTGCCGGGTCGGCGTTTATGCCGCTTATACCGCTTATGCCACTTTATGTCGTTTTACGCTGCACCTACCTATGATAAGGCTTCGCAGCGCCACATTACATCAGCAGCGCGTCAGCGCTTTTTTTTTTTTATAGCGGGCAGCGGAGGCTCAACTACCTCTACTACGTACCTAGTAACTTGCTTCTGTGCCTGTCTCGCATTTCAACAATTCCATCTATCCTACATCGCCCCCGGATGCGTATCTAGTAGGGTGAATCTCGGGGATGTGACGAGAGGCAAAAGAGGCCACCACCGAAATATCAGCATGCGGTTCAATGCCGCTGGGAGGATCCGCCGAGCAGGAGAAGGACGCCATGGCGTCGCACCGCGGCCCCGGGCCTGAGCAGCGCGGCACGAAGCGGAAGCGTACCGGAGAGGAGCCGGAGCCGACCGCCTTCGGCGACGACAACGACCAGCACGACGCGTCTGCGGCCGAGGCAGACTGCCGCTGCGCAAAGGCACCCGCGCGCAGCTCCGGATCCCCGGCCTCGGACGTCGGGATCACCTCGAGCCCCCCTCCACGTGTCGCGCCCGCGGCGAAGGACGACGAATATTGGCGGACGCTGTACTCGGGCGAGCTGGACTTCCGGGCCCTGGGGCAGCGGGACCCGGCGTTCCAGGCGGTGCTGAAAGAGAGCAGCAGCGGCGGCGGCGTGCACCTCGACTTCGGGGACCCGGCGGCGCTCGTGCAGCTCACGACGACGCTGCTGCGCGTGGACTTCGGGCTGCGCGTGGAGCTGCCGGCGGACCGGCTGTGCCCGGCGGTGCCGAACCGGCACAGCTACATCGTGTGGCTCAAGGACCTGCTGGACTCGACGGCGTCGCCGTGGTATCCGGACGCGCCGCCGGCGGAGAAGAAGGTCGTCGGCCTCGACGTCGGCACCGGCGCCAGCCTCATCTACCCGCTGCTCGGCTGCGCGCAGCGCCCGGACTGGTCCTTCGTCGCGACCGACGTCGACGCGGCGTCGCTGCGCAGCGCGCGCCGGAACCTCGACCTCAACCCGGCGCTGCGGCCGCGCATCCGCATCGTCGACCGCGGGACTCCCCCCGCCGCCGCCGCCGCCGCCCGCCCCCTCGTCCCGCTCGACGAGCTCGGCCTCGACGCCCTCGACTTCGTCATGACGAACCCGCCGTTCTACGCGTCGGCCGCCGAGCTCGCCGCGCTCGCCGCGCGCAAGGACCGCCCGCCCAGCGGCGCGTGCACCGGCGCGCCCGTCGAGATGGTGTACCCCGGCCCCGGCCCCGGCCCCGGCGGCATCGACGATCTGGCGGCCGCCGGAGGCGAGGTCGACTTCGTCGGCCGCCTGCTCGACGAGTCGCTCGCGCTGCGCGGCCGCGTGCGCTGGTACACGGCGATGCTGGGGCGCCTGTCGAGCGTCGAGGCGCTGGTGGCGGCGCTGCGGCGCCGCGGCGTCGCTAACTACGCGCTCGCGACGTTCTCGCCCGGCGCGCGCACGCGCCGCTGGGCGCTCGCCTGGAGCTTCGGCGCCGCGCGGCCCTGCGCCCGCGCCGCCCGCGCCGCCGCCGGCCTCCTGCCCCCCGGCAAGCGCGCGCTGCTGCCGCCGCCGCCGGAAGCGACCCTCGCGACGCGGCCGGGGGGCGCGGGCGCCCGGGCGCGCCTCGCGCGCCGCCTGCGCGCCGCCCTCGCGCCGCTCCGCCTCGCCGCCTGGACCTGGGACGCGCGCCGCGCCCGCGGCGTCGGCTACGCGGCGGCCAACGTGTGGGGGCGCGCGCACCGCCGGCGCAGGGAGAGGGCGGGCGGTGCCGTCCGCGGCAATAGCAACGACAACGACGACGACGACGTCGCGCCTCCCCGCGCGCCCGAGCACCCGTCCGAGTGCGCGCTCGGCTTCTCGGTCGCGGTGGCGCGCGGCGCGGGCGGCGAGGAGGTGGCGGCGGCGGTGGCGCGCTGGGTGCAGGGCTACGACCACGCGCTGTTCGAGAGCTTCGCGGAGTACGTGCGCCGGGCGCTGGCGGCGGGCGAGGGGGAGGGTGGTGGCGAGGGCGGACAAGTCGACGAGGGGACGGAGGGGTCGTGTGCGTGACGGGCGGGGGTAATGAAGCAAGGGAGGGATGTGGACGGGACGGGACGGGACGGGACGAGGCGGGTATGCGTGCGTGTATGCATTAGTACCTACGATATGGGATATGATGTTCTATCAGCACTTGGGCTCGGGGCTGGTTTTGGCGCTCAGGGGTAGGCTGCGCGGTAGCGAGGAAGGACCGAGGCGCCGGGGGCGGTTGTAAGACAGTAAAATACGGATGGATGAAATCGCTATCTTTGGCCAAACTTAGACAGATGACACGCCTACATGAAACTTATCCCCTTCTCGTTTATAGTCTCCTAACCTTAGGTATATCACGGCATCTCGCCCCTCCCCTTCGAAGCCCTGCCTCACACCGCTTGACCAACCCTAGACGCAGCCACACTCCAGCCCCCTCAACCCCCCCCCTCACGCCTCGATGCGGACGAAAAAGTCGGTCTCGCCCTCGGCAGGCGCGACGGCGGCGCGGCGCGCGAGGTCGTCGTCGACGGCGAGCCGCAGCTTCTCGGGGGTGGCGGGGGCGTCGAGGACGAGGGCGACGCCGCCGCCGCGGTGGTGGTGGTGGTGGGCGGCGCGGGCGGCGCGCACCGCCTCGCGCAGCGCGAAGAACACGGTCGCGCCCAGGAACAGCGGCGGCTCGCCGATGCCCTTGCTGCTCTGCACCGAGCGCAGGTGCTTCCAGGTCAGGGCGTGGCCGCGCGCGTCGTGGGTCAGCATCGACACGTTGAAGGTCTGCGGGATATCGGAGAAGCCTAGGTTTTATTTTATTTCATGAGCAACCGGGGGAGGGTGAGTAGGAAAACGAGGAAAAAGGGAGAGGCGGAGGGCGCACCAGGGATTTTGTACGTGCCCGGTCCGCGGGTGAAGAGCTCGCCCTGCTGCGTCCAGAGCGACTCCTCCATCGTGAAGAGGCCCTGGCCCTGCACAAAGGCCCCTTCGATCTGGCCGTAGTCTATGGACGGGTTGATGGAGCGTCCGACGTCCTAGGGGACATACAGGTCGGTGCGTTAGATTCTCGAGCAGCTCGGCGGATGCGCTAGGGTGGAGGGGGCTTACCATCATGATGTCCGTTCGCAGCACAGTCGAGTCCCCCGTGAGCACGTCCAGCTCCACCTCCGTGATGGCCACGCCCTGCGTGAAATAGTAGTACATCGGTAGCGGATCAGTGTAGTTGCCCCACTTGTAGCCTGTCGGGTGGGTGATTAGATATTTGTGCCTATACCTGTATCTGTGTGTATGTGCTCAGGGGGAGGCAAAGGGAACGAACCTATGCGAGGCATCTTCCAGAAGCCGTTGGCGGCGAGGTTGACGCGGTCGCGGTACGCGGCGCGGGCGAGGGTTGACATCGGGGCGTCGGGCCCGTAGCGCTCGCGGTAGGGTGCGAGGCGCTCTGCGAGCTGGCGACAGGCATCCTTGACGGCCATGCCGTTGAGGTCGCTGCCAGACGATGCCGCCGTCGGGGACGGGTTCGCCACTTGGTCTGTCTGCGAGTCCTTGTTGAAGATCTGGTCCACGTCCACCCCTAGCTCCTCCGCCGCCACCTGGCACATCTTCGTATATAGCCCCTGACCCATCTCCGTCCCGCCGTGGTGTAGTAGGATGCTGCCGTCTAAGGGTCGATAGGGTTAGCAACGTCTCTAGCCCCCCCCCCCCCCCGTTGGGCTGCCAAAACAAAATTCACACCTACCTTCGTAGATCCTAACGTATGCACCGGCCTGGTTTAGATGTAAAGCGGTAGCGAAGCTGTCACGGGGGTTAGCTTCGTGCGTACGTAGTAGCCGTCTGTAGTCCTTACGACGCGACTCACCTTAACCCAAACTTGGTCGGGACCATGCAGATGCCACGCTTCCGGAAGCTGTTCTTCTCGTTGAAGGCCTCAACTGCCTTCTTCCTAGCCTCGTAGTCGGCGCTGGCGCTCAGCTGTTCCAGCATAGTCGGGATGTGGAAGTCGACGTCGATGGGCTGTAGGAAGGGCGTCAGGTCACCCTCCCGGTACAAGTTCCGCCGCCGCAGCTCGTCGACATCGATCGTGAGGGCCTCGGCGATGGCGCACATGTACGATTCGGCGAAGTACATGGCCTGTGGCCCGCCGAAGCCGCGAAAGGCCGTGTTCGTCACCGTGTTCGTCTTGCAGACCCAGCCGCGGATCCAGGCGTGCGGGATGTTGTAGCAGTTGTCGAGGTGCGTGCACGCCCGGTCCATGACGGCGCCCGACATGTCGATCGAGTACCCAGCGTTATTGTATACGTCCGCGTCGAGACACTGGATGACGCCCAGCTCGTTGGTGCCGACCTTCCACCGGCACTGCATCGGGTGTCTCTGTCCGCTTGTCGCCATATCCTCGTCGCGGGTCAGCATCATCCGCATGGGCCGGCGCTCCTTCCTGGCGGCGATGGCGACGAGGCACGCTATCGGCGTGCTTCTGGACTCCTTGCCGCCGTACGCGCCGCCGAGACGGCGGACTCTCATATTCACGCGGCTCATGGGCACGTCGAGCACCTGGGCGACGAATATCTGGTTCTCCATTAGGTTCTGAGAGGATGAGTACACCTCCATAGACCCGTCCTCGACGTGCGGGATAGCGAGCGCCGCATTCGTTTCCAAGTAGAAGTGCTCTTGGCCGCCGAGTTTCGTCGTTCCCTCGAAGACGTGCGCGCACTTGGCGAAGGCGTCGTCCAGGGGCCCTTCGACGGCGGCTCCCTTCTTCAGCTGCTTCCCGTGGTCGAAGAAGCTCTGCGCCTTGATGGCCTGGTCGATGGTGAGGATGGCCGGCAGCGTCTCATAAGTCACGCGGACCTTGGCCGCTGCGGCGCGAGCTTGCAGGGCCGTCTCCGCGTAGACTACGCCGATTATCTGGCCGTGCGAGTGCACCTTGTCGGTAGCAAACAGCGGTTCGTCTACGCGGACCGGACCCCAGATATTCCACGCCTCGGGAATGCTGCCTTTGTCGAGGTGACCGACGACACCTGGCATCTCGAGCGCGGCGCTCCAGTCGACCTTGAGGATCTTCGCATGTGCGTGAGCCGACAGGACGGGCGCGCATTGCAGCTCGTTCTTCTGTAGCGGCATATCGTCGACGTATTCTGCCTCGCCTGTGCAGTGCTTCAAAGCCGAGAGATGGGGGATCTCCTTGCCCACGACCTTGGTGCCCGAAGCCTCGATAGTACCGCGGGTCCCGGTGGAAATCCCTCGGTGAATCTCGAGCGCCGGTGCTTGGTCGACTTCGGCGAGGCCCAGGTCTAGGATGCTCTCGTGCCAGAAGCGGAAGAATATAGACAATGTCAAGGCTGGCGAACATGTCAGTAGGCCGAGGCTTTCGAACGATACGGGAGGGGAGGGGGGTTCACTTTTCCTGTACTGGGCCATTCCTCCGGGGACGCCGAACGGAAGATTAAAGTCCTCTAGAAGAGCAGATATGACATCTTCCCGTGTAGCACTATCAGCCCATTGCTTTCCTAGTACTACCTGCTGCGCCTTGGTTGCGACTGTGGTTGTCGGTGCCATGCCGCCGAAGGCAAACGTTGCATGCTGGACGGCGCCAGTTGGGTCGACGCGTATTCGGAAGCTAGCGGTTACAATAGCAATATCGTCGTCTTTCCTCTTAGACTGCTTGTAGGCTTTCGTTATCTCCAATACCCCCGGAGGAGGCAGTGGTATCTTGATATGTGTGATCACCCCGTTTTTGGGTAGTCGAGTGGTTCGATACTCGACGAAGAACGTCGAGAGCGGTATCTCATGCGAGCCCTGGCCCCAGACTTTTACGGTGACTGTAGCTCCAGCTGCTAGGAGTAAGGGGGCAGAATCCGAGATAGGGCTGGCAGTCGCCAAGTTTCCGGCCAGACTGGCGACATTCCGGATCTGTCGACCTGCGAAATATCTGAGTTGCTTCCTGAGCGCCTCGAGAGCGCTCGCTCTCGCACCCAGCTTTTGGAACACCGTGGCACAGAGTTCCTCTACTTTCGTTAGCGGCATATTGCCCGGGATGGATATTTCTGATAGGGCATAGGGGTCTTTGAGTGCATTCAGCTCTTCGATATCGGAAACGAAGATACAAACCCGGTATTCGGCTTTCTTGAAACGGACCTCGATCTGCCGTGGTGTGAGCGATCTTGGCAACGATATTGCTGTTCGGTTGCTATCGTGGTCATACCTGTGTTTCGCTAGCACCTCCAACAATTTTGGCAGCAGGCCAAGCAGCCTTGAGTTCGAGTAGTTGTTCGAGTGTCGTAGGCTTAAACCATATTTTCCGTTCATTTCCGTAACATATGGGCAGCCTTTCGTGTTTCCAGAGCGCCGGAGGGAATATGAGCTCTGTCGTAGGGTCGTAGGGTGTGAACGAGCTTGATGCGGTCTTGCTGGCGCGTGAGTCTGCGGAAGTGGTCCTGGTAGTAGTGGATTCTCTCCTGTAGGGACTACCGCTGGCTGGCGAGTCTCGGCAGCATCCGCCGGGACGCCCGCAGGAACCGCCACTCGATGAGCCGCACCCACTTCCGGTGGGCGAGGCCTGCACCAGGTTATCGGCGATGGGATCCGCCTCGCGGGAAGTCGAGCCCGGCTCCTCAACTAATTCGCCTTTCAGGTCTTCTACTATAAACGTCCTGGCTGCCTCGAGAATGGGTTTGTAACCAGTCTGAAGAAGATAAGCGCTTGTCATCCTCCGTGAGTGCTAGACACATGACCGAATACGTACGCATCTGCAGAGGTTGCCGTCCAAGTGCCCTTGCAGTTCGACGTCGGAGGCCGAAAGCCGGAACTTCCCATCCCGGTAGGAGTTCCTGACCAGCGCGTACAAGCTCATGACGATCCCCGGCGTGCAGAATCCGCACTGCGAGCCACTGCGAACGATGGCGGACGTTAGAGCGGAGAGAAGACCAGCCGCAGAGACAGCTAACTGGTTTCTTTGCTTACTGCATCTTCGCTATCCTCTCCTGCAGAGGATGGGGGTGGTCGACAGTGCCCAGACCCTCGGTGGTAATTAGACTCTTTCCATCCACGCCAGCAAGCGGGTAGAGGCAGGCGTTCACGGCTACGTGTCGCAATCGCCGGCCGCTCTCGGCGGTCTGCAACACCACGGTGCAGGCGCCGCACCCGCCTTCGCCGCACCCAAGCTTGGTCCCTTTGAGGCCGTCTTGGGCGCGGATCCAGTCGAGGAGAACCCAATCGGGGTCCGGATTCTGGACGATGACGCAGCGCCCGTTGACGTAGAAGCGCAGCTCCGAAGTCTTATACGTCGACCGGATGAGAGGGGTGAGGGCGTCCGCAGCAGATGGCGCCAGGACGGGCGGCGGATCGGGGGCCAGGCTGGGGACGGGAAGCTTCGGGAGCACATCGGCCGCCGCCATGTTGTTGAGGGGGAAGCTCGGTGAGCCAGGTCGACCTGTCGGGTCGGTAGCTACTCGGCAGCCCGTCGAAGCACCCTTCACGTAGGGAAACTGGAGGATATAATGGGAGATATCCTGATAGGAGGCGTCGGGCGAGAGGGCGCAGCAGCAGTAGGGCAGGAATAAATGTCGGACGGCATCTTGGGCGGTGATGTAAGCGGACGGGAGTATATACCTAAGGTAGTGATATCGAGATGCCACAGACGGAGAAGGGTGCTAAGAGTAAGCACGTAAACGGGTATGCTGATATCAGGTTGTTAAGCAGTAGTATACTAATTCCAACCTCATACCTACTATGAGTAGTACGCGGTGGTGTAGATCGTAGGTACCTATAGATTGCCCGTGTACGCTCCCCCACTTCTCGTAGCTAGACACATACGCCAGGTAATCGTGGCTGCATCTGTATCCCTCAAATATGTCCTGATGGAGGGAGCTGTGCTGGTTTTATTGTCAGCTACGTGGCTGTAGGTAAGCCTCGGCAAACCCCGAGTTCGAGACGAGAATATTCTTGTACTCTTGCCTCTTGCGATCCTGGGCCGATCTGCCTCTGTCCTCTCTCTCTCTCTCTCTCCTCGGCCACGGTGGGCAGACCTGGTACGCGGCGGACACGGCCAGGTACGAGAGGGTGCCGTACCAGAGAGGTACCTATCTCTGGTCGGGTAGCAGCATATCGCGACGGCCTGCCTCCTCTTTACACATGGCTATTAGTTTGGCCGGCCGTGGGTACCTTAGGTAAAGCTAGGTAGGACTGGGACGCGGGCGGGGCGAGAGATAGGACGAGGTACCTACCTGAACACCCATTGTAAGCTTAGGTACCTGAACCACCCGTACGGCCGCTATAGAGACCTGAGTGGTGTGCCTACTTACCTCCTAGGTACTTAGAGAGGTACCTAGCTACCTAAAATGAGTATATCGTAGGGTTGCCGGTATAAGCCGCCGTCATTGGCCGCCCGGGAGTCAGTCGACTTCCCCTGTGCATACCCGCGCCTATCCGCCCCCTGCCGTCGTCGACATCGCGGCCATTACGCCGACCCCTCTATTGCAACCCCGCCACCCCACCACCGCCCAACTACCTGAGCAAGCGAATGCGGAAAGTGGGGGTGGGGCTCGCTGTCTGCGGCGTCGCCGAGGTCCCTGCATGCGAGGGTAGCATGTATCTCTACACCCAGATTTGCACGTACAGGTACTTCGTGTAAGTGCTGTGCATAAGTGGGCGGGCCACAGCTTTGTATCGACACAAAGACGGATCGCCGGACGGGACAGCGCCGAGCGTTATCCCACTCCCACTCATCATGTGGCAAGCTGGTGGCTGGCGCGTACCGGTACGCCGATCGCCCGCTCTGCCGGGCCCCTCATGCGAGCACGGCCGAGCACGGCGTCGCGCTGCTTCGGTATAGCAGCAGCAGACACCGCTCTCTTGCTATATTTTCCCGTCGAGGAACTCTCATCCGCAACTCCTCCTCGTCGGCGAGTCCTGGATTCCCCCCCCCACCATCCGCCCTCACTACCCCCTAAACGAGAGTCACCATGGCTGCTACTACTCCTACCACCCCGGCCATCGCCCCCCTGAAGGGCACCAAGCTGTTCGCGCCCCTGAAGCTGGGCCTCTGCGAGCTGCAACACCGCATCGTCCAGGTGAGCCCCTCCCGGCTGGATCGTGAAGAAGACACATACTCCCCCCCCCCCCGCTGACAAGAAACACAGGCGCCGTGCACCCGCATGCGAGGCGTCAAGGAGAGCGACGGCGTCAACGTGCCGGGCGACCTGATGGTGCAGTACTACGGCCAGCGGGCGACGCGGGGCGGGCTGCAGATCGTCGAGGCGGCCGACATCGCGCGCTACACGTCGGGGTACCCGGGCGTGTGCGGCGTCTTCGCGGCCTCGCAGGTCGCCGGGTGGAAGCGGGTCGCCGACGCGGTGCACGCCCGGGGCGGGTTCGCCTTCCTGCAGATCTGGCACGCCGGCCGCGCCTCGCCGCCGTCCTTCCGCGCCGGCGCCGCGCCCCCCAGCGCCGGCGGCCGCCCGATGGACGGCGCCTGGCCCGACGGCAGCGCCTGCGCCGAGTGCCCCCCGACGCCCATGGCGCGGGACGAGATCGCCGCCACGGTCCGCGCCTTCGCCGAGGCCGCCGCGCGCGCCGTCGACGCGGGCTTCGACGGCGTCGAACTCCACGGTACGTGTGTGCTGTGAGCCGCACGCAGTCTCTCCGGAGACGACGGAGGCGCGGTCGAAGGAGCTAAAAAATCCGTGTTAATTTGTTGCCTTGGTTCCTCGTAGGTGCGAACGGTTATCTGCTGGATCAATTCCTCCACGACAACATCAACGATCGGACGGACGAGTACGGCGGGTCGGTCGAGAACCGGTGCAGATTCCCCCTCGAGGTTGTCAAGGCCGTCTGCGACGCGATCGGCCCCGAGAAGGCCGGCGTCCGGCTCAGCCCCTGGAACTACTTCCAGTCGACGATGGACAGCGATAGGCTGGGGACCTGGTCGTATCTGTGCGAGCAGCTGGTGGCTTTGCCGGCTAGCCAGCGGCCAGTCTACGTTCACATGTACGTGGGACCCGCGGGGCGACACGAAGGCGACAAGCACCCGGGTTTAAGCCGGAGTTGGCCGCTGACCTATCTATCTCTTGCAGGATCGAGCCGCGATTCGACGAGGTCCTGGACGAGCAGCAGAAGATCGACTCGCTCGCCGGCGGCGATAAGAAGGTCGCCGTCTCCTTGTCCCCGTTCCGAGAGATCCTGCAGAAGGGGGGGATCCTGTTCGTAAGCGCGGGGTGCTTCGACCGCGACAACTCAGTGTCCAAGCTGGAATCCGGCGCGACGGACCTGGTCGCCTACGGGAGGTGGTTCATCGCGAACCCGGACTTGCCCAAGAAGCTGGCGGACGGCATCCCCTTTACGAAGTACGACCGCTCCACCTTTTATTTCACAGAGCCCCCGGAAAAGGGGTACGCAGACTACCCTATCTACGCGGCAGAAGTAGCATGAACAGGGTTTTTCTCGATCCTTTTCATCAGTTTCTTACTCTATAGAAGAGAAGCCATCCTGTACCTTGGGTATCCGATTAGCTACCTCGGGTAGTGCTTCTTCACTAGCTCACGTAGCCCTCGCAACATAAACGCATGTGCAAATCAAGTTCGATCTATGTCTCCAGGGTGCCCCATGCTCTCTTCCCTATGTGATGAGACGAAAAGTTGTCAGACTCGCAATGACAATGTTGTAGAGTTGTAGCGCCTCTGCATGGAAGAATATCGCGGACCGCAACCCATCCCCAACGCTACCCCCCCTCCTCTCCCCGCTTAGAGGAAATAGGAAACAAAATGCGAGACAAAAAACTAGAGAGCTAGAGTGGCTTTGCCGATCGACACTGCAACCGGTGAACTGGACATAAAACAGGAAAAAGGAAATAGTAGGTAGGTACACAAGAAGTCTAGATGTTTAGTGCCTACGTAGGTAGGCAGACAGGCATTTCCTCGGGGCACCCTCTTCCTCCTCCGCCCCCTCCCCCGCGCCCTCCAACCTCAGCTTTAAACTCGGCCTCGCCTTCGCCTCGGCCTCATCCTGGACGCGTGCCCAGCTAGCCTCGACTTCGCGCTCGAGGTCGTAGGCGAGCAGCCAGCCGCCGACGCCGTAGTAGCGCCAGGGGAGGGGGTCGTCGTCGCCGCCGCCGTCGCCGTCGCCGTCGCCGGGGTCCGGGCGGGGGCGGGCGACGTGCCCCGGGTCGCGCAGCAGCGCCTCGTCGACGTCGGCGAACATGCGCAGCCGCCGGTCGCGCTCGCGCTGCTCCGCCCCGTCGTGCACGTGGTACAGGTGCTGCTGGCGGTTCCCGCGCTCGACCACGCGCTCCGTCCGCGCCTTGCGGCACCCCTCGTACGCCCGCAGCGCCTGCTGCTTCTCCGCCCGCCCGCGCCCCCGGACCTTCGCCAGGCACAGCCCCAGCGCCGCCGCGTCCTCCAGCGCCATCCCGCACCCGCCTTGCCGGTGGCGCGGTTAGCCGGTGCGGCTTGGAGTGGGGGAGAGGAGAGAGGGGAGAGAGAGAGAGGGAGGGGGGGGGGGGGGGAGACGACTTACTAGCGAGATACGGCAGCGTCGCGTGGACGGCGTCCCCGAGCAGGGTAAAGGCGCCCGACTCGTGGCTCCACCTCTCGAGCGTGGGCCGGATGCACAGCTTCCACTTCTGGACGGCGCGGCAGAGGGCGAGCACCTTGGCGATGCGCGGGTCCCAGGCGGCGAAGCGGGCGCGCATCTCGGCGACGTCGCCGGCGGCGGTCATGGCCGCGGCGGGAAGGTCGTCGGGCACGAGCAGCACCATGTTGAACAGCTCGCCGCCGCGCAGCACGTAGTTGACCGCGTGCGCGTCCGGCCCGATCCAGTAGTTCACCTGCGGGTCCTCGACGAGGCGCCGCAGCTCCGCGTCCGCGCGCATCTCCCCCGCCGGGATCAGCAGCCGGTACGCCAGGTCCCCCGTCGGCTGCGGCGGGTCCGCCCGCCCCAGCAGCACCTCCCGCAGCCGCGACGAGATCCCGTCCGCCCCGACCACCAGGTCCGCCGCCAGCGCCCGCCCGTCCGCCAGCGCCGCCGTCGCCGTCAGCCCGTCCGCCGCGCACTCGACCGTCGTCACCCGAGCGTTGACGTGGATCTCGGCTCCGAGCTCGACCGCCCGGTCGAGCAGGCACCGGTGCAGGTTCGCCCGGTGGAAGTCCCAGAACGGGGTCCCGAGCGCGTCCGCGTACGCGTGCAGGTCCATCCGCGACAGCAGGTTCCCCTTCCACCCGAACATGTTGGTGTACCGGGGCATCGTCGCGTGCTTGGCGACCGCCTCCTCGAGACCCCACGAGATCAGCACCCGGGACGAGTTGGGCAGCACTTGGATGCCGGCCCCTATCTCGCCAATCTCGGCTGCTGCTTCGAGCACAGTTACATCGTGACCTGCCAGGAGAATGGAGATGGCCGCTCCCAAGCCTCCGAGCCCGGCACCCACTATTATGACCTGTGACGACGCTTAACACCACGACCACCACGGGGACGCCGTGTCTTTACGACAAGCAGAGCGCTCTCGGCTTACATTTAACTTGCTGGAAGCGTCCCTCTCTATCTTCTCCCAGACCTTAGGAGGCGACCCGGGCGGCATCTGGGGAACCGGAAAAAAAACAAAGTCTACTACCGGTGAGGGTCACGATATAAAGGAGTAGCCGTGGCCGGATGGGGTGAGAGTAGGGGTGCTAGCGGATGCGCGATTCAGGTACGCGGGCCTATGGGTGCATAGCCAAGTAGTATGATGGTAAAATGAGAGGATGGTATATATCTATACATCTGAATCTATAAAATGAATAGAGCAAGAGAGAGGCAGCGAAAACGTAGTCCCCCCTCCTGTGACACTAGCAATTGATCGAACCCCTTCGTTCTCGTCCCAGGATGTCCCGCCTATCGGTGAGAGCGTGTAATACTTAACGACAGCCGCCCGGGATGGCCGGTGTGATACCAGCATGGCTGCTCCGGTAATATAGCCGGTCCCCTCTCTCGCGTTGCAGTTACCGAGCTTCACCATCGTCGTAGGACCCTGCCTCGACGGGGGCTGGCTTGCATGCGTTAGCACTCGCTGGCCCGCTTCGACTATCGCCGATCTGTCTCTGGCTGAGGCGCCTCGTCGGCGATAGACGCGAGACTTGCCAGCCAGCCTGCCTACCTCTTACAAATCGTACCACCGCCAGCCGGGCCTGCTCGGTGGATACAGAGAGTACAGGGCGCTCCGCGGCAGAGCGCCGGCTTATCTCCAACCACTGACTGGGAAGGGATTGCAACCTCGTTCGTCCTCCTCCCTCCCCCACTCTTGACGAGCGTTGCAGCTGAGGCGCCATTCCGAGCGGATTTGTAAACGCAGTAGGCGTATGCAAATATAAGCAAGTGGCTTGTGTCCATCCACCCTAGACTTGCATACTTGCAGAAGCATCGCCCCCCCCCTCCCCCCCTCCCTCTCCCACTCCCCACTCCCCCCGGACAGACGAAGGTAAGTCAGGTATGCTGACCTCCCTTCCAAGAGATAAGAGTGGGGTGCCCAAGCCCGGGGTGTTGAAGAGGTGGGAAGCTATTCAGCTGGCAGCCGGGCTCGCTATGCTAGTTTTATCTCTCGGGCTGCCTCGTTATCCATGCTGCTATTGCTACCATTCCCCTCTCGCACCGGCGGCGGAGCCGACTATGGGTCACGTAGGTACGTAGAGGGCCCCATACGTGCAGGGAATAGGTAGATATGGTAATCAACATTGCCAGTCGCCGGATTGTGCTCCTACGCCGGGTTCGCATCGCCTAAGCGACCCTCGGTGGGAGATATGAGATCGGTAGCAAGCAGCTTTACTCGATTCTACTTGCGTACATGCGCATCCAATAGGGATTATCGTATACATAGCCGGGGCCAGGTACACGTAGTGTATATCCCCTTGCGGCTTGAGGACGAGGCAGAAGAATATGTGGGATGGGGGCACCAGCACCAGCACCAGCAAGACCAGCTTGGGACACTGTCGGCCGCGTCTACTCAGGCTTCCCTCGCTTCCGTCTTCACACGTCTCTCCCACACACACACACACACACACACAAGCACACACGCACCCTTTCTTTTCCTCTTTCTCCCGGAGAATGGGGGGTTTTATGTATCCATTCCTCGAGTAGCTCCACATTGATCGACAGCCTGAAAAGTGGTGAAAGAAAAGAAATCCCGACTGCCGAACCCGGTACTTGACGGTGTCGGCCAAGATGCAGCGATCCAAACGGAGGAGGTCCCGGGATAGTGACGGCAATGGTGGGAGCAGTAATGGTGGTGGTGGAGGCGGCAACGGTAATAGCAGTAGCAATGGCGGCCAGAGATCCTTCGCCTGCGCGCACGAAGGATGCGGCAAGTCCTTCACGAGATCGGAGCACTTGCATCGTCACCGGAAGAACCACACCGATGGCGACTGGACCTGCCAGCGGTGCCGCGCCCACTTCAAGCGTCCGGACCTTCTCGGTGAGAGACCGTCAATGCTCTTTTGTTCTTGGACGCAACCGGAGTCACGTCCGCCCCTCGCACTCCGGCCTCCGGACTGACACCGCTGCGTAGAGAGACACATGAGCCGCCACCGGAAACGGGACATAGAAGCCGGCGGCGAAGGCATCGGCGTCTTGAACACCCGCAAGCGCATGTGGAAGGACCACAACGGCCGCATCGTCCAGAAGAGACCGGCCGAGACCCCGGCCCCTGACGGCCCCCATCTCGCGGCCGCATACCTGCCGCAGGCAAAAGAACCCATCTCCCCTCCCGACTCCTTGCACACCCCCGTCCACGGCGATCGCGCCCCCGCGCCGCAGCCGGCCTTCACCACCGACGACCCCCACGGCGTCATCGCCGACTACGCGCTGTCGACCGGCCAGTTCGACGCCCAGGGCGCCGGCCCGTACTGGTCCCTCCCCGAAACGTCGCAGGCCGGCGGGGCCGGGATGATGTCCTCGAACCTCGACCTCAACTACGACGAAGTCTTCCAGCCCGACACCTCCAGCTCCTTTAACATGCCCTACACCACTCAGGTGAACTACGACTGGCTATTTAACCTCGACTACGGCACCGCCGCCGCCTCCGACATGCCGCAGGCGGCCCCGTACCTCGCCGCCGCCCCCCCCTTGCCCCGATACCCCTGCGGCGACCTCCCGCCGCCGCTGCCCGCACCGCCGCTGCCCCACGACCCCGGCCAGGGCGACAGCAGCATGGCGGACTGCCCGATGACACCGATGGGCTCGCCTCTCGACTACGCGCGCTCGCTCACGAGCCCGCACCACGCAGCAGCCAGCCCGAGCGCGAGCGTCTCGTCGTTTGGGCAGCCGCAGGCGTCCGCCGCCGGCGCCGTCGCCGAGGAGGCCGTCGAGATGGAGTTCGAGCGGCCGCTGACGACCCTGCGACCGCCACAGCGGCTGCCGGCACTCGACAGCTTCGCCTACGCGCAGCTCCTCGAGACCGTGCAGGCGGCACGGCCGCTCGCCCCCGACGGCGGCTTCGTGGACGTCGCGCACCATCCGCTGCTCGCCCGCGCCGCGCTGCAGATCTACTGCGACCTCTTCTTCACCCGGTTCAACACGGCATACCCCCTCATCCACCTGCCCACCTTCGACCCCGCCCGCAAGGAGCCCCTGCTGCTCATTTCCATCATCCTGCTTGGCGCGAGTTACGCGGACAAGGACGCCCACCAGCTCGCCGTCTGCATCCACGACGTGATTCGCCCGGCTAGTAAGTGCTATCCGTTGTTTTATTTCTCCATTTCGCGATGAGCCCCTCTCTCCAGCCATTCCCCTCCCCTCCCGAGTAAATAGACGCCGATTCTAGCACCGCGTACTGACCCTGGACTCGCGGCGCACATAGTATTCTCGCACGCAAGCTTCAACCCGAAGCCGGACCTGTGGATGCTGCAGACGATTCTGCTCGTTGAGTGCTTCGGCAAGAGCCGCGCGGGCCAGAAGCAGCACGACATGAGCCACCTGTTCCACGGCATGCTCATCAACCTGATCCGCCGCTCCGACTGCCAGTCGGTCCGGCCCGTGCGGCCCGGTGGCAGCAGCGCCGACATCGCGGCCGACGCCACCGCCGCCACCGACGAGCACGCCTGGCGCCGCTGGGTTGAGGCTGAGGAGAAGAAGAGGCTCGCCCTCCTGAGCTTCATGTGGGACACGCAGCACGCCGTGCTGTTCTGCCAGTCGCTCTGCATGTCGGCCTTCGAGCTGCGGCTCCCGCTGCCCTGCAACCAGGCGCTCTGGGAGGCGCCCGGCCCTGCCGAGTGGGCACGGCTCTCGCTCCTTATGCTGCCTGAGCCGTTGTACCTCTCCGCGCTTAAGTCGTACATCACAGCCGACGCGCGCGCGCCCTCGCACCACCACCACCACCACCACCACCACCTCCGCCATCCCTTCCCCCACCTCAACGGCCTCTCCCGCATCCTCCTCTTCCATGGCCTCATGTCCATCTTCTGGGACATGCAGCGCCGCGACCAGACCAGCCTCGGCGTCATCCCGCCGGCTTCGTCTTCGTCCTCTGTACCACCGGCACAGAACGCCGCCGGCGGCCGTTGGCAGGCCCGCCTAGAAGCCGCGTACCGCGCGTGGCGCGCCGACTTCGACGGCTTCTGCGCGCGCCAGGCCGCCCTAGCGACCACGTTCGCGGGCGTCTCCGACCACCCGGTGGCCCGGCGCCGCGACAGCAGCAGCAATACGACGCACTCAGCCTCTACCCCCGGCGGCCCCGGCCCCTCCTCTACCACGGCCGGCGTGGGCGCAGCGGAGGCTACGCGCGCCGAACTCGACGCCTGGCGCGCGGCGCACCTGGCCGTGTATCACGCGGCGCACGTGCTGCTGCGGGCCGACTTCCTCGACATCCAGATTTTCGCCGGGGCGCGGCACATCCTGGGGCGGGGGGTGAGGAGTGCCGACTTCGTGCGGTCGGGGCGCGTGGTTAAGCGGTGGGGACGCTGCGGTGCCGCCCCCGATGGCGACGCCGACAGCTCTAGCACCCCCGACGACGACGACGCCGCCGCCGCCGCCTGGCACGCGGCGCTGCTGCTGCGCGCCGCGGCCCCCGCCCTCGCCGACCCCGACGCCACCGGCCTCTTCCACGTGCCCTGGTGCCTGTACCTGGCGACGCTGACCATCTGGGCGTTCCACCACACCTCGCCGCACCCGTATACGCACGGGGCGTCGTCGGCGTCGTCGCGCGGCCCCGGCGGCGCCTCCGCCTTGCCCCGCCCCTACCCCGCCCTCGGTCGCGCGGGCGCGGCCGAAGACGACGACTCCGATAGCGAGCTCGTGTGGGACGCACGCGCGGAGATGCACGCCGTGCTGGACGCCATGGCCGGGTCGCGCGGCGACGCCGCCCACCTGCCCGCGCTGCAGGGCCGCCACCGCACCGGCGCCCTCGTCTGGGTCGTCGCCGAGGCCCTGAGCAAGGTGCGCTGGGGCATTGTGCATGCTGGCGTCGCGGTTCTCAAAGGGCTCGTGCCTTTGCGGCTTATCGGGCACTTTGAGGACGACGAAGACGGCGGCGTCGGCGGGATATGATATGATGTGAGGAGAGATGAGATAGGGGAGGAGAGAGAGGAGGGTACCTAGTCAAGCGCGAGAGGGGACGGATAAAGAAGTGCATATACATGGTACGGGCTTAGAAGGAGACCAGGGGCTAGGATGGTTATGTATCTTGACGACTATAGGAGAAGGAGTAAGGGGGGAAGCAGGAAAAGGCCGGGATCTTGGGTTAGGGAGGGCCATGGTTTTCTGATTTCTGGATGTAGATGATGGTGACTTGTAAAGAAGTAGTAAAATAGAGTCGTTTGACCATGTCGCTGTCGCGGTGCGGTGAAGGTGGCGATAGTCTTTTATTGCTGTTAGAAACTGGCGAACTTGGTCGAGTCGTCATGCCGCGGCAACTGGGAGGCTTATTCCGAGTGTTCCCGCCAGTCACACGGATTGCCCCCTACGTATATACAGATTTCTTCGTTGCCAATCCGTCCGGTATTAAGAGTCGGAAGATTCTCATTCGAGCCAACTAATCGATCTAGGAGAAGGAATATATGGATACCGAAGAAAAAGAGGAATTCATAGAGACATACCCCGTCGAAGAGCCACCGAACGTCGAGTACACCGTACAACCTTGCTGAGACGTGCTAAATAAGACCCTTTCGTGCCCACGCACATATGCTGCCGCTGTTTCTGCCCATGCTGACCCTGTTCCTCGCCGTTTAAAATTATTTATTTCGACTTATCCTCGGGAACCTTGAGGAATCCATCATAGTACGAATTAAGCCAGTCGGCCGCCGTCGTGCCGGCGCTGACGCCGAGAGAATCCCACCTGCTGATCGACCCTACGTAGCCGTCCGGCCGCAGGATCACGACGGCGACCTCGTCCTTCTGCAAGGTCCCCACCCACTTGCTCGTGCAGGTCTGCCTACGCGTATCTAAGTAGGGCACGTTGTCTAGGTAGAAGGTCCACGCACTCCGAGCGAAGAGCGGAGGAAGGTCCTGAATCTCGACCCTAGCCTTGTCCATGGTAGCTATATATGACGGTTAGAGAGACGGAGAGAGTTAATGCATGCTGGCGCATACACGACGGGGGGAGGGAACTTACTAATGAGAGAGAACGTCGTAAGCTCGCTAACGCCGGTATATCTCTCCGAACGCACGTATACATCTTCGCCCGTAAAGACGCGCGGCTTTTCTATATAGCTCGCCGCCGCGGCTTGGCTCAGTTTTCGGAATAGCGAGTCCTGCTTCGTTACTCCGTTGCAGAAAGTCTGGAGGAAGGGCATGCTGTTGTGGATATCGGGCACGAAAAAGTACACCCGGAATTGACCAAGCATGGGGATGTCGAGCTGGACGTCGATGGGATTCGCGTCGATATACCGCGTCACCTTGGCCGGAGGCACCAGGCAGCCCGGCCGCAGCTCGCCTCCGGCACGCTTGGCCGGGTGGTTGAGCACGTTGTGGTCGTACTCGACCCCGACGCCCGAGATGAACCTCACGTTGGTGCGGAAGTTCTCGGCCAGCGCCTTGGCGTCGCCGCCAGCCATCTTGTTGGCGTGCTCGTAGTCGAAGTTGATGAGATCGTGAGCGATCTTCCTCCGCTCGAGCTCGTACGACTCGAGCAGGACCGGCTTCGCCAGACCGCGGGTGCTGAGGTTCAGCTTCCACGCGAGGTTCCAGCTGTCGTGCATGCTCGTATTCATGCCCTGGGCAGCCTTGGGCGAGTGGGTATGGCTCGCGTCGCCGGCGATGAAGGCCTGCAGGTTTGGGTCCGTAAACTTATTCGCTATCCGCTGGCCGATCTGGTAGTTACCGAACCATTCCACGGTGCGCCACTCGACCGAGTACGGCGCCAAGATCTGTCTGGCGCGCTGCATGACAAACTCTTGGCCGAGCTCGCGCAGGTTGCTAGTCTCGGTGTCCGGCTTGATCTCTACGTAGAATCGAGTTGTGCCCCGTTCCCGGGGGACGATGAGGATGGAGCCGTGCACCTCGCTGTAGACGACGGTCTTGGACCAGAGATCCGGGAAGTCCGAGATGAGCTCCCCGTCGAGCACGGCCCATACGGACTCGTGCGATTTTCCCACCGAATAGGTATCCGGTATGCAGTTCCGGACCTTGGACCGGGCACCATCGCCTAGTGGGGTCAGTCAGGGGGGTGACCTTGCCAAAAAAAACAAAAAAAAAAGGCGCAAGAATGGCGTGTTTTTTTTTTCTTACTTACATCCCACGATGTATTTGGTCAGCGCCGTCTCCTTTTCACCCGTCCCGACGGTGGCCATTTCGATCTCTAAAAGATCCGCTTCCCCTTCCTGCTGCCGCTTGAAATTTTGGAACTGGTGACTCCGCTTTACCTCGACGCCCCGCTTCCGGAGGTCCTCTAGGAAAACGCCTTCGACCACGCCCTGGTGAACTAGCAGAATGTAATCATCCAGCAGATCCACAACCAAGGCCGGGTAGTGAATCTCGCGGCCTAGGCGCCTTAACCGGCGATTGGCAGTGGCTTCCCAGAAGCAGATGTCAAAGACCTTCGCGCCCTTCTGCAAGAGACCATCCGCCAGCCTGAGCTGACGCAAGGTCTCTATAGTCTTGGGCTGTAACCCATCAGCACGGCCAGCTTGCGTCTGGTCGGCTCGCTCGTCTATGACCTCGACATTGATGCCGAATCTGGTCAAGAGAACGCTGCATGGTTTTGAACGTAAGCGCGGGTGCCACGAGGTTTTTTGTTGGTTTGCTTATTTACTTCAACATGACAACATTTCTGTTCTCATCGCCACCTCCTCGCCTTCTCTTCTCCCATCCTTCCCGGGATAGCATCGGAAGCGCCAGGAATGAAGGAAAAAAAAAGGGGGGGGAGGGTAGCGGCCTCGATATAATCTACAGCGTACGCGGCCGAATCCTAGCCGACGGCAAGAAAAGCAGATAAGAAATGTGAAAGAAACTCACGCCAACATGAGACCAGCCGGTCCAGCCCCGACGACGAAGACCTCGGAGCTGTGTCGTGATGTATTTGTTTCACGGCGTTTAGCTGGGCTCGGGCCATGTTCCTTATGGTCACCGTTGGCGTCGCCATTCGGTTTCACACCGTTCGTCTCATCCACGAGCATGGCGCCGGTAGTAAATCCGGATCAACTGAGGTCATGCGATGGGGTGGAGGGGGGGGGGGTTACGCGGCAACTTTTTCTTTTCCAAATCCAGCGGAGGAGGCGAGGTAAAATGTAAGTATATATATAACAAATAAGACCAATAAATAATAATAATCAACGGAACGCCGACGAATATGTAGGTAACGCAGGTAAATGTAGATGGGCGAGAGAGCGGAGAGGCTAGTCCAGGTAGGTAGCAGAAAGAATAATAACTGAGTAGTGGGCGGTGCCGGGATGGTGGTTAGTCGGAGGGTTGCAACACCCGATGGATGATGGGATATGATGGGATGGGGATATAAGTGTGTAGATTAGGATAGGATAGGATTAGGAGTAGGGAGGTAGAGCGTATGGATGGCGAGAGAAGAGGGGGGGGGGGGTTAGAAGGAGAGGGAGGGACGGCGGGAGAGAGAGGCGGAAGAGAGGAAGTGTGTGGTGTACGTATGCGTGTGGTGTAGGTTAGCTGTGCGTGGTGCGTGTATGGATGGATGGCAGGTGTGCGTGCGTTCGTGCGTGCGTGCGTGTGTAGTATGATGATGATGGCGAAGAGAGCGAGCCGGCTGGAGAACACACCTGGCTTAGATTGGATTTGGTCGATGGATGGATTGGGCATGGGACGGTATGGGAATGGGATGGGATGGGATATGGGATGGGGGGGAGGGATGGGGAACGGAACTGGAACCTCAAACCCGAGCCGCCTTTCCCTCTCTCTCGCTTTTTTCCCCTGCTGTTTTTCTTCTTATTTTTCTCTATTTCTATTCTTGCTGTCCTTTTCGCTATGCTGCTACGCTCTCTGGCTGGCCCTCTCCCAGCAGCAGCAGCTAGGTTGGCGGTGGTGGTGGGAATGTAGCGGTTGATAGCACCTCGGCAGCGGCTGTCAGGTGGTGGCAGGGAAAATAAAAAGTACCTGGCATAATAAAGTACCTGGCTTAGGGTGCTGCCGGCGAGCGGTGTCGTTCCGTTTCGCGGTAGTTCTTCCTCTCCTCCCTTGCCTCCGTTTCTCCTGTCGGTATTCCTGGCTGGAGAAGGGGACGAAAAAAAAAAAAAAGAAGCAAAAAGGGAAAACGCCCTTCCCCCCCTCCGGCCAGCCCAGCACCACTCCAGCACCACTATAGTAGGCTTTGGGAGCCGACTGGGTTAGCAGAGGCAGAGGAGCCCCCCCCCCTTGATTCGGGTCTGTGCTGATAAGGCCGATAATGGGAGTTGGGACGGTCTGGGGCGGCAGGCCGCACTGTGCTCAGACCATAGTCAGGCGGTTTGGCGCGATTCTCGAACCACTGCGATCTGGGATGGGCGGCTTTGAGGGCGTGCGAGGGCGTGAGATGTGGGCTGGTGTGGATGTAGGTGTGGGTTCTAGACTGTCTGGATTACGATGGATGGCGCTGGAAAACGGAGATCGTCCTGGCCCCTCCCCCATTGCTCTTGCGCCGTCCCTGATTCTCTAGTGGCACACACACCTGCTGCGCGCTGCCTCCAGAGGGTACGGGCCAGCCAGGCAAGAGAGAGGGTATCGACAAGTACCCCCCGACGGCACCCCCCGCCACGGTACCGCCCGCCCAACCCTCCGGCCGCCCGCCCGCGATGTACTCCCGATAAGATAGGCAGGTGCAGATACCTGCCCCCAGGTACTCGCAGCGCTAGCTGTCGTCAACCTCATGTGGCTACGGCCCAAGGGCAGCACTTATCCGCCGTAAAAGTGCACGGTCGGCGGCGTGCCAGGGCCAGTGGCCGTCGCTCGAGCCAAGGCGCCGTGGAAGCTACCTCTCCCACTTTTCACCCCCCCCTTCCTTCACTTGCTGGAACATCACACCACTTTGCAGGCATCATACAGTAATTCCCGTTCCGATAAAGCAGGTGGGTCCCACGTCCCTACCCTACTCTGTACCCGCCGCCGCCCATGTCAGACGCCGACAAATTCGGCATAGCCAGAAAACCGCAGCCAATTCTCCCTGTCCCTTGGCCTCCACGTTACGCCGGTACCGTCGCCCGCGTACCGTCTCTCTCCCTGTCTCCCTCTCTTCTGCCTCCTCCCTCTCTGCCTTTACCCCCCCTCTTGATGCTGAAATAGCACATATCCATACCCCACACGACGTCCCCTCAGGTATTTCCAAGTACACGCCTAACAGGCCCATCATGCCTGTAGCCTCCTATCCCCGAATCTGATCGCCGGCCGCCACGCTTCCACCACGCTGCTTGCTGCCGCTTCCAATGCGATGCCACAATGCCTGACGGCCAATGCCTCCCTGCTCTCCGTGCCTATCTCTCCTCCGTGTTCCCTATCCAGCCTCCCCCCCCCCCCCTCTGCGAGAGAGGGACCTCGCACAGGAACCCCGACCGTCCTGACACTGCGCGATCGCCTTGCTGTGAGGCTCTCCGAGTGTACATATATATACCGAGAACAGCCCTACGGTAAAAATAGGCCGGTCTGGGTCACGTACATTACCGTGGCTTGCTCTCCCCAGCGTCACCCTGCCCCCTAGTACCTAACGTCGTGTATTCGCGTCGGCGGTGATTCGTCCAGCTCAGGTCGACAAGTTGCCAACTCGCTCTTACGATCTACGGGGCCATCCAGCCTTACCTGCACAGTGCGTCTCTTGAGTAACACCTTTTTGGCTCCCTGGCTCCCTGGCTCCCTACCTCTCTACCTGAGGCTATACCTAACCCGCCGGTCCCGCTCCCCTGATCAGTCCAGGTGAAACAAAAGGGGTCCATCTCACGACGATGGAGGTCCAGGATGCATGGCAGGAAAAGGTTCGCTTAAAGCGAGAGACCCGGACGCGGGCACTAGCCACCCTATCAGATGAAGATGTATGTACGTTTGCCGTCGTGGCCTGCGAATGAGCCAGCCGCTTCCGGCGAGGATGCGAGGCCGCGTAGTAGCGACCTCGACAACGTCGCCGTCCCGTAGCCGGTCGCTGAGTGGTTCTGTGGGAACGATAGTTTCGGGGCGTCGACCTATCCGTCGTGGAAGAGGGCGATATCGGGGCCTTGGTGGGATCCATCGCCCGCGGCGAGCTGAGTTCCGAGGCCGTAACGAAGGCATATATTCACAAGTTAGTTGCTTTTGCCTCCTACTTGAGTAGAGCTATGCGGCCCGTGCCCGTTGGCGGTTATACCCGTCGGACCCCAGGCAACACGTCGCTGATTATGGGAGTAGAGCCGTTGCGGCGCACAACCAGGTGAATCCTTCGCATACCTCCACGTAATACGTCTGTTGCCCCGAAGGGGAACGACCCGCCTGACTGATTCTGGGACCACCTCTTTATAGACCAATTGGCAAGCCGAGCTCCGCCCGGGCTTCCTACCTGCCCGATACACGTGCACAGTTGGCTAACCCTTCGCCCAGCTTCACCGAAATCTTCTTCCAGGAGGCCCTCGCGCAGGCTCGTAAGCTAGACCGCTATGTGGCCGAGCACGGGAGGCTGGTTGGTCCGTTGCACGGCGTCCCCGTCACCCTGAAAGACCAATTTAATGTCAAGGGCCACGATACCACGCTAGGATATGTCGGCCGCACCTTCAAGCCTGTCGCCGAGGATGCGGTCCTGGTCGGCATGCTCAAGCAGCTTGGCGCTGTCGTGCTGGCCAAAACAAATCTCCCCCAGAGTATAATGGTGAGAAGCTTGGCTGACTCCGTGATCGTGACTCGTGGTAAGAGGCGTGTCTAATCTCGGATCGGTGTCAGTGGTGCGAGACGGAGAACCCGATCTGGGGTCTTACCACGAACCCGGCGTCCAAGGATTACACCCCAGGAGGTTCGACAGGGGGCGAGGCCGCGCTTCTGAGTCTCCACGGCAGTCTCCTCGGCTGGGGAACGGACATCGGCGGTAGCATCAGAATACCCTCCCACATGATGGGCCTGTACGGCCTGAAGCCTAGCGTGAGTGGGAACCCCACCCACCACCATCATTTGTCGACGGCTGACACACCAATGCTTTCTTTTATGTGCAGAGTGCGCGGCTTCCGTATTACGGGGTTCCCGTATCGACCGAAGGACAGGAGCATGTCCCTTCGTCGATAGGACCGATAGCGCGGACGCTGCCGTCGTTGGTGTTGGTAATGAAGGAGTTGATCAAGATCCGACCGTGGGAACGCGATGCGCGGTGCGCGCCTATACCCTGGAGAGAAGACACCTTTCGGGAGGGAGGGTCCACACCGCTGACTATCGGCTTGCTCCTCGACGATGGCGTAGTTCGCCCGCACCCGCCGATACGGCGAGTGCTCCTTTCGCTAGTCGAGAAGCTCCAAGATGCCGGCCACGATATTATCGAGTGGAACGCTGACCTCCACCCTGAATGCATACAGGTCATGGTGAGATAGCTATACCATGCACTCTTTCCCCCGCAGTTATCGTCGTCCCGCAGCCTAACGCTTTGCCCCCCTAGGATGAATTCTACTCGGCTGACGGCGGGGAGGACATTCGTCGCGACGTCCTAGCCGGCGGAGAACCCTTCATCCCCCACGTAGAGGGGTTGATCAACAGGGGGAAGCCCATCTCCGTGTACGACTACTGGCAGCTAAACAAGCGCAAGATCGAGCTCCAGCAGGCCTACCTCCGAAAGTGGGACGGGATCAGGTCCCCGAGGACGGGCAAGCCAGTCGACGTAGTGCTGATGCCGACCATGCCTCACACGGCCGTGCCGCACCGCTCGTGCCGGTGGGTAGGGTATACCAAGGTATGGAATGTGCTGGACTACCCGGCGCTGGTGATCCCAGCGGGCACGGTGGCTGCTGTCGACAGGGAGGCGCCGTGGGGGGACGACGCGCCGAGGAACGCGCTCGACGAGTGGAACGCAGCGCTGTGGACGCAGAACCGGGAGCGAATGGTCGAGTTGGCGCTACCGGTCGGCGTGCAGGTCGTCGCGCGGAAGCTCGAGGAAGAGAGGCTGCTAGCCGTCGGCACGGTCATCGACGAGGCGCTTCGGGCAGAGCCGTTTGATGGCGAGTGGTTTACGACGACAGTTGTAGCGTAGGTGCAGCCAATAAGGGCGCATTCAGGTGCTAGCGCAGCGCAGGTGGAATGGAGAATTCGATTCCTGCTCGCCTAGATTTTGAGGGTCCGATAATCGCTTGTGCGAGAATCTTGACAGGCGGAGTAAAGTCCGCCCCTACAGATGGGGCGCATGGCTTCGGTGGGTACATGGGTACTTGGATACCCACATCCCGGAAAGTACCCAAGTAGATACGTACCTGCCAGATACACCAGGTGCGGGGTATAAATCACGGACTATAGACGAGAAATCAGCCGACGAGCTACCCCGCCCCCGCCCCCTTATCCGACACCTCAGCAATTCAGGTCGGCAGGTCTCAGCGCACGGGTTTCGCTTCCGACACACACACGTCTCACAAATTGGATAGGGGGAGGGAGAAGACGAGTGCAGCTCGACACACAACGTAGGTGTACACCTACCCTTACTATTACCTACTATTCTGCGCATCTACGCGACGCCAAGTTCCGAGATTCGCGGATCCGCACGACATTCGCACCGCTGTAGAACGTAGGTAAAACATAGATTCTCTGCTGGCCTCTCTCTCTACCTACGCAGACGCAAGCCCCGTCCCCGCGCGCCACGAACAAGAACGGATCGGCTGGCGCGTTCACGCAACCCCCGTTCCCCTCCCCTCCCCCTGCCTACTTCTTCTTCAGGATCTCGCCCGGCGGCGCCGGCATCATGGCGCCCTCGGGGGGGTTGTTCTTGCTCTTGAAGTAGTCGGTCATCTTTTTTTTGGTTTAAAAAAAAGACTGCGTTAGTTTTCCTCGGGTAGCGAAGGTGGGGGTGTAGAGAGAGAAGATGGGGGGGGGCAGGGGGGGGGGCGAGAGGAGGAATAGAACGAAACGAAGCTTCACAAGACAAGACAAATCAAAGCTCACCTCGGCAAATGTCATCCACTCGACACCCTCGTGCTTGTTGATGTGCTCGATGATTCTGTGCGTTGGGCCCGGCTGGTTAGCGATATTGCGATCTCCCGCTGCCGAGAGAATGCCAAAAAAAAAGGGGGGGGGGGGCAAGAGGGGGGAGGAGAGAAAAGCGTCGACCTTACCGCTCGTGCATGAGCAGGACGTGCGGCCGCCCCGACACGTCCGGGTGGATGGTCATGGGGAAGATGAACTCGTCGTACTCGCGGTAGAAGTAGTCGAAGTGGTCGCGCCAGATGTCCTCGACGTCGCTGCGTCCGCGTGGTCAGCCAGCCCTTTGCTCCTTTTTTTTTTCCCCCCATCCCCCGTTTCCTGCCTCTCTCTCGCCTCCAGCGCCACGCCGCAGGGGGGACAACGGAACCCTACCGCGGGTTGACCCAGCCGTGCGAGTTGGCCGAGTTCTTCATGAACATCATCGGCGGCAGGTCGTCGATGTACCACGACCCGGGGATCTCCACCATGCCCGTCGGCTGGCCCCGGACGAGCGGCTTCATCCATTCCTCGGCCTTCTTCGAGTAGTCGATCCTAGTTGGCGCGTCGCCACCGTCAGTGCGGAGCCAGAAGGACCAGCGGGAGAAGGGAGACAAGAGCGGTAAGTCCTCGAGGAGGTCTTCTGCTCTTCCTAGAGGGCGGTTTGGCTGTGACGTACTACGGTAGCGTTAGCGACTGGTCGCATACGAAGAGAGGGGGGCGACGATCAAGCTGACGGGGATCCCCTTGCGAGCCACGCACCTTGGTCCAGGAGTCGCCGGTGCGCAGCCAGTACATCTGGCAGTCCTCGTGGGACATGGAGTGGTCGTACTCGATGCCGTAGGCGAGCAGGAGCTCGGTGCCCTCCTTGCTGGTCTCCCACCAGGGGGCGACACTGCCGCGCGGGGGCTTGCCGCCGCAGAAGTCGGTGAGGAGGCGGTAGGTCTTGTCGAGGACGTCGCGCTGCTGCTCGAGCGTCATGTCGGCCGGGTTCTCGTGCGAGTAGCCGTGCAGGCCGATCTCGTGGCCGGCGTCCCGCACCATCGCGCACTCCTCCGGGAACGTCTCGAGCGAGTGCCCCGGGATGAACCACGACGCCTTGATCCCGTACTTCTCGAACAGCTTCAGCAGCCGCCGCGTCCCGATCGTGCCCGCCCAGAGTCCTAAGTCCGTCCCCGCGCCGCCGGTTAACTTCGCACGCACGCACGCACATCACGCGGCCGGACGAGATGCGGCCAGCAGACAGGCGGCTACGCCCGCGTCGACGCAATGCTACCTGGCTCGCATCCGAGATAGGTAGACGGGGAATGCCCCCAACGTACCTCTGCTGATGTCGCTCGTGCTGTCCTCGCCGCCGTAAGAGCCGAGCCAGCCAGCCACGGCATCGATGTCTACCCCATACCTGGCGTCACTCCTATTAGCCTGCGTCTCTCTTCTCCTCCCCCTCCTCCCCACCACCTAGAGCTACACGTGTCCGACTTACCCGACGAGGACCTTCTTCTTTCCCATGGCGAAAATGACGCGATGCGGGCGAGCAGGCGAAGTGTGCGCGGGGCTCTGGTGATGGTGGTAACCTAAGCTGGGGCGAAGTCGGGAGGGGGAAGAGAATGCGACCGGCGGGGTGTGGGCAGGATCATGAACAGGTTGACGAACAGCTGATTTCATTTCAAGCTAAGCTAAGACGTCGATAAATCACCAGATCGGCGATACCCCGCCAGCGCCCACGACCCAGGGATATGGGAAGTTGGAGTTTGCGGGCGGGCAGGCAAGAGTAGGCGGATCGGCTAGCTGGCGGTGATAAGGGGGGGACCGGAGGACGCAGACCCCCATTCTTGGATCTCCGGCACGCTCAACTCTTGGGGCACCAAAACGCGATGCTAATCCGGGTGCTGCGACGCTGCCCCGCAGGCCTAAGTTCCTGCATATATCCATCCCACCTGTCCATCCACCCTTGATTTGTCGCCTCTTCCTTTGGGCGCGACGCGGCACATGGGCGTTTGGGGGAGGTGGCTTTTTTTTCTAAGACTTGCCCGTCTTGAGGCCGGACCGGGAGAGTAGGCGAAGTAACCGATTCGGACATCTGCAAAGGTCGACGCCGGGAACTTCTCACATGGCCTGACTCTCGGTGAGAATGGTATGTTATTGTTAGGCAATGATTCCCCGTGCCTATCATCTTGCGCGAGGCACGCGAGGCTCACAAGGTAAGAGGGAAGTGATCGGCGCACCCGCCGTCGAACCTGGTCGAGAAGCCGTCTCGGCAGGGCCGTACGAAGGTGGCCATCGATAGACATCGTATCATTCGCCTGCGCCTTTCGGCTGTCGCTCTCACGACGAGATGGCTGCTGGCTCTAGCGTTCTATCTTCTAATCGAAACATGGTACCTATTCATGGGTGTGGCCTCATTGTCATCTGCTCTAACCACCAGACGTGGATGCGAATGTCGTCCGTGAGCTCGGGGTGGAAGCTCGTCCCGAACACGTTCCCCTGTCGCAGTGCCACGATATCGCCCGCTCCTTCGGCGGGAGTGGTATGAGAGCCCTGAGCACTGGCGGTCGGCGCCGCTGCTCCCGCCGCTTTCTGGTTCGAGACGTGCCGCCCCGGCAGAATTGCCAGCACCTCGACCTTCCCCTTCGGACTCTTCTCTGCGTCCTCGTTTTTGTCGTCAGCCAGTATGTGGTCCACGACGGGTGCTCGGATGAAGACGGCGGGGAAGGGCGAGGGAGCTGCCTTGACACCGCCGCCCTCGTGGCCTTGGGACAGAAATGGCAGGTCCAAGTCCGTCACGAAGCTTTCTTTCTGTCGGCCGAAATGGTTGCGGTGGACTTTGACGTAGAGGCCTCCGATCAGCGCCTGGCCGCCTCGCTTCGTCGCGCTGGCTTCCTCGCACAGGAAGATGAGGCCGGCGCATGTGCCCCAAGTCGGCTTCTTGTCCACTCTGGCGGGTTCGAAACAACAGAGACGAAGAAGTCAGCGTCTTTTCCTCTTCGGCCTCGCATCCCCTCCCTCCCTCTCTCTCTCTTCTCTCTTCGTCCTGCGTGAGAGCGCCTCGCGCGGACGATACGGGGTACAGCTGCGGTTACTCACTTGACGAATTGCCGCAGCGGCTCTAGCAGCCCGGATTGCTCTGCTACTAACGAGAGCGTGGTGCTCTCCCCGCCGGGTATGACCAAACCATCGCAAGTAGCCAACTGGCCCGGCGTTCGCACCTCGATGAAGTCGAAGTGGCCCGGGGCATGTATCGGCGATGACGGCGGCTGGGGTCGAGCGGAGAGGTGGGCGGCCGCCTTGCGCAGGCAGCTGAGGTGTTCGGCGAAGCCTCCTTGAAGCGCGAGCACACCGACGGTGGCCATATCCGCTCCCGCCGTCGGGTGCGACGGCGTTTCGACGGCTTACTGGCTCGACGGGGGACGGGGAGGGGGGAAGGGCAGGTTATGGTGATTCTTTGCGGATTGATCTGTTCCGTCGCAGACCAACAATGGGGGCCGACAAGTACGAGGATGTTCGGATAAGGTAGACAGGCCGGGGTGTGTTTGTTGGCTTGGTTTCGGTCGGTATCCGGTCACGTAGATAAATAGACGGGTTCCTAGACGCTCTAAAACTGCCGCCTGTACTTTGATTTCTCTTGGTTCATTTTCTTGTTTCTTCGCTGTCGTTCTGTTTTCCCTCTTTCTATTTTATCTCCCTCCTTTTTCTCTCTCATTACCTCCCCCCCTGCCTATATCTCGCCTGCTTCTATTCTAAGATTTGCCCATCTTACCGAAGTCTGGTAGCATTGCTCGTATTTGACGCGATCGTGATAGGCGGGAGTCGGAACGTTAACTGGGCACTACCCTGTACTACACAGGGCGTTTGGCATATAACCATACCTACCTATATCTTAGGGATCCTAGAGGGCTAGGTAGGTACCTATTGTAGGTAGGTACACGCGAACCAACTTGAACCCCTTAGGTACTTACTACCTCGCTACCTACATCTCGTCGTCCTTACTTCGTTAGCTACCTGGCGTAGGGCGTGCCGAGTCGTCCCCAAGGTCCCTCCTCCTCTCCTCTCCCCTCCCCGAGACCGGCCGCGCCTATGCGTCATTCCGCGCCGAGCATTCCTCGTCGCACACCCCGACGGGCGGCGGGGCGACAGTTCCTTAGGAGGCAGTACTTAATGCACCTATACAGATTATGTACATCCCTCCATTGCTTGCCTCCTCGAATGTACAGCTAGGCTTATATATTTGCTCTCACCAAATATCCTTCTCCTTTTTGCGCCCTGGTTGAAGCCTGTCGCATATCGCTCTACATCCACCATAACCCTTCGCCTACCGCTTCTATCCGAGATGCTTGGCTCGTCTTCGATTTCCGTCGAGCGAAAAATTTTCCCCTCTCCCGAACCCAACCCTGCCAGGGGATCGATTCTATTTTTTCTGAGCGCTTCCCTGCTCTACTCACTCGCGCCCTTCTCAAGACCGCCGTCCCGGCCTATGGTAGCGACCTCCTGATTGGCAGGAATCCTGCTCAGACTTGCCTGGCCAGTCGCTGGCTGAACATCAAAGCCCGGGTCTGGACTTCGATCGCGGCTTATCCCGGCCGGTCCGCGGGAGCAACCCCGCGAGAAGTACCTCCACGTAGGTGGTGTAGACGCGGCTATGGAGGTCTCACGACTCGTACGCTGCATATAGTACTCGACGTTAGCAAAAGTATACCTAAGGCAGGTAGGTATATACATGCCTGTATATGTGCGTATTCTGTTCGAGGGCATGGATTCTTGATTCTGTAGGTATGTGTTCGGCCTGGATATAAATCTAACGCATCATCTACCTCATATATGCCGCTACCCGATTGTAGCGTATGCGCATTACATCTAGGTATATGAATTAGCGTGTTGATGCAGTACGTGTATTGAGAGGTACCTAAGTGTGTAAGTGAAGCCTCACTATATTCTCCTTCCTAACAAGTACCTCCTTAGACCTCGCCTATGTACCTAACATCTGAGTTTTAATTGATAAACATCTGGTGCTGCTTTTTGCTATTCCCAACTTCAGGTTTTGACTCTGCTGTCTTTCACCTCTTCTTTCTGCTCGTCTCTTTGTATCCTGAGTCGGACGCATCCGCTGCGTGCATTTCCCCCTGGTCACGATACCTACCGAGAGACCGAGGGACGGGAACTAGAGAAAAGGAATAAAAAATTTCTCGAAGGTACCAGTAAGAGTCACCCCATCCCGCCCGTATGTATGCGTGGATCGACATCTATCGTCGCCACACAGCCTCAACGTCCCGTCCCCTAACCACAACCTCAGAGCCCAGCAGCCATGACGAACAACGAGGCCAGTAACAGCAACAACGGCACCGCCCCGGCGCCCGCCGCCAATGGCACGAGTGCCACACCCTCCTTCGTCGTCAAGGCCGGGCTCGCCCAGATGCTCAAGGGTGGCGTCATCATGGACGTGACGGACGCCGCGCAGGCCCGCATCGCCGAGGAGGCCGGCGCCTGCGCCGTCATGGCCCTCGAGCGCGTGCCGGCCGACATCCGCGCCGAGGGTGGCGTCGCGCGCATGTCCGACCCGGGCAAGATCAAGGAGATCCAGGCGGCCGTCACGATCCCCGTCATGGCCAAGGCCCGCATCGGCCACTTCGTCGAGTGCCAGATCCTCGAGGCCCTCGGGGTCGACTACATCGACGAGAGCGAGGTGCTGACGCCGGCCGACGACGCCTTCCACGTCGAGAAGGCCGGCTTCTCGGTCCCGTTCGTCTGCGGCTGCCGCAACCTGCCCGAGGCGCTGCGCCGCATCGCCGAGGGCGCGGCCATGATCCGGACCAAGGGCGAGGCCGGCACCGGCGACGTCGTCGAGGCCGTCAAGCACATCCGCACGGTGTCGCGGGACATCGCGCGGGCGCGCGCCGCGCTGGCCGAGGGCGACGGCGCGCTGCGCCAGCTCGCGCGAGAGTTCGAGTGCGACGCGGCGCTGCTGCGGCAGACGGCCGAGCTCGGGCGGCTGCCGGTGGTCAACTTCGCGGCCGGCGGCGTGGCGACGCCGGCCGACGCGGCGCTGATGATGCAGCTCGGCTGCGACGGCGTCTTCGTCGGCAGCGGCATCTTCAAGTCGGGCGACGCGGCGAAGCGCGCCAAGGCCATCGTGCGCGCCACCACGCACTTCCGCGACCCCCAGGTCCTCGCCGACTGCAGCGAGGGCCTCGGCGAGGCCATGGTCGGCATCAGCGTGAGCAGCATGCGCCCCGAGCAGAAGCTCGCCGGCCGCGGCTGGTGAGCGGCGACGCGCATCGCCTCTTCTCTGTCATCGCCGTCGCGTGTAGGATCTACCTACCTGCGTACCTACATACGGGTGGGATAGCGGGGAGAGGAGGGATAATGGGGCAAAACAAAAAAAAGAAGTAGGTATGCGGAAGGAGGGAGGCTGGTTCCGGAATTCAACATTGTTCGTTGCACGTACATAACGCGTCTGAGCTCGTCGGTATTTTACATCATAGCTATGGGGGGGCGAGGGGGGAGAGACGGGGAGTAAGATTCAGGGGCATGCATACGAAGATGCGTACGAGTTTTCACGGGCGGGCTGAGACAAGAGGAGCCGCGTCTACGCCTTTTCTGTCTCCCGATCAGCTCGGCTGGTTGCTAGGTGTAGATGCAATTTATCTATCGTGCCCCTACGACTCACCACTAAAACGAGGGAATCCTCAGTAGATTCAGCCAACTGAGAACTTCACGGTACCCACAACCCTCCTCCCCTCCTCCCCATTCTCTCTCACTTCCCTCTACCCTCCTCCCTCACGCTGGCAGGTTGTTCCAGATGCGGTCGCTTATGGCGGGGTCGGGCACGAACCAGGGCGCGAGACGCGGCCGCTCGCGCAGCAGGAGGTCGATGACCATGCGGCCGAAGACGACGGTGCCGTGCGGGTTGAGGTGGGTGGTGTCCTTGCCGTCTTCGCCCCAGTTGTAGGCCCAGGCGGCGTCGCGGCCGATGGCGTTGATGTAGCGCAGGCTGGCGCCGTTGAGGTCGACGGCGAGCGCGCCGCGCACCGCGGCCGCGGCCGCAAGCGCCGCCCCGCGCTCCGCCGCCAGCGAGTCCGTCGCGTTGTGCTCCGAGCCCGCCGGGAATACGCGCCGCGTCAGCGAGGAGACGAGGATCTGTGCGCGCGGTCAGCCGACGAAAGGCGGGGGAACAGGCCGCGGCATTCAGCTTACCGGCGTGCCGCCCAGCGACCGGATCTCCTCCGCGAAGCGGATCAGGTTCGCCTGGTACGTCTCGAACGAGACGTTGTTCTGGGGCTTCTGGTCGTTGTGCCCGAACTGCGACGACGCCGCGTTAGCCCACGCCGAATCTTCTCGCGCTCTGCCCTCGTCCTCCTAGCACGCTGCGTCCGCGCTAGACAGACGCATGCTCGCCGCCGGGGGTTCCTCACGCTGATCGTCACGTAGCTCTCGAACTCGGCGGCGTGGGCGCGCACCAGCGCCAGGACGCCGTCCCAGCGGCCCTCGGCGACGAACGACGCCGTCGTCGCGCCGCTCTTGCCCGCGTTGGCGCTGGGCGCCCGCGCCGCCGGCGTCAGCGCCGCCAGCAGCCCGTCGCCCCACCCGCCGTCCACCGCCGTGGTTGAGTCCCCCGCCAGGAAGAAGGCCGGCGTCTTCTTCGGCGCCGGCGGCTTGCCCGCGCCCGGGAGCGCGGCTGCTGAGGTCCGAGAGGCGCAGAGGGCCGCCGCCGCCGCCCAGAGGAGTGATGGCGCTCGCATGTTGGGTAGGGAGGGAGGGAGGCAGGGTTCGAGTGGTAGAAAGCTATGGAGAGGTATACTCGCCCACGCGGGTTTCGAATCGGAACGTCTTTCTCTGAGCCTAGTCCTGCCGTCCCCTGCGTATTTATAGCCACGCATACATCCACCTACGCATTTTTGGCCCCCGACCCCGTTCCTCCTTTTTGGCCCCTTCCGTCCCTCCCGTGACATATTTATCCTATCCCCTGATCGAGGTCCTACGTACCGAGATCTGGTGGCCCCCTATCCGTCCTCGCCCCCAAGTGCGCATCCAAACAAGCAATACCACCACCAATGGGATCACCGATGAGGCCGTACGACGAGGGCAAGCCCTTCCCCACGCCCCGCCCGTGCAGCCAGCTCCCCCCTCTCGCAATAACACACACCGAGACGAGGTAGCATCCCCGAAGGCGCTAATCCCCCCTGCGGGATCCTCAATTGGTGAATGGGGGCGCCGCGGGGCGCTGGCCAGCTGGCTCGACGGAGAAATTAGGTACGCCTGCGCTCAGCTGGGTCTGTGGGAGGGCGGCGCGGGCGTCAGATTGCGACGCCGAGCGGGTGACGCGATGCGACCGAGTTGTTCGTCAGAGGGCGCGGCTCGCTCGCTCTGCTCGGGGCCTCGTTGGGGTTCTCCCCTGTTCGCGCGCCAGGTAAGGCGCCTGCTCCGCGGCGATTCGGACCAACAAATCGACGAGTATCTCGCCGAACGCCTTGCTCTCACGAAATATCGTGCTCGTCCCTAAGGCAGACGGATATTATTAGGGCGAATAGTCTCGCTACTACGGAGAGGGGATAGGAGAGAGGAAAGCGGGATTGTCTTGTGGAATCTATAGGTACCCAGCACTCCACCGAGGGGAAGGGGTCAAGGTAATGAAGGGAATCGAGATATCAGGAGAGCAAATGTCTACTGACTTGGCCCCAGATTGTTCTCGCGCACTGTCTATTATTACCTCTAGTTAGGAGACGGCCGCGAGGCTCAAGATTTATGGGAATCTAGATATGCTAACCCTCCTGAAGAGCGGCCAGCGGCCAGGCCAAGAAATACTCGTAATAGGTAAGTACCTTACCGCCACGAATGTTCGACCACAGTTAGGTATATCCCCTAACCGCCACCCCTTTACAATTATCTACAGGCGCACATCATGCATACACGCTTTCTGTCCAAGAGTTAACCTGCAATCCCGTCTCGGCCATGTTCGCGTCCTTCAGGTAGTCTAGCGGCATCCAGACGAGGTGTCCCTTGATCTGGTCAAGCTTCTTGCGAATATCTTCCGGTGGCGAAAACCGGTTGAAAATGTGTCCAGGAGTGACCCCCTTGGGCGGCAGGAAGGTGTTGTAATTGTCAAATGTTTTTACTGTACTCTCGTATTAGTCGCAGTCGAACACTCTCCCCTTGCCTTTTTTTCTTCCCATTTTTTTTTTCTCATCAAACGCCCTCGGATCTCTGGACTTACCATAGTCATCCGGGTCTGCATGGAACAGGTCTCTGAAGACTTCCGTGTTGGTAGTCGCGTTGGTCGTCCACATGTTCCAGAGCTCGTCGCTCATGGGGTCTTCGACGAACTTGTAGCTCTCGTCTTCGTCCCAGGCGTCATTCGGCGAGTCCTCCCCCGGAGGCTGGGCATTGGGGTCATTGCTCGCGTCGTGCGGTTGCGGAGGTAGCAGGCCCAGATGCTCTCGCCAGAGGTACCGCCGTAAGGTGGCTGCGTGTCGCCCTGCCTCGAACGATTCTCCGTCCATGACGCTCGATATTTTATCTGTATCCTCCATCACTATCGACAGCTCGCTATCGTGATTCCCTTGCTGACTTCGGTCGTTCAAGTTGCTGGAGCCGCAAATGACGATGCGGTCATCTACGATAAGGAGCTTGGCATGAACGTATAGTTCCTCTTGGATCCAATTTTCGATCTCTTCCTGGGGCTCGCCCTCCCAAACCTCGTCCGAGACCTTGCCGGTATTTGCCATCGCATGGTGGGCTACACTAAAAGTCGAGTTGGTGTCCTGATCCTCCCGCCTAGCCGCCTCGAACCGTCGCTTTGCCTCGTTGCTCTTTAGAGCTTCCCTCGCCCCCTTGCACCGCTCCTGCTCACGATCAGCGCCGGCCTCGTCATACATGCCTTCACCCATGATTTCCTCGGCCTCGGCGCGCTGGACTTCGTAATAGCTCACGCCCGAATCTTCCTCTTGTCTCTTTACGGCAGGGATCTTGTTCAGACGGTCGTAGGAACGCAGGTTAAAGAGGAAGATATGGTTCCTGGGTTCGACACCCTGTGCGCGGATTTGCTCGAAGATGGAATTTTCGCCGCGACATATCGACTTGTATTGGTAATCCATGATGGCGCGCGTTCCGGTTGCCGCATCATCGCGAAGATCCCCAGCGAAACCCGGGATGGCCGGAATAATGATGATAACCCTGAACTTTCTGCCTTCCTTACCAGCCTTCACGCAAGCGTCTACGATGGATTTCCCCACCGTGTTGTGAATAGGTGACTGCTGGTCTCCGGTAGCAGTAATGAAGAACTGGTTCTCGATGTATACGTAGTGTTGGGCGCTGCGAATGACCTCTGAATATGCATTCTGTATGGAATGGTCCGTGAGTACGCCGCTGGACCAGTCGGCACTGCTGCGCACAATCTGAGCATGGAGCGTTCCGCGGTTGTCGAGATTCTTGCCTGCCATAGGTGTCAAGGGATGCACGACGTAATCACCCACGGGGTGCTTTGGCCGTTGTACGCCCACCAGATCTTCGTCCGCGCCCTGACGACCCTGGAGCTCGAGCCAGTCGAACCTCCCGTCACGCTTATACTTGTCCCGTTTGACAAAGTTCCAGCGCAATACGAAATGCTCGGCGATGTCGTACACGCAGGGTCCGATGAGGCCCATGGCTACATCGTGCCATGGCATACGGCCGTATTCGGCCTTGTTCAGTTCGTTCTGCATCCAGTCTTGGACGTTCTTGAAATCCATTACACGGTTGTTGTTGAAATCCTGGCCCGGCCAGATTTCGTTCACGATCCCTTCGGGGTGGAGATCGGAGAGGATATGCTGGTGGTCATCCCAGCGGCCGAAGCACAGGTCCAGGCCGCCGATGAAGGCCATCGCATAGTCGATTACGACGAACTTCTCGTGGTGAGCCCAGTAGAAGGTCATATCGGCAGCGTTCTCCAGCACGTTATGGTCGGGGTGTCGCATAACCTTGATATTGCCATATCCAGGGGAGCCTTCGGGGCACAGGCCCTGAAGGGCGTGCTTGGTATGTTCTGAATTGCAAGTCAGAGCCGCCTCGACCTCGCGGTAGACGATGACATAGATTTTCACTCCCGCTTCTGCGCGGCGCTTCAATACTTTATCTAACCGCCATTCCTGGTTAAAATGCGGCGGTCTACGGAGGAAGAGTTCGGGCGAGAGCCACCAGTCTGCGATGTAAATGGTTTCCTTTGCCTGCTCTAGAGCCACGGATACCGCCTAGGTGTAGGCAAGGAGAAGCCATATCTGATCAGAGGCCGCCAGTATAAGTGGGGGGGAGAATACGCGTACCCAGAAGTAATCCCTTCCGTCGACATACCATTTGATCAGATTTCCGTCATGTTCGGGAAAGTAAGAGTTAAAGCGGTGCCGCTCGGAGATATTGTTGCGCTTCTCGTCGCAGGCCTTCTCGTGTTCTTCGTCATGGCGATGCTCTGGATTAAACTACGTATGCGCGTGAGCCTATAACCTCAGCACGGCTACCAGGTTCATCATGGGCCTAAGGAATAAAGAGAGAAGAGAAAGAGGGCCTACGATATTTGCAAATTTCCCAATCTTATGCCTAAGGGGAATTGAGTTAACGCACGCACGTCTTGAGAACCGGGGGGCTGCCAGGAATTGACACCGACGTACTTCGTGTTGATGAGGCTAGCTTTAGCATCGTGTAAATGAGTATCCTCCAACTTCTCTTTCAGGTCGTGAAGCGAATGCTTCAACTTGTGGGCGAAGTGAAAATGCCCGCTGTTTTGGGGCGGCGGGTTAGACATTACGCTAGTACGTCTCTCTCGAAACTTGAACTCCTTCGAGACAGGATGACCTGTTCGGGGAGGAAGATAAGGTCGAGGAGACGGTAGGATCGAAAATGATAGACGGATGAGAAGACGGGTATGAGTGTGGTGTCGCCGTAGAATCTATCGAGAGAAAAGTCTCCAAGGCCTCTGAGAGAGCTGGGCCAGGAACAAGACTCCGTGGTACTGTAGCTCTGAAGCCCTGAATTCCAGATTTTGGGGTGGATCCCGGCACACGGATGTGGTACGAGTATCATGTAGGAGAGACAAGGGAGGACTAAAGAGATCCGGGGGTGGAGGAGGACAGGGAAGAGAGAGGTGAACAGAAAGGGAGAGGTACACGACAATATGTAAACGAAGATGGCGTCAAAGGGCGATGTCATGTCTACGTCGTCATAGGCGGCTGGGACTGGGCAGCGATTCGTGTACCCCTGAACTGGGATCGTCTGACGGGTTCGCCCTGGCTCGGATTCGGAGAGAGGCGTGGAAATACGAGGTGTAGGACGGGGACCCCGGACCGGCCGTGTACCTCGAGCACATATCTCAACAGTTATATAGATACCTAAGGTTACTATAGAATAACAGGAGGACTATGCGAGAGCGAAGCGGTCGGTACCTGAGGTCGGGACCCCCGTAGGAATTGGCAATTGAGGCCATCGATGTAGGGATGGGGGAAAAGAAAGGCGCATAAAGGCAGAAGCAAAGACGAGGACGGCACCGACGCCTCGACGAATGCGAAGGCGACATGACGTCAAGCCAAACCCACACTAATCGATTTGCTCTCCTCCATCTGGCAAGGAGAAAAAGAGTGCCCTCTCTTCAGCCCGATCGCAAATGACATGCGCTCCACGTCTAAGAATAGGTAGGTAGGTATCCCTAATTCTAGAAGAATTCCCTGTTTACAGTAGTGCCGTATCGCGATTGAGCCGCAAATACGTAGTCTAACTACTACTTATATGAGGCGATCATCACCGTTACTTACCTACTTGCTTAAAGAGACCCCACAATGCCCCTCGGATGGATCCCCATCTGCCCCTCCATCGGCCCCGCCTTAAGATCCCGATGTCCGACAACCCACCTAACGTCTACCTCTATGCAAGAAAGAAACCAGATTTCCCTTTCCAACATCGACCCGAACCACACACCTATACGTCGTGCCCGTATGCACACCTCGGCCTCGATACGTTCGACACCTAGATGGCTCGGTTCCCCTAGCAATGCACGTAGACAGATAGATAGATAGTCGAATTGTCGTTGTGCGTGGTCGTACCCGTGGCTAGTAGCGACGGAGACAGTAGAGTAGGAGTGCGCTGAGTACGTAACTGAAATGAATGCGGTGTAGGGGTACACCCCTCGCTGCGCCCCCTCAGCACCCCACTCGTCGCCTACACGTGTACCCAACTGCCCCATTCGCTGCAAGACACCGCTATGGAGTTACCTCTGAGAGGTACCCGCCGCGTCGTGCCTATCAGAGCTGTCTGCGACGCCCGTCTAGCCTATCTGGCCTTGTCAAGGCCCCTGATCTAGCGTCGCACTACAGGTACCTATACACTTTTAACTGCATGTCAGTGTGTACATCGTCACCCTGCCATACCACGTAGTAGCCCGAGGTACCTTACTTAGGTAACCTAACCTCGATAAAGACGTCGTCTTCTCGTCTCGAGCTTCCCCCTATTCTCTTTCCCTCTCTCTCTCTCGTTCGCCGCAAATCGCCCAACAACAGCAATAAATTCTCCATCCTCTCCTCCCGCCATTGATTTACCTCTCGACACTGCCTTATTCTCCTAAAACCTCACAGCGTCACAGCCGCCGTCACCATGGCCTTCCCCGCCGGTGGCACTCTGCTCGACACCTTCAAGAAGTCCTTTGTCGACGTGCCGGTCGACGCCAGCAACGACAATGCCATTTCTACCACCGAGTTCCTCGAGGCTGCCGAGTCTCTAACCACCATGTTCGGTGCGTCCGCCGTGCCCGTCTGAGAAAAGCTGAACTCTCCCCTGCTCACCGTCCACGCGTACAGACGTCCTCGGCTCCGTCGCCTTCTCCCCCGTCAAGTCTGACATGTTGGGCAACGTGAAGGTAATTCTACGCTACTCGCCCTCGCCGTTATCGTCCATACGCTAACAGCCCGAAGAAAATTCGCGACCGCCAGCTCGCTGCCCCGGCCGAATCCGAAACTCTCCAAGCCCTCGTCCTCAATGAGCTCAAGACCAGGAAGCACACCGCCACCGAGGGCCTTCTTTGGCTGGTTCGGTATGGCACCCCTCCATGTTTACTCGTAGCCCAACCACAGAGATAAATGCTAATGCGGAAATTACGCGGCAGCGGACTGGAATTCACCTACCTCGCCCTGAGCCAGAACCTAGCCCAGGAAGGCGAGGAACTGTCCACCTCGTTCCGAAATGCCTACGGCTCCACGCTCAAGCCTCACCACGGCATCCTCATCAAGCCCGTCTTCTCCGCCGCCATGAGCGCCTGCCCCTACCGCAAGGATTTCTACCCCAAGTTGGGAGACGACCACGCCAAGGTTTCGGTCGAGCTGAAGGCCTACCTGGACGCACTCGAGAGGATTGTCGGCATACTTAAGGAGTTCCAGGGGCGGAAGGAGGCTAAGTGGTGATTACGTGGCCGAAAGCACCGCGCGAGTCTATAAACACTCGCTCCCTTCCCAACTACTGGGGAACACAACCCGAACGGCCCGACGGCAGGGTATCCCGGCCCGGGAGAGGGTAGAGACGACGGTGATTTTCCCCACGGTGTTGGCATCATTGCCGTCTGGAGAAAGCAGGGTCTGCGCTGATTTGGGACTGGGAATTTCTCTAAACGACCCCTTGTGGCTTGTGGCGAGATGACGGGGCACTTCGGGTCGCATAGGAGCAGATCTAATTAGCAGTTCGTCAACACGCTTTGCTATTTAATAAATCCGTCACTCTAGCACAACAGCAAAATGAAGAATATGTTAAGATACGACTAAGCGTGGATCAAATCAGCCACCTCGATGTTACAATCGAACCCGTGTTATTTATACGCGAACTTGCCTCCTTTAGTTTGTCAGCGTAATCGTGGGCTAACTGACTGTTTAGCAACCAGGAACTTTCGATGCTAGTTTCCTCGAGGTACTGTACGTTAAAAAAAAATGTCGCTAAGACGAACTCTGTGCGGCTTCAGGACACAAATTGTCGATTCTGAAGACTTCAAACCTCTACCGTTTAAAGGATCTAGTATGTACGCGGCCCCTGAAATGCCTACTTGTCATGGTTCTCATCACTTCACTGGCAAGACCCTACTCAGCATTTCTGTCTATAGACAAGATACCGACATGTCCAGATCTAGCCGAGATGCGATCAACATGTCGCGGTCATCATAAGCAGTCCGGCTCTTGTAGCCCGGGCGACTACCTAAAACTACGCCCCAACGAAGGGAAAGAGAAACGGCTGGCAACTGTCGAGGCTGGATAGTAAGGTATTATGAGCATTATGCTCTGGAAGCTCTAGCTGGCTCCAGGGCGGTCGATATAAAAAGCCACAAGGTGTGGCCGGGCAAACAGACATACGTGCGAGCCGTAGATATAACCCGACGAGGATGTAGTGTACTTGCGAGGCTGGAAACTCGTTATCGATTCCCCAAGTGACGCGGTAAAAGGGGGTGTGTCATTATACATCATGATCATTACCGTGCCGAGGCATAATAGATCGAGGAAAATTTTAAAGGCATTGGAACGACTATAACTATTTTCTGGTGCATGCTATAGTAACCAGGGGTAAAAAGCACGCAAGCGTATACAACAGGCGGATATTCCGAGTCTACACTATATTTAAACTGTACGGACTCGCCTACTACGTCTTTACGTTCCTCTACTAGGGCGTGCCTGTCCCAGTCAGGACAGAGAAACAGAGCCAGTCCTTGTCCTCCTCTTTCGCAAGATCGCGCTTCCGTCTATATCCTGCGCATCCCCAGTTCTCCTACGAGATCTTCCTCTCCCCTCCCCCCTTTACCCCCTATTCCTCACCCTCTCGCCGCCATCAAACCGCCCGCCCGATCACCCACGTGACCGGGACGCCAGCGCACGAGAAGTTACCAGCGGCAGCGACGCGGCCACCGTGGTGGAAGCGCGCGAGCGCGACGGTGATGCTGTCGCGGACGTCCTTGTCGCCGAGCTCGAGGGCAGCCGGCGTCGGGCGCCGCACGCCGAACGCGCAGGTCCCGCTCGCTGCGAGGCGCGCCCAAGTACCGCCGACCGCCGCCGACCCCAACGCGAAGTAGCCCGGGTGCGCGCGCAGGTCGGCCGCGATGGCGGCGCAGTCGGCGGCGGCCGCCAGCGCCGACGCGTTCGTCGTGTCCGCGAAGGTGCTCTCGGCGCAGAGCTCGTGCGCGCGCGTGTCGTTGCGGTACGCCCGCGCGCGAGAGCGGCGGGCCCGCGCCGCCTCGTAGGGCCCCCGCGGGTACACGCTAGAGACGCGGCCGCTGGGGTGCTGGGCCTGGGGCTCGAGGACGGGGCGGGTCGGCGCCGGCGCTACGAGGGCGGCGGCGGAGGCTGCTCCCGGTGCGGCTGGGAGAGGGGGGAAGGCGCCGAGGAATGCGAGGAGGCCGGCGGCGAGGACGGCACGGAGGGACATCTTGGACACCCGCGGGATGGTGGTTCGGAGGCGTTTGTCTGCTAATAGTGAAGAGGCAGAGGAGGACACTGCTGCTTCGGCGAGTTCGCGGGTCTGCGTTCAGATGCCGACGATAGTGCCGCTCGGCCCTCGATGTGCCTGCACAACCAAGAAATTTTCAGCACACGGAAGGTTTTCGCGGTCCCAGGAATATGCGTGCCTGTGTAGTAGCAAGGCTTCCCTCGTTTCTCTCCTCCTCCCTCTCGCCCCTCTCACCCGGTGTCTCACTCTCAACCTGTACAGACCCGCGCGTACGACAGGCGAAATCCTGGACGGGCATATGCATGCGTGTGTATGTGCGTGTGTGGAGAGATCTGCCCCATGTACGCACGTACGCATGCATGTGCGTAGCTTGACGCACGACGGCGATGGTAAAGGCGGGCATGGCTGTGGCGTACATGCCAATCGATACCATGTTCAATCAACGACGAGCAGAGAGTATTTATATGTGGTTGGCCGAGACGTCGAAGACGGAAGCGGTCACGATCGCGACGGGCAAAATGCGGTGAAGGACGTGCTCGTCCTCCCTTACACGGCCTGGATGAGAATCCAGATGACTATCTGAGACGGGGTGCATCGGCGACCGTCGTGCAAGGTTTCTGTCACTCCAATATCATTGTCGAGTGGTATAGCTACACATGGGCCCTGGAACAGGTCTCCTGGCTGGCTCGTTATTATTTCTCCGTTGGGAACTAACCCCTCTTCCATTTAAGTCCCAGCCAGCTGCCTCGGCGAGACCTTCGCGGTGTGAACGAGAAGCGGCCTGAAGTAATACTTCTGCATATGCACTTCGGGTGCTCTACGGCGACTAGCCGTTGTGACCGTATTAGTTCGTGCCGGGACGATGAACCTGCGTTTATTATCTATGTTGAGAGGCCATGATGATCAGTATACACTAGCCGGAGTTACTAGGGGACTTGAGTGTCAATACGGATACTTAAACGTATATTCTCAATGTCATTTCGAAGGTGTTAGCGTCTGCCGAAGCGAAGTAGGCATTGAATATGTGAATAGTTGATATCATCGTGATCTTCATGACTATCGGCATAAAGCCGTCCCCTCCCCCTATTTGCAGGTGGTCACCCATCGATTGCCGTGGCTGCTTGAGTGCACATCTCTTGGCACTCACCGCAACTCTTAGGCCTCGATCTCATCGCCCCGACTTGGTCATGACTATACTTCCTATATTTACTTATTCTAAGGCGTGCGTGTAAGACACCTTTATGCGCACATGTTGGTCGCCCCCGAAGGTGAAACATCGCTGCCCCATCCTCCAGCACCAAGCCCGGCGCGCATATTTAAAATATTTTACCATCTGGAAGTGATAGTCGAGGAATCCCACGATATGGAACAGACGCGATTCAGAGAACGGGCGGGCGCCGGTCTACGCTATACAGTTATCGGCACAGTACCTGCTACTATGGCCTTGATAATCATTCCTGGAGCTGGGTGAGGTACAATACTCGCATCTATTCTGGGCTTTCATGGTGTGAACCCCTCCTAATACGAGTATCACGGTATAAACCTATCACCAGGCTCTACGGCGCTTGTTCATGGAGCGGAATGAAGTTGTCTCCTAGATGCTATGCTACGTATAATGCAGGAGATAACTTACCTATACAATCCAAAGCCGATCAGGGGCCCGGAGTACCCGGAGCCCGGTTGGTGGGTGGGACGGGACATCCCACCACAACAAAGACGAATGTCTCACGAATTATATAGGTACTGAGAAGATAGGTATATGGAGCCAGGTGTTTTGCGGAGGACTAACGCCACGACTCCCGCGAGACCAACTGCTTTGATCTACCTAACAACGACGCTCTTCAACGCCACCATCGACGACTATCTTCAAATGTGGCGGAAGAACATAATTGGCACACAGACAGTGTTCCTAGGACAATATAATAGGTAGGTATCTACCATGAGGCAGAGTTGCTTATAAGGAGTCACCTCGAATCTCAATACCAATCATATGATGCTGGTTCCCGTGGCCCATTATCATTCATTTGACGCTCTCGGCAAGCTTGTCCAACCGCAGAATATATCAGCTGTCGATGGCATTTTTGGTCACGTCATGGCCCAAATTCGGCTCGGCCGCCGGAAGAGACCTTCTGATGTCCTGTCCCTGCGTTGCTCTCATGGAGGGGGGGGGGGATGGGGATATGCAATGCAACGTCTTATTCGGGCAGGATGGCGTCTCCCTCCGTATGCGGCCCCGGACGGCTGGCCCTACGTAGCAATCTACGAGGCGCCAAGACCCAAATGTTCCCACCGTAACCTGGGAAGTGCCGCATTACTTTATCCGTGAGAGACACAGGGGGTGGGAGGTTCCGCGCACGTAGGCATGTATATCCCGAGCGTAGGACTCGCGCCGGTTGCATCACAGCTTGAAAGGTAAGCTGCGCTGACCTCCCTAGTTTGGATGGTGACGACGACGGATGGTTCCTCTCAAAGTCGTAGATGAGCTGAGGATAGGATAACGATATCTGGATCGCTATTTAGCGAACACCTAAATAAGAAGGAGCCGAAGGGTCTTCGATACTGGTTCACTTTACTACTACCGCGAAGTCGTCTGCTGATGCCGCACTGAGGCAGACGACAGCAACACTACTAGGCCTTAATCTATCGATCTGAGGATCTAATAGCCTCGCTTCCCTGATCTAGAACTGTCTCATGCAGGGGATTCATCTGCAGAACACCAGCTTAACACCCAAACTCCGTTTATCACTGTCACATGGGCTCCTAGGAAGCCGCCCACCCCCTTACCTTTAGCCATAACAAGCTTTATCTTACTACCAGGCGCTTAGAACCCTTCACGCCGCGTCAGTCATGCCAAAGATCCGGGAGTATCCCCGGTCCTGTATGGACTTTATCTGATACCAGCTCTCGATATTAATAGTAGGTTATTTTCGGGACTTTATATTTAGCAGCCCAGGGGAACCTGTAGACGTTGTAGATCAGACCAGTCTCCTCGGTTGTGTCATTGTTTCTCGTGTACCTGGTCCCCGGTGCTTTAAAAGATGTTGGCTACGACGGTTGGTATTGTGTTGGGTTGGGTCTTGGGGACCGCCGTCGCCTCGCCGACATGTCCTATTGACGGGCCTGCCTTTCCGAAGCCCCTTCGGCCGTCCCAGAACGAGGCCATCAAGACAGCGGTGGCGACCCTGCAGGATATATTTGCCAACATTACGGCGGCGGCTCAGGATTACTCCCTCTCTGTGCAGGTCTTCTCCGCGCACGAGCCCGAGCCGCTGTTCTCGCTGTCCCACACGGCGCCGAATCTCGACCAGACAACGCCCGGTGTGAAGACCGTCGACGAGAACACCGTCTTCCGCCTCGGCAGCCTCACCAAAATCTACACAATCTACGCCTTCATCATCAACGCCGGCGATCGGCTCTGGAACGAGCCCATCACGAAGTACGTCCCCGAGCTCCAGGCGCTGGCCAACCGCTCGGACCCGGTCAACAACGTAGCATGGGACGATATCACCCTCGGCGGTCTCGCGACGCAGTTGACGGGAATCCCGCGGGAATGTAAGGAACCGTGTGAAAGCCCAGAGCGATTGGCCGGCTGCGTGCTGACAGGCACCCACAGATGCGTTACTTGGAGAGCTGACCCAGTCGAAAGAAACGAAGGACAGGGTGGTGCAACTTGGATTCCCGCCGTTACCGAAGGACCAACTGCCGCCAGTGGGTGTCTCGTCCTTCCCCTCTCTGCTCTCTTCTCGTAGTGGTTATGCCCGGAAACTCTACGAGCCTGCGTCTTCATCGGCTTGTGTCATTACACGGGGATCGATCCCATACTGACCTTATATGCCCCAGTGCGGAGCATACCCAACGTGTACTCGAGCTCGTAAGACTCCCGAGATCGCTAAAAACTTCCCTTGGATCTTACTAACGTCCCCTTTAGAATTCTTCAATGGCATCAGCCAATTCTATCCGTCTCTGGCCCCATTCCAGTCGCCGGCATATTCCAATGTTGCGTTCCAACTCCTGTAAGTACACTTCGTGCGAGGCCTCACATATCGTAATGGACGGACAGCCTAACCAATGGATGTTCTTCGCCCATTCTTAACAGCGGTTATGCTCTCGAGACAATAACGGGAAAGAAGTTCGAAACAATCGTCGAAGAAACTGTGATCGAGCCTTTAGGACTGAACCGAACGTTTCTCCGAGCCCCCAACGACTCTCTCGGCATCATTCCCGGAGACTACTTTGAGACGGGATGGGCCTACGACATCGGGGAATCCGTAGCGTAAGTTCGTTCCATCGGGCAATACCATAGACAGTAAATATTAACGCACCCCGCCGACAGGACCGGAAACATGTACGCCTCGGCATCGGATCTCTCGGCCCTGGGCCGGGCCATCCTGGGCCACAAGCTGCTGTCGCCGGTGCAGACGCGGCGGTGGCTCAAGCCGTTCGCTTTCTCGTCGGACCCGCGGGCGATGGTCGGCATGCCGTGGGGCGCCCGCAGGATCAACCTCGAGGACACGTACCGCTGGACGACAGCCTTCAACAAGGCCGGTAACATTGGCAACTACAGCGCGCTCCTCGCGCTCCTGCCCGACTTTGACATCGGCATCTCGATCCTCGTCGCCGGCAAGCTGCCGGGGAACGTCGGTTTTGGCCTCGCCGGTACGTGAATGAGGTTTTCCCTGCTTCTCCTCCCCCTCCCCCTTTTTCCTCCAGTTTTATGTACGAAAAGAATCAAAATAATGGAGAGAGAGAGAGAGACGAAGGAAATCAGAGAATAAACACTGACACACGCGACTTGGAGCAGACGTCATCGGAGGGCCTCTGCTGCCGGCGATCGAGCAGGCGGCGCGGGCGGAGGCCGGGGCGCAGTACAGCGGGCACTACGTAGCAGCAGACGCGGGGGTGAACTCGTCGATGACGATCGAGACGGACGCGCTGCCGGGGCTGAGCATCTCGCAGTGGTTCAGCAACGGGACGGACTTCGCGTGGATCGCGACGGTGCTGCAGAACCAGTACTACCCGGTGCGGCCGCGGATCCGGCTGTACCCGAGCGGGCTCGCGGGGCCGGGCGCGGACGGGCGCGGCACGCGCGTCGCGTTCAAGGCCATGTTCGAGGACGCCGACGGGCCCCGCCTCGACGGCCGCATGTTCTCCACCGAGTGCGGCACCTGGGTCTCCATCGAGTCCGTCATCTACGGCTCCGCCGCCGTCGACGGGCTCATCTTCAACGTCGACCCCGACGGCCGCGTCGTGAGCGTCACGTCGCCCGCGCTGCGCGTCACGCTGAATAAGGAATGAGGGCAGGGGGACTGGGCTTCCCGGAACAAGACGCTGCGCTGAGCGAGCGAAATGTACTATTACGATAAGATAAAAGGGGCCTGCTCTCGAGACATGTTCTCGTCTGGAGGGGGCCGGGTGTACCCACGTCAGAGGCGGTTTTATGGCGCTCTAACCGCTCAGCTGTGTTTTATAAAACCGAACAGACATTTACTCCAGTAAAGCGACGCCGATCCCGCATGGATGTCTCTTTTTCAGGGGTAAGCCACTGTTACAGTGCTGCAGTTGAGTTGTTGATATGCCTGTCCTCATGTGCTGAATCCTATGAGACCTAGGTTATGCCAACTTGACCTACCTACGTCTCGCGCAACGGCGATTTTCGACGATGGTTATCGCGATGGAACTCAAATGACTAGACACGACAGAGTCCTTGTTTAAAAGGGAACTCCCGGCTTATTGTCGTTACCTATCTACATATTTCCAAGCCTAGTTCCTTCGGCTCCTCTCCAACCCAGACGGCTATTGGGTAGGCCGGGCGCCTCCAAGCGCGGTAATTCTCTCACGTAATAAGCTGACCTGACTCCTGTGAGATCCTTACTCGAAGCCGGTACGCCGTAGGGTCGATCCACCACCTACTCTAGAAGCGGGGGAGCCATGCGGCGCAAGTGGGCGCCGAATAATTATGAGCTCATGGCGAGCGGCCGACAAGGAGACCGGCGAGGGATGGGCTGATCTGGCTCCAGGGGGACCATCTCGGCGTCGCGCGGACATTTCAAATTGTCCGGGTCCGCGCCCGCGAGCGCACCATGACTCCTTTCTGGGCCTTGCAATGGTTGGAGGCGTTACCAATGCCAGAAGCCGGGTGCTGGCATAGAGCAGACAGATAAATACAGAAACTCCCACTCCGGAGTCTTTTATTGTTTACTGGTCAAGGACAAACAGCAGCACTATATCCGCGATCGTCGTTGGACAGATCTTGCGTCTTACAGCATAACGAACACACCATCAGCTACACTGCTGCTCACTGCTCCAACGAGTGTCACACGCCCTCGCTCGCCCCCCCCGCCGTAACGCGCCGTGTCATCGTCGCTTTCTCGAGTCCACCCCTCCAGCTACCTACTATCTGTAGCTCCGGAAAGCATGCCTTTCCTCTCCACACCACTGACCCTCGCAGCCTCCGGCGGCATCCTCGGGTCCGCGTGGCTATCAGGTCCGTCGTAGCGCACGCCACACCCCTTTCTCTCTCCCCATCCCTCTCGTCACCTACCCCCTCGCTCGTCGACTGACCCGCCTCCCCAATCTCTCTAGGCAGCATCGCCACGCACTCGATCGCCGCCGTCCCGGCGATCCTGCGCACCGGCGCGCCGGCCGAGGGCCTGCTGCGCGGGTGGAGCCTGCAGTTCGAGCGGGGGAGGCGGCTGATCCCGACGAGCGCGGCCGCCATCTCGCTGGTGTACCTGGCGCTCGCGCAGCAGCACCACGCCAGCGGTGTCGAGTGGCGCGGCTATGCGGCGGCGGCCGCCGCCAACCTCGCCCTGCCCCCCCTCACCGTCCTGTTCATCTTCGGCATCAACGCCCGCCTCAACGCCGCCCTCGCCGCCGTCGACGGCCCCTCCGCCGTCGACGGCCCCTCCGCCGGCGCGAAGCCCCTCGTCACCGCCGCCGAGGTCCGCGCCCTCATCCAGAGGTGGTCCGGCCTGAATGCCGTCCGCACCGTCTTCCCCCTGGCCGGCGCCGTGTTCGCGCTGTGGAACTTGTTGCTTTAGGGGCGGCGTAGAGAGGAGCGGGGACGAGCGCGGGGACGAGCGCGGGGACGCGAATCTGCGCAGATCGCGAAAAGGGGCACGGAGTCAAGAATGGAGCTGTGACGAGTAATGGCCTGCTGATAGACAGCAACCGGAAAGGGATGAGAGCTCAGGCCCTGGTATCGGAAAAATAACGAAACAGTAAAAGAACAGATGCCTTGGGGGTCTAACTTCTACCTTGGTAAGCTCTTCTATTCTCAGGTGAGCCGTAACAACTACATAGCTACCGGAAATTTATGAATTCATGTTTTTTAGTTGGTTTTAATGACCATAATACTCGTGGAATCGTTAATAAGCAAGGGTCAATCACAATAATCCGTAGAGGGGCGTCCCTTAAAGGGGTAGTAGCTTAAAGACGGGCCTGAGACTGGTCATTCAGTGCCCCCTTTTGTTGTATTTATTAGCCGTTGTTCTATCCACTACCCCATCTCACAGGAGAGTCCGTGTAGACGCAGACGCTTACAAATGCTCTCGGCAGAGGCAGGTTGGCAAGGGATGCTGCCTCCCCTGGACGGGGGTCGGGCCCGGAATATCATCTTGCGCGGTGGAGAGAAGAGGCACACTGTTTTCCATCCGGATTCGAACGGCCGACTCCTCTTCGACCCCGGAGTGCGCATAGCAACGTCTGCTTCCCCGCTGGCCTTGTATAATGGGGTGTTTCCATATCCCGTGCACCCATCGGAAGGACGCCGGATTCCCAACGAGACACACGCGCATATATACACACAATATCCCCCCGCTGCCGGGCAAGGAGTCTTGTAGTTTTGCGCCCTCGTACGGAGGAGCTGTCAGGGTTGTGTTGCTTGGGCACTAATAAGTTAAAGGGCGCGTTTGCAAGTGAAGGTAGACTGAACATGGTATTATTATTCAAGTACAGTGAAGCCCCTGTTTGCTTTGTTGGCCTCGGAGCCTCATGCATCAAGGCGAATTCGCGGTCGTATCTGATAGTAGAAGCAATAACGAGTAGTATACAAGTAGTACACACGCACATATATATATCCGGCGCCTATTATAAATTCGCCCGGCCCTCTAACCTGCGCCTCCTCCTCTCGGTTCCGACGGTCTTCCTCAGTTTAGCTGCCTCCTCGGCGCTCAGCTTCGATTCGGCCTTGCCCTCGGCGTTGGTCGCGTCTTCGAACAGCTTCGCACCCAGCGCGTCGACAAGCCTTAGCACCCGCGTGCTGACCGTCGCGCCGTCTCTCCGGTTCTTGCCCTCGCGCCGGCTCGACGCGATACGCTCGATAAAGTCCCATAGTCTGCCCGATGGTTGCAGCGCTCCGGAAGTTGGGTCGCGCGACGGCATCCACTCGGATGCGAGCCGCAACCGCGGTGGGACCTTTTCGTCCTTTGATTTGACTACGTAAAGAATCCCCTCCTCTTCGAAACGTTGATAGGAATTCTTAAGCGTCTCCTTGTTTACCGCCTCGAAGTAGCTCAGGTCGCCCTGGTGGTAAAGGGTCTTGCCCAGCTGTTGATTCGAGTGGTTAGTTTCCAAGACATCTGCGACTTGCCAATCAGCTTGGCGAAACGATTAAAATAGAAACATACTAGTTGCGTGGTGTTCTGCGCCTTCGCAGCCTCGATCCAGATACCACTATCCTGCCCGTTGGGGGGAGTAAGACCCATGAGCGAAACGGCGGCGAGCCAGCTGGCTTCGATGAATGGCCAGATGAGGAAGCAGTAGAAATCGTAGTTCTCTCGGCCGACTGCCCTCTCTTCATCCGCAAGCCCGACGCTCAATATGTCTCCCTTTTCGTCCCGCTTAAGACTAAGAACTCGATCGCTCTCGAGCCCGACTATCGTCTTTTCCAGGTTTGCCGCCAACCCCTCGCCGGGAAATATGAATTCGCCGCGAAACAGCGACGAGAGGAATAAAACCTGGTCCCGGAGGGCGTTGTAGGTTATTTCCTGGTGTGCCGGGCCGCCGCCCAGTTTCACGCGGGTGTACATGCTGGCGCTGACTAGGGATTCGGATATGAAGAGGTGGATTGTCATGTTTCGGTAGAAAGAAAGCTGGAACCGGTCCACAGCATAGTACGTCGGCTCGGCGAGCCCTTGCACGACGCCAACGAGGTCCTTGCCGAGGACGTCCAATCCTCGTTCTACGACGTCGGACAAGGGGGCGTTGCCAAAGTGCGCAACACGGCCGCCCTTCGCCCTGACCCGAGCAATGAGCCACTCGATCCGCCGTATCAATTCGGATTTGCCCACCCCTCGGCCGCGGAGTGTGAGCAACACGGTGCCAATAAGTGCAGTAGGCATGACCACGGACACGTTGTTGATATCAGACAGGACCTTGTATCCCATAGTCCGCAGTAGCTTCTGCTTAATCGCAACGTTCTCGGGCGTTTTCCTGTCCAGTCTTAGATTCTCAGGCGATTTGGTGAGCTTCGTCAGCTGCTCGTCAATAAAGCCACGCAGACTCCAAGGCTCGTGAAAACGGACATCCACCCTCCCCAGTCGCAGCGATAACACCGAAGAGCCGCCGGTCAAGAAGTCGGCTAAGTTCTCCTTCTTCTTCGGGATGCCTAGGAGTTCCGTGACGTAGCCCTCCGTCTCGATGACTTTATCGTATTGTGTGCTCACCGGACATATGACGGCGTCCTCGACCCGGCCCGACAGCACGCTATCCATTACGAAGCTGAGAATGCCGAATTTGGGGGGTAGTAGTTTTCCCGTCCTCGATCGGCCGCCCTCTATAAAACATTCGAAGTTATAGCCCCCCTGGAGCAAAGTGTCTATGTAGGCTTGTACAAGGGTTGTATATAAAACGTCATTTCCGAAAGACCGTCGAATCCACATTGCGCCTTGAAGCATCCAGCAACCGTGAGCTGAGTATTCCGATCGAGAGGACACGAGTGCGGACACTTACCTGCATGTTGTAAAAAGCTCCCGACGACTGGGAAATTCAAATTATCGCCAGCAACGACAACGGGAAGCGCCAGGCCCAGACGGTAGCAAATCAACTGTAAAGAGATGTAGTCGACATGAGACCGGTGGGAGGGTAAGAACACGATGCTCTGCTTTTTCTGCTCAGCCACTTCGGCGACCTTCCGCAGCTTCAGAACCTCCTCGCTCGAGACGTGTATCCCTAGGTATCCGATCAATAGGTGCGGGCGCGAGGGAGTGAGAAGGCCGCCGCCAGAACGGGTCGCGTACCTTGGTGGTAGGCTCGGGTGAGCAGTTGCGTAACCAAGTAATACGCTCCCCTAATGAAAGTCTTGCTCTCGAACTTGCATATCATGTCGTTCGTCATCTTCTCAGCCACCTCCTGTATCCCCGACTCGATGGCCGCTCGCCGGTGTGCCTTTTGCGAAGGATGGTCGCTGTCCTCCCCCTTAAGCCATCCCTCCTTCACTTCGAGTTCTAATTGCTTGTCGGCTAGCTGGGATATCCGGGCGCGCAGGAGCGGCGTAGAGACAACGGCATTCTTCATCTGCTCAGAGAAGCCGGAGTAAAAGATGGGCTGGCCAATAACTCTATCATATGCTCGCCACCCGGTGCCAGAAACGTAGAGGGAGACTTCGCGGAGGAACCTGGATGAGCCGGGAGAGGGATATTAGCGCGGCACCGTCCCGGGGGTGCGGGTCACGAGGCGGGAGGGGATGATTCGAACGGCGGACGTACTGCAGCGGTTCGGAGCGGAAGTGAGCCATGTTGTGCATCAGCGGCGCTTCCTGGCCATCGTGGGGACGCGTTTCGACATAGCTTCTCGGCCGGAGGGTGATCTGGTCGCCCAGGATCTGCAAGTCGGGGGCAGAATCGCGGGTGGGATCCTCGTCTTGCGCCATGGTATTATTATTATTACTGCTCTCACGGTTGTAACTATGTCGGAATCGAGAGGGAGGGCGGGTGCAGTATTCGTTGCTGCGGCCGAGGGTATCTCAAGAATCTGGAGTGGTTATTACATGGTGCAAGGCGCATAACACGAAGGGGGTGACGACTAGCCGTGGCTAGCAAAGAAGTAAAGTCGTCCGGACTCGGCGCGCAAGGACGGAGATGGTCACGAATAAGCCATGTCGGGTTAAGGTCTAAGTATTACCTCGTACGTAGGTTGGTGGCGACGGTGAATAAGAGGGTAACAGACCTGTAGACGTGGATGGAGATGTGATGGATGTAGAGGATGGAGGAATGGAGGCGGGTGAGGGAACCCGACATGGACGTAATCCAGGTACCTAACTGCCTACCTGTTTAGGTGCATATGTACCGAATGTATGTGTCCAGAATGCATTAGGTACTCACCACAGTTGCTATTGGGCGTATAACAGTGTCTACAGGTACCCCTGGCTACCCACTTACAGGTACCCATCTACGTCCAACCCAACCTCTGAAGATGCCCGCCGTTAGAGGCACACATGGCGTCTATGTACCGGTGATCACATTAGTCACTTACTTTGTATTGTACCAATTTCTGGTCCCTGAAGGGAACTTCTTTCCGGGAGCAATTTCAGTAGATGCGCTACGTATTACACAGGTACCAAGGGCAATAGAGGCATCTATAAGGCAATTCCTGGGGATACGCTAGGAAAATAGGGGTCGTGAATAGCCCTACAGGAACTGGGGTAGGTATGGAGAAGAAGAGACAACTAGGTGTTTTATAGATGTCCATCCCCACGAATTCATTACGTAACTAACCCCTCTAGCACAAGCTCAGTTAGCCTCCTAATTTACCGCCCCAAGTCTTCCTCTCCAGAACCTATTCTTCCACACATATCCTCCCACACTGCCGGAGCCATGGCGTCGTCCTCGCAGACGCAGCAACCCGACCCTGACAGCAATAACACCAACAAAAATACCAGCGGAAGCGGCGGCGATGGCGGCGACCAGTCCCTCCTGACCCGGCAACTGCTCGCGCGCGCCCACAGCCCGGACTCGGCCGCGCGCATCTTCGCCGAGAAGATCCAGCACCGGCCGCTGCTGCTGAAGCCGAGCGCCGCGGCTTCGTCCGATGCGCGGAGCGCGCGGCGCGCGGCGCGCGAGGCGAAGGCCAGGGCGCGAGCCGGCGCGCCCAAGCCGAAGCCGCTGTCGGCGCGGCAGCGGCGGGCGCTCGGGCTGCGCGACGCGGGGCGCCGCCGCGCGTACGCCACGTACGAGCCGCTGCACCGGCTGTGGCTCGGATACGTGCGCGAGGTGCTGGGCGGCGACCTGTACGGGCGCGGCACGGCGGCGGCGGCGGCGGCCAAGCTCGCCGCGGCCGACTACCACGGCGCCGAGGCGGAGGTGGCGCGCAGCCGGTGCCCCAGCCGGGTGGGCATCCGCGGCATCGTGGTGCGCGACGCGCGCTCCGTGTTCGAGATCGTGACGCGCGACGGCCGCGTCAAGACCGTGCCCAAGGAGGGGACCGTGTTCCGCATCCGGGTCCCGGCTGAGGGCGACGGCGGCGAGAAAGTTGCTGCTGCTGCTGGAAAGGGCGAGGGTGAGGGGGTGGCGGAGAGCAGCAGGCCGTTCACGTTCGAGATCCACGGCGACCAGTTCCGGTACCGCGCCGCGGACCGCGCCAACAGGAAGTTCAGGCAGCATTTCCTCAAGAACCTCTAACCGAGAGGAGACGGCGGACTCATCGATTTCCCGGCGCACCGCGAGTCCGAGACGACTCTCTGCGGTACGCATCACACGCGTGGCGATATGCGCGCCCCTAACCTGGTTATTGCTGGCGCCTTTCAGAGCACAGAGACCAGGCGTCGAAACTAGGCCGAAGTCGCTTACGAATGGTATATATGTCTGCCGTTCTATCGTACCTATCCCAAGTACCGGGATCAGTGGACCGACAGTCTATTCGGAGGGACCTCTGGCTTCCTACATCAAGCCTACGGAGATCCGTAGCGTCGGCGAGGGAGAGTCTGGCTTCCCGGGCGAACACTCACCGCGCACCGGAATCAGCACCTCCTAGCTCCGCCGAGACCACGCCCGCAATCAGCACTGCCGCCAAGTCGGGGCTCTCAGGGTCGTCTCTGCTAGCCAAGCCCGGGGCGGATATATTACGTTACGGCTCGCCGAAGCTGCGCCCAGCCAGGCCAAGTTGCTAGGGCACCGAGACAGGTTCGTAGAGATGCAACGAGTACGGCCGCGTGAGAGTAAACGTTATAGAAGGAGGAGCCTCAATGTATATTACACATACCCAGTCTACACCGCATAGTCTACAGGCGGCCCCGATTGCGGCTCTATCCGCCTAGCTCTCTATCGCAAAGTGAGCTAGAAACTACGCATACTTCACGCTGGCCCCGTCTCAAGTACTACACGTCAGCCGAGAGGCGCGGGGACAGATACATCAATACTTGTAGAATTATACAGACACGCGTGCATTACTGGGAGATGTATATTCGAGCCACCACCTAGAACATCGGTAGTAACTAAGGCCGCCTTAGCTTCGGGCGTCATGTGTTCCGAGCTAGCGCGTTTTACATATATGGACACAAAACCACAATCCTCGACCACGAAGTCCTGCCGTCCTAGCATCTTATCCCGACATCCCCTCCCTACGCAACCCCGCCGCTGGACCGAACCTGTCCTGCTTAGGCGGGTACCGCGGTCGGCAGACCCGCCGTCTCGAGCAGGATCTGCACCGCCTTGAACAGCTTCTCGTCGTCGTACCTAGAGAGAGAGCGCGTCCGCGTTAGCCAATCGCCTGATGAACCGACCGATCGAGCAAGTCTCGGCGCGAATATCTGCGTCCCTCCTCCCTTTGGCCCATCTATTTTTTTTATACGCGGTCTCAAGAGAAGGGGAAAGAAAGAAAGAACAAGGGAAGCAATTAAAAGAAAAGAAACTCACCTCCTGGCGACCAGCTGCAGCGAGATCGGCGCGCCGACGTAGCCCTCGACGCCGTGCTCGGCCCACTGGTCGCGGAAGTACGCGTCGCTCGGGCTGAGTGGCTCGTAGCCGTCGGGGTAGGCGTACGGGGCCTCGCGGGCGGCGGCGTCGGGGCCGCCGGCGCCGACGAAGTCGGCCGTGGGGAAGATGATGCCGGGGTAGTCGAGCAGGTTCCACTGGGCGGTGTAGCCCCAGTAGCGGCTGGTGTCGAGCTTGGGCGCGACGCTCGGCGTCGCCGGGCACAGGATCACGTCGAGCGGGCGGCCGTCGGCGCGCCCGGCCGCCGTCTCGTTCCACAGCTGCGCGTACTTGTTCCGGTACTCCTCGCGCGCCACCACAGCGTCCCACAGCGTCTCGATCGTCAGCGGCTCCACGTGCGGGTTCTCGTGCAGCATGAACTTGGACAGCGGCCGCCACGGCTCCCCGCACGACTCCACGATCTCCTTGATCTCCTTCCCGCCGTCCGGGTAGTACAGCTTCGCCTGCGTGCCGGTTAGCTTGGAAATCTCGCGTCGCGCTAGCATGCGCACACGGGTAAGGGCGGCGAGGCACATACGATGACGGACCACGCCAGGTCGTGCCTCCAGGGCTTCCAGTCCACAATCTCGATGTTGGGGTGGCTCTTCAGCTTCGTTACGAATTCGTCGATAGCTCTAAGGATAGGCGGGTGCGGCCTCACGACGCCGTCGTTCCGGATGACGCCGACCCGAATCTTCCTGTCCGGGAAGAACTGCGCCGGGTCCCTCCAGTCCATGGCCACCAGGCTCGGCTGTCTCAGCCAAGGCCTCCTGCCGACGACCGTCTGGGCGAAGAGCCTCAACCCCTCGAGACTGGTGGACAGGGGCCCGACGGACCCGAGGATAGACTCGGCCCCGCCCATGGCGATAGACCAGCCGGCGGTAGGCATGCGCATGGTGGTGGGCTTGTAGCCGAAGATGCCGTTATTCGCTGCCGGCGCTCGGATCGATCCGCCGATGTCGGTTCCAATCCCCAAAAGAGAACCGCGGAGGGCGATCAGAGCCCCCTCTCCGCCCGTCGAGCCCCCCGCTGTTAGAGTGGTGTTGTGGGGATTCACCGTCACCCTATCTCCCACACCCCCGGTCGTTAGCAAGTCGGAAATGCCCCGTTGCCCCGCCCCTCCTCTCCCCCTCTCTTTTGCTGTGACCACCCACTTACCCGTAGAGATTGTTGCTTGTCTCGATGTGCATCAGAGTCTGTGGCTGCGTCGTCCTGGCGAAAACCACTGCCCCCGCCTCCTCCAGACACTGCACGACCAGAGCATCTTCCTTGGACACCCGGCCGACCCAGCTCACGAAGGAGGCGTTGATATCCTCGTCTTTTATCCCAATGTGCTCTTTGACGCTAAATGGCACGCCGTGGAGCGGGCCTATCGGCTTCCCGTTGTCAGCTAAGTACCGGTCGAGCTCCGCTGCTCGGGCCAGGGCTCGTTTGGGAAGCAGCTCGGTGAGGCAGTTGGTGAGCTTCTGGGCTATGCCTGCGCGGCGCAAGAAAGCGTTGACCACGGTCGTCGTGCTCCACTCGCCTGAGGCTACCCTCTTGGCCAGATCCGGGACGTCTAGGCTGGTGATTTGGACCTCCCTCGCGGTCAGCAGCTTCTCCGGGATGGCGATGGTGCTAACGGGCACGTCTTCCGGGCGTATTTCCGGCACAGGTGGGCGGACCGCTGCGATCGACTCATCTCTGTGTCGCTGCCGATCGGCGGCCACCTCCTGCCACGTCGCGCCGCTGGCAATAGTAACAGTAGCGGGAGCCATATTTGCGATTAGGCCCAATTCTAGGTACCCTGGGAAGAAGGAGTGCGTATTGCCGTCGTCGTGAACTTTCAGGTGGGATATTAGACTCCAATCAAGGTGGGGAGATCCGAACGAATCCAAATGCAACCTATACACTGGCTATTTGGGAATCGTAGCCGTATGCTTAAGTACTTGCATGCCATACCGCGATCCAGATGCGGGCAATAGATGATCCATTTGGTTTATCAGCATGTTGGTCTTTCTTCGAGCAGCTCGACCCCAGGTGGAAAAATCGGCACCGGACGTTGCCCGTCTCCAGGCGATCTCGGAACGCCCGCACGAGACCACCGTCGTAAACTGAGCTCACAGCCAATTTCCTCGGTCCCACACCAGTGCAGTGATTCCCTCGACGTAGTAATTACATGCAGTGGTACGCCCCAACATGGCTCGGCATCCGCACACTGGTCAAAGATCCCGAGAGTGATTCACCCAACGTGTTTTCGTATGCAGCGTGACCATGAGATAGAGGTATCGTCACCGCCTGGGCCGGGGGAATCGTTCCCTCCTCCCTTCTGGCTTAGGGTAAAGGTTAAGCCCGCTTATAAATATGTCGATATTTGTCATCGAGTACGGTGAGTCCCCTCGGCAGGTAAGTAATTCCGCCCAGGTCAGAGGTGAAGTTGGGCAACCATTGGGAACCCAGCGCGCGGTGGCGGACCTCGATGTCAACCAACCTCGTTGGGTCCCATGTGGAGAATCACTACGGCGGTGAGACGGGGAGCCCGACACACCTACTACCCTCGACCCGACATCCCTACGCCTCCAAACCCAGATCCATCCGAAATTGGGACGTATTGAACGCCGGCCCACCGGATCGCGGTGATGTTCAGAATGACGGCGACGGTTTCGCGCTATTGGCTCCGGCCGCCCTGCGAGAAGTTCATGCTGTAGCCGCCAGTGTTCTCGTCCTTGACCATCTGGAAATTGTCCGTGCTAAGTCCGAAGGGTTTAAGTATCCCATTCCCCAGCTGCGCACGTCCGGTCAGCATCTATCATCCAGCATCGTCGTCCGACACGCCTGTCCTCGGCGACTACTCACATCCTTCAGCTTCCCCCACATCTCAGACATCTCCTTCTCCTGGGCCGCCTTCGTTCTCGGAGGGAGGTACCTCAACTGCGCCTCGACGATCTTCCGATCGGCGGCGCCGAGGTTAGTCATAGCAGACAGTATCTTGTAGTCTTCTTCGGCGCCGGCTAGATTCGACCAGCCGCCGAGTTCGCTCCGTGCTCGGGCTCGCCTCATCAATGCCTTGGCTCGGATTCGCAGGATATCATCGTGGCGTCTTTGCTTCGCAGCCTCGGCGGCGTCCTCGTCCCGGGAGGCGGGCGCGCTCTTCTGGGCCCCTGAGCTTACGATCTCCTCCTCGACGTCGTCCTCTTTCTGCTTTTGCTGCTGTTCGCTCCGCTCCCGGTCGGCCTCAGCCTTCTGGAGACGGTCCAAACCCTCGACAGATTCGGTGGCAGCTTTGACGGCCTCCGTCCATTGTTCTAGTTTCAGGTGGCAGGCAGAGATGTTGGACTTGAGGACGGCAAGCTCGTAGTCGAGGTAGTGTGGGCAGACAGAAGTTGCTTCTTCGTATTTGGTGATGGCATTCTCGTACTTGGCCGCAGAAAAGAGGGTGTTCGCTTGGGTTTTTCTCTCGTTGGACTCTTCTAGTAACCCCTACAGGCAGATCCACGGCATTAGTCGGGTCGGTGAGGGTGGACGCTTAGGGCAGAGAGAGAGAGAGAGAGAGAGAAGATCGTGGTGGTGAGCATACTGCTTCTTCTTCAGGCGGAAACCGCTCGGGCACTGTCAGCTCCGGAGGCTCTCCATCGCCGGGTTTGGGAGGACTGGCCATGGCTCGGAGCTCGAGGTCGATTTCGGGGGAGAGAGGAGGGGGGAAGGTTAGCGGAGCAGGTCCTGTCTATATGTATATGCTGAATGCCCAAGGTAGGTCGACTTGCTGTCCCGGCTATCTCATCGGTTCAGGCAGGGGAGAAGGAAGGGAAGTATGCAATGCACGGCTTGGATGTGATGCACGCGAATCCTTCCGCCCATAAAGAGGTCTGTATATGCGTGTACCTCAGTACTTGCCCCGGACGGCACCCTAAGGAGGCAGGTAAGTACCTATACTTACCTACTCCAGCACAGGGCAGCTAGAGAGGATATCCCTACGAGCAGCACATGGTCATGGTCATAGCTCGGCAGCCTGGCGCCCGCCAGGAAGTCTACGTATAGCTTCATGTAAGTGGGCGAGGCACAAGGGGCTAATCCCGACGAGGCGTAGCGGTGGTCCGGTCAGCGGTGCTTGGGGGGCAGGCCGCTACTGCACAGGGCGCTAAGTCTCTGGAATCTAGAGCGCCCTACGCCACAATGCTACCTAACGGCCATACATGTGAATCCGTACAAGCTTATCTTATAGCCCTCCATCGGATGCAACGTGGACGTATCTTGCCCATGGTCGCAACTCGCGATAGTGCTACTCAGTATAGGCTATTCCCGCCCGTCCAACGCATTGCATATCCACGTGTACACGCTTGTCTTCTCGGCTCTGACTTATAGACGTGGGAGACGGCACGGAGCGAAGACGCGCCGATATCGTTATCACGGTGGGTAGGTAAGCAGGGAAAGCCCACATTCAAGATACACACCTCTAATATCCTGGTCTACTATCGCGGCCGATGCGCCCACACATATACATTAGGTACCCAGTACATTAGACACTATCCGTAGACTGATCAAGGGTCTAGGTACCTACCTGTACATGTAGGTAATTTCCCGCCGACCCCGCCTGTCTCCCGGCGATGAGTCTGCAACTATGATATCTCCTCTAGGCGCGCGAGCTGTGCGCATACTTCGTCGTCACAATCGTAATCAACCAACTCTCTCCTGGGCCGCTAGTCCAGCTTATGATCCCTCGCATACGGGCGACTTAGGAACCCGACGAACACCGCGCACGCGATATGGCTCCTCATACAGAGCAAGTCCCTCCCCGCCCTCGGCCAGGCGGGACGCGATACTAACCCTCGACCCCCCCCCCTTCGAAGATTCCCGCCCGTGAGGGCCTGTCTCTTTGACATGGATGGTCTCCTGCTCGACACCGAGGATATATACACCCTCTGCATCAACCTCATCCTCGAGAAGTACGGCCGCTCCCCGCTTCCCTGGTCTGTCAAGGCCAAGCTGCAGGGCCGGCCCGGACCCGAGGCGAACGCCCTCTTCCACCACTGGGCCAAGCTGCCCATCCCCGACTCCGTCTACCTCACCGAGCTCACCGCCCTGCAGCAGCACCACTTCCAGGCCGCGAAGCCGCTGCCCGGCGTCGAGAAGCTGCTCGGCGACCTCGGCCGAACCAAGTGGTGGGACGAGAAGGACCATACCGGCGTGAAGAACGGGGACAAGGGAGGTAACGGTAACGGAGCGACGGCCCAGAGGGTCCACATCGCGCTCGCGACGAGCAGCACGTCGGCCAACTTCGCCGTCAAGACCGCCAGGTGGACCGACCTGTTCTCAGTCTTCGAGACGCACCGCAGGGTTCTAGGCGACGACGAGCGCGTCCCGCCCGGCCGCGGCAAACCGCTCCCGGACATCTACCTGCTGGCGCTCAAGACCATCAACGACAGCCTCGACGAAGGCGAGAAGCCGATCACCCCCGAGGAGTGTCTAGTATTCGAGGACAGCGTCCCTGGCGTAGAAGCTGGGCGGCGCGCGGGCATGAGAGTCGTATGGTGCCCCCACCCAATGCTTAAGAAGGAGTGCGAGGGCCGCGAGAAGGAGATCCTAGCCGGGCGCACGGGCGAAGCCGGCGAGGTCGATGCTCACCAATTGGGAGAGATCGACGACGGTTGGGCCGACTACTTCGTCAGCCTAACCGACTTACCGTATGAGAAATACGGCATAGTCGTCCCCCCGTCTGAGCTATAGTTGGGCCTCCCCCTTCAGAGGGAAGGCGGGTATACGCATGACAGACATGCCGCTCGGGACACTAGGATGGAGAAGAAATAGAATTCGGTAGATGGCATAGGCGTGGAGCAGAAAAGGACGGGAGGGCCTCCCTTTCCATACCTAGGAGCTCTCAACACCTAGCATTAGACCTAGATCACCACTCAGCTGCTGCAGTAGGGTACATAGAAAATCGCTCAGACTTACGTGTCAAGAGGACTCAATAATGAAGCGGGGAGGGTATTTCTTCTCGAAATCGTAGCTCCCTCCCAAAGACGGGCTTTCAATAAACATCCCACAAGCTGATTTTCCCGTCTTTACTACCTGCGGCTAGCCAATGCACCTCTTTCGCCATCTTCATCCGTCGATCTTTGACGCTGAGCTGGCCCAACTTCGGCACGGCTACCATATCAGTAGTATCTTGACCGTCCGCGACATTGCCAGCGGTAGCCGGTCCACCCTCGGGATTCTCGTCAGCTGGTTTCGAAGGCCCAGATCCGGGTTGGTCTCCGTCGGCCAAAGCTGAGAAAGCAACTGCGTAACAACCGAGTTCGTGCCACTTCAAGACCGCCAGCTCCGTCATCGTCTTGGTGGAATAGACGCGCACCTTGGAGTCCCACCCGGCCGTGGCGAGGATCTTGCCGTCAGACCGGATGCGCAGACCCTGCTGGCCCGAGTGCTTCGTATTGATTATTTTTAATGGCTGTGTTTCGATGATCGGCACCGACTGTTTTGACCGTCTCGACTCCTCGGCTGGGGTTATCACTCTAGGTATCGGGTGCTTAGCGATGGTAGCATCTGCGCCGGAAGTTACGAAATAATTCCTAAGCGGATCGACATCGAGAGAGAGCACTGTTTGGCTATGAACTTGTGCCTTGTATAATATCTCCCATGTCTCGCTTCGGCCGAGTCGCGCCACCACTGCAAGACCGGACTCATAAGCAGCAACGAGAGTTAGATATTCCTCGACCCAAAACAGGCCTAACGACATCACCATGCCCTTCTTCTCGGCCACGCTTCCTAAACGGATGGTGTGCTCGCGATTCTGGCCGGGGAGCCGGAAGATATCAATCTGCGCAGCCAATGTGTAAGCGATAGTATGAACAGACTATCGGCATCCCTGAAGGGCGAGTTGATGGACTTACGGCCTCTGTCTCTAGCGTGTGGGGAACAGCAATGAGGAGCTCGTCGGGAGTAGTGTGTGGGCTCCCCGGACAAGAAGCAAAGGAGCAAAAGTTCATAGTGTTCACTTCGAGTATGTGCAGTACCCACGGCTGTAGCCGATCGGGCACGGGTTCCTCCAGCGGAAGAACGGTGCTCATGGAAGGCTCATCGGACTGGGCGAGTTTCCACACGATCAGGCGATTGTCTCTCCCGTGCCTGAGAAATGGTTCTCGGTCAACGGACGGCAATCGATTACGGTGGTTTGAGAGAAGATGTCAAGCATAGATTGCGGGTTGGGACTCGACCTACGTGATGATCCTGTCGTGGCCCCAGTCGGCTATCCCGAGGACGGCGTTTGCGTGGGCTCGCCAGACAGCTCGGGGGCGCATGATAGCCAAGTCCCAAAGCACGACGAAGCCATCCGCATCTCCGGATGCCAGTCGTCGATTTCCCCTGACGAAGGCCGTGACGTGTACCTGAGCGCGGTGGCCGCGTAGGACCGACTTGGGCTGTGCGGGCGGATGGTGAGGCATGATTCCAATAGTCGCTGTTCCTCAAATCTCAGTGCACCTCATCCAACCTGACCGGCCGACTTCCCCTTAGTAGGCGACGAAACGAACGGGACTCTGGCTGGAAAATACTATGGGTCCCTATGTTCTCTTCTAGTATTCGTAGCCTCATCCACGCTATCCGAATAGGAGCCGTGAAATGGTACCCGCCAAAACCTGCTGTTTTCGATCATCAGTAGTCGATGAATGAATGGGTGGTATCGATGAGTGATGACGGTAGTAGTGATTGCGGGGTGGAATGCAGGTCGGATGAATTGAATGCGAGGATGTTTTGAAGGGGGTTTGGTAGGTCAATATCCCCAATATCGCTATATTATAGGTGGGTTATCGCTATATTATAGGTGGGTCATCGCTATATTATAGGTGGGTATAAGGTTGGGAGGCACCTAACCTAGGCACCTACCTTCCTACCTACCGACCTTCCTCGGGTGGCTCATCACATCGTATGCATACATACCCCTCGCCGACATTGAGTCTTTAGATGGCTCACGAAAGGGGCTATCAGGCATACGCTCACGAATTCTACGGTGTATACGAATGGGGATATATGGATAAAGCAAATGCGCATAGGTGTGCATGTATGCTGTATGCGAGACTGTTGATACCATGCTATCCATCTTGTCTGGACGGGGAAAAATAAAAAATAGCATAGCAAGCACAGAGTGAAGCACAGAAGAGGTACTCAGTCAACCGTCGCGCTAGCCATGATCGGGACCATCTCCTCTACCTAAGTACCTACGAGTCAACTGCCAACCTCTCTTACACTTGCCTGCTTCAACCACCGATCACGCCCGGATCTACCTAGATATTCATCCAGCTATATTCATCCAGCTATGCCCATCAGGCTATGTCCATCTAGCCGACGACACCCCATCAATACCCCCTTATCAAATCCCGCAGTCGCGAAGCAAGTAAAACCTAAGATGGGCGTAGCATTGCTCGGCACTCCATGCGGGCGGCTACCCGCATCGACCACATGGCGGTTGTCATTCGTTCGATCTCGGCCACAGCCAGCACCTAATCTGATCTGCCGAAAGCCCCCAGGCGTAAATCAAGAGCCCGATGAGGAATACGTGCCATGGCTTCGGGATCGAGTGAGATCGGATCACTTGCCGTCCCGTAGACGTCCTTCGCCGACCTACCTCGTGCTGTCTTCGCGACCAAAGGGCGGATCGGATCTGCACATGGCAGCCAGATGGATACCGATGAGCTGGGGAGATCCCCGCCCCAAGTTCAACGAGCGACAGAATCTGTCATACCTATCCTCACATCCATCGGGAGTCATATGACGCTGCTTCACGGTCATTGGGAATCAGCTTCAGCTATCCTCTCGGCATGGTCCTGAGAGACGAAGTAGGTAACGTCGATACCAGGGGAATCTGCACCTCGATGCTACAGACTAGAGTGTAAGCGTAAGGTAGGTCTGGAGCTTGGGCATGTTGCCCCAACACTAGGTAGTATGGACATACCTACCTGCACTTGCTCGTTGTCTATCTCAAGCTCTCTACCTTTTATTGATGTGTACATACCTCAATGTCTACCAAGGTGGCTGACGGGTATTAGGTCGAGCTCGCATATCCGGATATCCCTTATCTATCTCGCGTGTATACGGGGACTGAGAGGTATCAGCCAGCACTCGGCTTCGTGCGAAGCCGGCGAGGGACAACTTGATCAGCAAGGCAATATGCACCCCATCGCCAACTCGCTCAGACGGGGTCCAGGGATCCTGGCCCCGCTGCCGAGAGTTGCCGGCCAATATTAGTTGAAACGAACAGCCTGCCCCAATCAAAACATCCCGTGAAGTACCTAGAGGATGCTGCCCCGTACAACAACTAGGCGTGAGAGCCTTTGGAACACCCTACGCACCCGCCTACGCACCCGTACCGGGTTTACAGTGCGCGCGACGCAGACATGCAAAACAACCATAGCCGTGACCTGCAAATCCCAAAGATCTAGAGGCGCCGCCGCTCTTGGGATGTTTTTGCTCCGGTCTGATTTACGGGACGCATGCGGGCCGGCCGCAAAGACGATGAAACAGCTAGCATTCTCACAGCCACCTTCGACTGCGTGGATGTGGACGGGACGACGCGCTGTGACGCCTGCTCCGAATCCACGGTTCATCGCACAGATGGCGCCAAAGAAAAGGCAAAGTACCTAAAAAAAAAAAGAAAAAAAAAAAGAAGGACGACCGCCCAGGAAATAATAATATGTCTGCGTCTGTGTATGTCCTAGACATAACTGGGACGGAGATCCTAAATTTCACCGCACCAAAAGTGGTCACCTCATCGGTACATTCTTCGCCGTCTGGATACAGGCATGTAAGTGATTCCCAATGATATGATGCACCTTCATACGACCTGCATACGTACGGATTACTTCGTCCTATACGTCAGCAATTCAGTCCTGCACAAAGGCTTGGCAGGGTCCATCGCCCTGGCACCTCGTCGAGTCTCGTGTGCAACCTCTCCTCACCCAAGCGTTGCAGCCTGCTGCAGGCATAGCGAGTTCGGATCGCGCCTGGTAGGCCCTCCCGTCAGAGCCTCCTCGACTTCTCGCTAGCTCTAAGCCTCCTGGAAGCAACTTAAGCCGAAGCACTTCTCTGACAAGAGATACTCGTCACGGAGAGCGGGATACCACCATGACGCTGGGGCGGTGGAGACTTTTTCTAGCACGAATCGTAAGGGACATCTAGCCTCGACCAAAGCGGTTGGCCGGTTTCCCCCCCTCTCTCCCTCCCCCCCCAGTCGGATCTGCACCCAGCTTTGTACTGCGTTCACTAGCAAGGGTGAACTACGTCCAGAAAACACGACCAGGGGATTCATGTTTTGGTATTGAAGGGAACTTTCACACCAAAGCTATCCCTGTAACGGAGCTTTCTTGGACGGGGGACGAAGTCGTGCGTCCGTTTTGCCTGCATGGTACATAGGAGAGCGTCGCTAGCTTCATGTTGCTGGAGGGTTCGGCCAGCAGCCTCCGCCGGGCAGTAGAGCTGTCACGAACACGGTTTCTTTGCCGATGTATGCATGCTGAATAGGCGAACTTGTCATCTGATTCTACTCATAGTTGCTTCATCGTCTTTTCTTTCCTCGCCCGTCTGCGCGCTAGCTGGGAAGAAGAAGCTCTCCGTCCCAAGTCCAATCTACTCCGGCAACATCTAACGACCTAGCTAGATGCTTACCCGGGGTCATCGTCATCATCCCACCACCCACGTACTTATTGGATGTATCGTACGGCATCCCATCTATGTTTGGCAAAGGGCCTTGACCTGCGTTTTGTCCATACGCCATCCTTCTCCCTGCTCAGGCCTGCTCGGGTATCATCACACATACTACCCGTGATAGGAACTAGAGAGTTGTCTACAAACTACACATACATGCATACACAGGTGCCTGCCTAGGTGCCTTGGAATCCCCAGATCCCCTTCTCCCGATACAAGGAAAAAACGGGAAAGTAGAAGGCCAGACGGGAGAGACGTGAGCCGGGAACGATCTGGCTTTCGGGTTTCAATCTTAATTTCACTCGACGCACAACGCAGAGCGCACGACGCACGACGGCGCGCCACAGCTTCGCTTAATTAGGAGCTCTCCAATCAGTTGGTGCCGTCTCGATCAGAATTCGAGACATTTGGCGCACTTCTTCACATCCTGTGCTCGGGTCTGGTTCTCTAAGCTGAGTTGCGCAGTTGCACGCATTATTCCACGCCATACCGAGGCTTTTCTTGTCGTTCAGGGACTTCTCATCGTCCATCTATCTTCCCCGCCATACTGCGTCCCGTCCTCAAGGATATCCGCGCAAACGCCTCGCGACTTAGTAGTAGTAGGTATCAGACACCGACAGCCATCCGCCAACTCCTCAGGAACGGCAGACAGTTAGCGACGTTTCCTCCATCTCGTGGCCGCGAGAAAACTCTCTGCGCTTTGCTTTCGTCCTCGGCTCCGTCCCCTGTCGGTTCTCCAACGTAGCCGAAGATTCCTAAAGATCCTTCGCGATCCTTTCTTTCGCTCTCCCACCCCGCCTAGAGAGCCTCGTGCCATCGGGGTCTCACCTACCGAAGCTCTGGCGGCATACGACATCACCTCATCGAACAATCTCGTCCCGGGCTACGGACTCGGCGCGCCGGCGCCATCGACGCACCACTATGCCGAGCAGTCTCTACCACCGTGCACCGTCGACAGCGGCTTTCCGAACGAGAATTTCGACCTCCCTCCCCCGAAACGTCGCCGCTTGTCCGGTTTCGGCTCGCCCGGCTCCAAGAAGTCCAGCGGGGTCGCCAATATGACTTCCCAGGAGGCGACGCCTGCTAAGAGTAGGAGGGTGCGAACGGGCTGCCTAACATGTAGGGAGAGGCACCTCAAATGCGACGAGGGCACGCCAGACTGCCTCAACTGTCGAAAGAGTAGTAGAGAATGCAAACGAGGCGTACGGCTCAACTTCATCGACATGACCTGCAAAGCACCACCCTACGTACCTCCGACGGAGGAGTGGGCAGGTATGTTGTTCTCCTCGTATCCGCTGTCGGTAAGTGTTAACATGGAGCAGTGCAATTCCAAGACGAGTCGCGCCTAATCGCCTCGGAATATCAGGGGGGGTTAGGGAAATACGCTATGTTTGACAGCCAGGCTGCCACTCCGCCCTTGGAACCTCATATAGACTCTTCTTCTCTCCGGCGGTCGTACGCGCTCGAAAATACGGAAACACAAAACGGAGGGCCGGACAATCGGTCTTCAACGATAATTTCGACTCCACAATCCGTGTACTACTCTGACCGGGGCCAAGCACACTCGGACTACGCCGCGGATGCCCAACTACACTCGCGAAAGGGTAGCGATGCTTCTTATATGGCCCCGATAAGCGCTACACAAACTGCTGGGTACAGCAACCTGGTGTCGGATGGTTTCGGGCCTCTCAAGGACGAAGGTAGCCGCGCTCCCTCGCACAGCGGGTACAGGAGTGGCGATGTGTCAGCCGCAACCTCCGTGGCAGGTTTCACCAGCGTCGGGCCGCTGTCTGCTTTCCGGAGAAGCTCGGGGGAGGGTAATCAGGAGCCGGAGGCCGAAGCGGGAGGCATGATGACACCTTCGAGTGACAAGCCCGGGGAGCGGGAGTACCTCAACTCGCCCGAGGAGCTGCAGTTCATGCAGGTCTTCGTCGCCGAGGTGGGTGTCTGGATGGACAGCCTCGACAAGGAGAAGCATTTCTCTCGCCTGGTGCCGTACCACGCGCTCAAGTGCCCGATGCTGCTTAACGCGCTCCTCGCGTGCGGGGTGAAGCACCTCACGGTGACGCAGCAGTACGGCGAGGACAGGGCTCTCTTCTACTACGACACGGCGACGACGCAGCTGCTCCGCAACCTGCAGAACCCGGAGCGCAACATGGTCGAGTGCGCGACCACGGCCGTGGTGCTCAACGTGTACGAGATCATGAGCGAGAAGCCGACACAGCGCATGAGCCACATCGCGGGCGCGCGGGCGCTCATCCGTGAGTGCGGGTGGAACGCGAAGAGCAAGGGTCTAGGTGCGGCCTGCTTCTGGCTCAACGTGGGCATGGAGCTGCTCTCGTGCCTCGCGTTCAACTGGCAGACAGCGTGGGAGCCGGACCAGTGGGGCGTCGACATGGACTTCAGCACCGAGAAGGACACGGGAAATGAGGAGATCTGGGTCCACCGCATCTTCTACGTCGTCGCCAAGATCGCCAACTTCCGCGCTAGCATTCCCAAGTTCCAGGAGCCGAGCCCCCACGACGAGCAGGCCCGGCTGCAGGCCCGGTACGCGGAATGGCGCCGCCTTAAGAATATGTGCGACAGCTGGAATAGTTCGTGTCCCCGCCCCATGCACCCGTTCGGCTACTTGCACCCTTCGCAGCAGTCCGGTGCCGATAAATCGCTGTTCCCTAACGTCTGGTACGTACATTCATCCCTGTTGTAGTTGTTGTCGCTTCCGCCGCGAGCATCGCTGTCGCACGTGGATACTAACTCGCGTCCGGTTTCCTAGGCTCATCAAGCGGGCGGCGGTCGTCGGGCGGTTGTACTACCACACGGCACAGTGCCTACTAGCACAGATCAACCCGTTGCTGCCGCGGGACTCGGAAGAGGCGCGCAGGGTGCAGCAGCACCACGCGCATCAGGTGTGCGGGATCGTAGCGCACACGAAGGACCGCGGCGTCGCGAGTGTGTCGATCCGGTCGCTCGCCATAGTCGCCGAGATCCTGACCGACGCCGCCGAGCAACGCGAGGTCGTGGCAACACTCGAAAAGATCGACCGCGAGACCGGCTGGAAGCTCGGCGGTGTCGTCCGCGGCCTCAAGAAGTCCTGGGGCTGGGAGAAGATGGACCCGACTGGTCTGGCCGCGCAGTTCCTACCCCGTGCCGGCAATGGTAACAATAGCGGCGTCGTGGCAAAGCTGCAGCCGCCTCCGCGAGCACAGTCGCAGATGGAGTCGGCGCGCGCGGCTGCGCGGGCGACGACGGCCACCTCCGCACCCCCGCCACAGCATGTGGTATCCGCGGGATCGCAGCAACTCGCTGCGCCGCGGCCAATACACGTCAACCCGCTGAGCTTTGCCGACTTCAGCCTCCCGAACCATCCGTACCAGAACTGGTACGAGCCGCCGAGCCGGTCAAACGCATACCATTCACAGGGCATCCTGCGAGATGAGCTTTGAAGGGCGTTGGAGGGGGAGAGGAAGAAATTTCCCGCATTCTCCCTCTCACACACCCATACACACCCACACGCAGAAGTGGTGTACATACATATACATATGCATATATCTATACCCGCCGGACACAGGGTTGGTGGCAGTGGTAGTATTCTTGGCTGACCCGCGCCTCATTTGGCGAATTTGGTCAGCATCTGCCTCCGAAGAGTGCAGATTTCAGGGGGTATGTTTCTTGGTTTTCTTCGCTGCAGGCTCACGTGTTACATCTCGACATCATACCCATATTTGCCGGACGTAGATCGTCCAGCTTCCATATGTGCCGGCAACACCCCGGAAAGAGAAAGAGGAGAGGTTTGGAGGGGAAAGGGTTTGACCCACGCACACGGGTGTATTCTGTGCGGAAAGGGGTCGAAAGGCAGCATATGGTTCGGGCGAGGCGGGATATCTTGGGAAGCATCAGCTTTGGTTCGCATAGGCACGGAATATTTGCTTATAGGCAAATCGACTGGCTGGCGCTCGGTATAGACGTTTTTGTGTTCTCTATCGCCCCCTTTCTCTTCGGGGGACGACAAAAAGTAAAGGGGTAATTCTAGGCGGGATGTATATACGGGATATAGGTATATACACGGTTACATATGTCGGAAAAAACGTACCACTACCTACACTGATACATGTAGGCTTACGGCGGTACATAAAGCCTCCGCGATGCCGCGTATTTACGTGCGTTGCGCTGCTCTTCACGGCGTCGCGTTCAGATACGCGTCGCACTAGGGTTATGGGGAGCGTCAGGATAAGGGAATGGCAGAGTCGGGGGCCTAAGGTCTCGGTCGAATGGGCTGGCTAAGATAAATAGAAGGATATAGAATCCGGAAAAGAGGCCTCTGAGCATTCTGCCCCCGAGTATGTGTTAAAGCCCGTTTCTCCGACAGTGCTGATGTATATATAGGTTCAGCGGCTTGCATGAGGAGGTAGAGGAGGGTGTCTATTATATGCACGAGATGCTTTTTGGTCACATTAATGTGGTATCGGCATCAATGGGGTTGCCCTGCATTTTATCCGCTACGAGAGCCTGACTTCTAGGCTACCGTTATGCATCTACATGTTTCCCCCTTTTCTTTCACGTCACGTCAATAGAAGGTGTTGCATTCTGAGATATCTTCTAACTCGTGTAGATACACCTTAAAATGGAGGCCCGAAGCGGGAGGAAAATCGCCATCAACGAAGGGGCGGGACTCCCTTGTCTCAGAAGCCATCCCACATCCCCAGCACACAGCGCGGAGAGCCGACGGACGGACCGAAATCAAGGGTCGACGCCGACGTTGCCAGTCACGTCCTTGAACGCCTCGAGGGCGCGGCCGAGGTAGGCGCGCACGCCCTCGGCGCGGGCCGTCATGTCGGCGCCGAGGAGGAGGAGGGTCTCGTCGCCGCGGCCGGCGCCGGCGCTGCCGCGGCCGAGGACGACCTCGTAGACGGCGCGCATGGCCTTGTCCTTGTCGCCGGCGGCCGGGGGCGGGCCGGGGATCGCGGCGCTGCCGCGCGCCGCGGCGAACTCGACCATGCGCTCGACGACGGACCCGGCGTAGTCGGCGGGCAGCGGCGCGGCGCCCACGCCCGTCGCGCGCGCCATGTTCGTGTTGAACATGCCGAGCACGACGGTCAGCGTCCGGATGTTGAACGGCGCTACCTCCTTCGCGAGCACGCGGGTTATGCCTAGAGACCGTGAGCAGGCGAGTTGGAGAAGGGAGAGGGGGGAGAAGGGGGAGGGGGGAGAGGGGGGAGGGGGGAGAGGGGGGGGGGGGGGAGAAAGACAGGAAACGCACCGTCGAGCGCGGCCTTGGCGCCGGCGTAGGCGCCCATGGCCTCGCGGCCGTCGAGCGACGCGCCGCTGCTGATGTTGACGACGACGCCGAAGCGGCGGCGGCGCATGTGGGGCAGGACGGCGCGGACGAGGCGCAGGGGCCCGAGGTACATGGTGTCGAGGTGGGCGCGCAGCTCGGCGTCGGTGGCGGTCTCGACGGGCGCGAAGACGGCGGCGCCGGCGTTGTTGACGAGCACGTCGGCGCGCGCGAGCGCCGCCGCCAGCTCCGGGTCCGCATCGTCGCCCTCGCCCCCGCCCGCCGCCACGTCCAGCCGCAGCCACCGCCCCCCGCGCCCCTCCACCTCCGCCACCAGCTCCGGCGTCCGCCCCGGCTCCCGCGACGTCGCGATCACCGTATGCCCGCCCGCCTGCGCCACCCGCGCGAGCGCCAGCCCGAACCCCGACGAGCACCCCGTGATCAGCCAGGTCAGCGGCCGCGCGGGGGTGGTGAAGGTCGGGGGCATGACTGCGGGTCGGGGTATGTTTGTATGCCTGTGTTTATAAGTCGGGTCAAGTGAGGCCCGGGGGGAATAGCGGGCGCGGACTGGTTGCTGAAGCTGTTCGGATCTATTCGGCCGGAGGGCTCTGTCCCTTACGCTCTCCCTCCCTCCTAGGTGGGGGAGTGTCTTGGCTTCATATTTATAGGTCTAGCGGCGCATGGCGCCAGCGGGCACTTATACCGCATCTCTTCTCGACAGGCGTGGACGCGGCGTTAGAGCTCCTAATGCCGGGAGGTGCAGGGGGCCGGCGGTGAGGTTGACGAGTGACTGCTGGAGCACGCGAGGATTGTGATCCTGGGGACCCGTCGGCGGCGGGAATAGGACGCGATTACTGCGCAGAAACGCTCGGGTCCTGGCGGTGTCCCGTATTGCCTACTCTTTTCTCTATCGTTTCTGTCTATCGACGTGCTCTTCGGCGCAACGAACCCATCTCCAGAGGACGTCACGAAGGCCACCGAAGCATGGCTCGTGCCAGCAAGCTAGCCAGCTACGCACCGCGGCCCGTGGGTCTCGAGACGACGACGACGATAGCCAACCCGAGCGATAGAAGGGCGTACTTGACGATTTGGTTGGGCCAGCTCGATGCGTGTGGTAGCGGGCTTACGGTGGTTATCCCCGGATAACTCCTCGCCCTCTCGCACTCGATGACGGCGGTGGCCCAAACGAGATGAGCCCGTGTCCCTGGAGGTCTCGTTTATTCTAGTAGGTATACAGGTAACTGGCAGGAGGAAGCGTAGCGATATTCTCTTCTTACTTATTGGTCTCGAGTCCGTTAGCTGTTCCGAGTTATAGCCGGTCAGTCAGGTAGCGTTACCAGTGCTATATCACCAACCATTGCCCGGGTAGGGGCTCGCGTTAGAGAAGTACCTAAGTTGACTACGTTTGGGCCACGGTGTGTACGCTGTCAACATGCCAATTCTAGCGTAGCAGCTCTGCGAGAGAGAGCCCAATATTGATCTGTATACTAAGCATGCTTGACTAGACGCCGCAAGGGGTGTGAGTTACAAGATAAAAAGGAGGCATCGTCTTTTCCTCTCTCACCCTGCCTTCGGGTTGGGGTGAGAGGCGATGATAGGCGACGATAGCATCGAGGTTGGCGTGCCTGTACCCAGGTACCTGTAGCTTATTGGTACAGGTACCTAGGAGGTGGGTATGTGTAGGTACCTCAGGCGCTGAACCAGCCCGAGGTCAACGTGGCTTAGGGCAGGTCTGCAGGCGCCACAGGCCTTATCGGCGCGACGTCACCGGTGCCGATAAGCCTGACGGGCACCTGAAGCCCGTAAATCCAAGCCTGCCTCTTGGCTTACGCCTCTACCTGCACGAACACCTTACAAGCTGTGCCTATCACCAACATCTCCCTCTCCTCCAACCGTCCGCCGCGCTGCCGAACGCGACAGCCCGTCAAGTGGGAATTCCCAGGGTTTCTGCCTGTCCAGCTCCACTGCGGGCGGCTCCCCCCAGTACACATCATCAACTTCATAACAACTACGTGTCGAGAGCGCGATCTCTTGGTTGCCTGTTTATTTGTTTGTTCCTCTGCGTCTCCTCTCCGTCTCTTAGAAGAACGTACATCGCCGTCGAATACGAATATCCCTGGCACGACTTCTCCTGCTCTTATCCCCAATATGGGCGAGCTCATTGACTACCTCGTCCAGAACGACAAGAATTTTAGAAGGTAATGGCATCCCCTCCCATTTCTTTTCTTGTTGTCGGTCTACGCCGTGGCAAGTTCCAGGTATCTTGAAAAAAACAAAGAACAACTTAGCCCTGACTCGCGAGAGCCATCGACGCGCAGAGCCCGCCTCCCTGCCCTCTATTCCGACTTTCGATCCCAGCGCACCCTCAATCCCGATGGCTTTGCTGCCAATGTCGCCGCCTGGAAGCGGGGATTGTCCGAAGCCGCGCTCGCCGGTCACGCACCGTCCAAGTCCGCCACCCACAGCCGCCTCATCCTCGACGTGGAGGACGACGCCCTCATGCGCTCTCTCGAGACGAAGCAGTTCGGCCGCCCGCTGGCTCTCGGCACCGCGCTCCAGGACGCCGTCGCCAACGGAGAGATGATGCCATTACAGCAATTCCTCGCTGCCAAGGACAGCATCTACAGCAAGTCGTGGGCGAACCTCCCGTGGTCCATCGTGTCCTGGGGCTTACGCCAGGTCGGCATCGGCGGCCCCGGCGACAGTCTACCTAAGGGCCAGTTCGTCGTGCTACATAACCTCGAGGTCACCGCCAAAGCTTTTAACGAGGCTGCCGCGGACCGCACCTCGCCGTTTGAGCGAACATTCTCGAAAACGCATTTCCAGAAAACATTTGGTGATACCCTGCTAGAAAGGCAAAAACAATCACAAGAACAACAACCACAACCGATGTCCGAGCTCGACCTCGAAGTACTAGTACGGTTCCTGTCGCGGGATAAGAACGTGCTCGTCACGGACGGGAACACGGTTCGGATCGTCCGGGCCGCAGCCGCGGACGAGGCGCCCACTATAACAGAGGAGGACGCGGCGGTAGCGTCGCTGAAGGAGTTGACAGAAGACCTATCGCGGCAGGCAGATGCGCTGACACGGCGGGTCGAGGACCTCCGCGCCGCGGCACTCGACGCGACGCGGCGCAAGAACCGGACGGCGGCGCTCGCGGCGCTGCGCTCCAAGAAGATTGCCGAGGCGACGCTCGAGCGGCGGCACGCGACCCTCGCGCAGCTCGAGGACGTTGCGGCCAAGATCGAGCAGGCGGCGGATAGCGTGCAGGCGGTGCGCGTGCTGCGGGCGAGCGCGGGGGCGCTGCGCGGGCTCAACGCGCGGGTGGGCGGGGCCGACGCCGTCGCCGACGTGATGGACGAGCTGCGCGCGCAGGTGGCCGAGGTGGACGAGGTGGGCGCGCTCATCGCCGACGCGGGGCCGGCGGGCGCCGTCGACGAGGCCGAGGTCGACGACGAGTTCGAGGCGCTGCTCGCGCAGGAGCGGGCCCAAGAGGAGGCCGCGGCGAGGCGCGAGAGGGAGGCCGAGGAGGAGAGGCAGGCCGAGGAGACGAGGAACAGGCTCGCGCAGCTCGACCGCCTCCCGCCCGCGGCAGCGGCTCTCGTGCGCGAGGAGGACGGCCGGCCCATCACGCCGGTCACGGCGGCGGCCGGGGAGCTCGAGGGCGTGCATTTGGGCAAGTAAGGACGGGGTTAGATAGATTGAGCGGGATAAAGGCCTGAGGAGACGGACAAGAAGAATGAATGGTTAATCATAATGAATACGCGTCACGGCGGCGACAGCAATACCTACAGCAGGGAAAGCGCATCACAAAGGCACGGGATGGGGGGGAAAGGCCGCGGGCATAGTGGTATGCAACGGCATATGAAAGACGCCATGGAGATGTACACAGCAACTGGCAACAGAATGGGCGGACGGATGGATCGATGCATGCTTGTATGTACCTACGTAGAATACCTCGGCGCGTTAGAACAAACAGCCCAGCCCAGCCCAGCCCAGCCGCGTACCCAAGACGACTAGCCGGCTGGCTGGCTGGCTATATCTATCTATCTCTCAGGGTATCGCCGTCGGCCGCCCGGCCGGAGACCGGTCTATGTCTACCCTCGCCCGTTGTTTCCCCCTGCTACTACTACTACTGCTGCTGCTGCTGCTATTGCTGGTGCTGCCCCCGTTCACCGTCGCCGTGCTGTCGGCATCGTCGCCGGTTAGGTCGCCGATGGCATCCCGGCCCTCGTCGTCCCCCTCCCATCGCTCCTGTTCCGGTGGTATATCGGGCGTGTGGCGTATCCGTGCCGCGGGTCCAATTTCCAAACCCTCCCTTCCCGCTGCTCCGCCCTCCTTCTCCGCCTCCGTCTCCTTCGTCTGGGCGGCGGCCATGGGCTTGTTGCGGCGGGCGCTGGCGATGAGGTCGCGGAAGGAAGCGTCATGGCGGGCGGCCCAGGCGGCGCCGTCGAAGTCCTTGTCGCGGATCTGGGCGCCGAGGGCGAGGGCGCGGGAGGCGGCGGGCGCGCGCGCGCCCAGCGTGCGCTCCCACGCGTCCAGGTCGTGCAGCAGGTCCGCCTTGCGCCGCGGCCGCTGCGAGTCGCAGTTGGCGTTCCAGATCGTCGTCCACTCGCGGTGCCGCCGCTCCAGCGCCTGCCGGTTCCCCGCCGTCGACAGCCCCAGGTCCACCAGCTTGCGCCGCAGCACCGCGTCCTTGAGCATCGCGTAGTTGACCGCCGGCAGGCGCTCCGGGGTCTTGAGCGGCGCCGGCGGTGGCTGCGGCGGCGGGGGCGCCCGCGACGGCCGGCTCGGCTTGCTCGGCGAGCCGCGGAGCGATCGCGGCAGCGGCGACCCCGCGCACGATGTGTCCAGGTGCCGGTCCACCTGGATCGCCTTCATGCGCTGCAGGCAGATGGGGCATTCGACGAGGCCGTCGTCCGGCTCGCAGTACGTCGGGTCCTCGTCGGCCGAGTCGGGACACTCCACACGCGCCGTCTCGGAGGCTACCTCGACGCCGCTCGACTTGCTCGGCCTCGTGGAGGAGCGCAGTCGCTTGCCCGAGCGCCGACTAGGCGATTCCTCGGTCTTGTCCAGCTTCCTCTTGGCCGAGTCAGCGGCGTCGTCGTCGTCGTCATCGTCATCGTCGGTCTTGCGCGCGAAGAGCAGCACGTGCGAGCGGGCCTGGGTGAAGGCGGCGACGACCTCCTCCATCGACCAGTTGTTCCGCAGCTTCAGCTCCTGCTCGGAGGCGCGGCACAGGGGGCACTTCCCGTCGCTGGAGAGGGCGCGGCGGATGCAGATGGAGCAGAAGGTGTGGTGGCACGAGGTCAGCATCGGCGTCTTGTAGAAATCCTTGCAGACCTGGCACCGGAGCGCGGCCTCTACGCCCGCCAGGCCGGAGAGCGGCGTCGGAAGCCAATCGGTAGAGTCGGCGACATCGTCAAAGCGTTCGAGGGTGGCGGTACCGTTCATTGGTACGGCGACAGCCAGGACTAGGACAGGTATTTCTATATTTCTACAGGTACACGGAACGTTTGCCAACCGTGGCCGAGGGGGTCGCAGCGTCGGTTTTTTGTATGGGCGGATGCATGTGCGTGTGTGTTTCGAGGATTATACCCGGGCGGAGAGGCGAGGACAAAGGGAATAGTGGAGGCAAAAAAAAAGATGCCGGACGCTTATAGCAGCTCTTCGATGTTAATATAATCAGAGGGATGGACGAGGAAGGCGAGCGAGCGAGAGAGAGGCGGAGAGAGACGCAGGCAGATATGGGTAAGCCGGGTGGTCAAATGAGATTGTTGATGATCTTTGATACCTGAAGCCCCAAGTCGCGAGTGTCTCCCTCGACGACGCGCTTTCTCGGCCCCATTAATTAATTGAACCCCTCAATACATCGCTAGACCCCGTGTGGTGCATATATATAGGACCCTGGATATCGGCTTAGATGCATCCTAGCAGCAAACCCGATGCCCCACCACTTAACGCGTTACGACGCGACAACCCTCTCTCTCTCTCTCTCCACTGTTGCCCGGGGGAGCTTTGCTAGTTCTTCGCAACTTCAACATCGAATCTCGAAGCACCATGCAGCGACCGTAGGAATTCGATTCTCCTCATATATTCTGGCCTCATCCGGTTTAGCAAACGAGAGAAAAAAAAGATCTGCCTTCTTAGATACTCAGAACTGCGTCGCATCTAACCTGATCCAACACGCTACTATCCCCGATCCGATACCTAACATGGACGACTACAAGCAGTATCTGGCCCAGAAGATTCTCACGGAGGACCAATTGGTGAGTTTTCTAAAGTGCATACATGTATGTATGAAGCTCATATGGCTGGTTCTAACCGGCACTACCAAGGTCACCTATCGTCTGCTGAGCCGAGCCCTCAAAGTTCATGTCAACACTGCCAAAGAGTACGCACGCCTTGCCACTCTTCCCTGCCGTCATCCCGCAGACTCAAAAGTAGCAGTAGCAGCAGCGCCGAGAAGGGCTAGACGGCTGACTATTTCCTAGAATGCTCTACGAGTTCCACAAGTCGCAGAATGACAAGCACCCAGGCACGCTGCATGCCACCTACCTCGTTTACGGCACGAGGAAGCCAGTCAAAAGGGTGAAAGAGGAAGATGGCGACGTGGAGATGAAAGATTCCCAGCACTCAGACGACGCTCCCGGCCCTTTCCACGACGACGCTCTCGCCTCTTCCCACGGCGACGCTCCCACCCCTTCCCACGGCGACGCTCCCGGCTCTTCCCACGACGACGTACCTACCTATACGCTCTCTCTCGTCAAGGAGGAGCAGCTTCAAGGTACCCGTCAATACTTCTCCCATTTCCCGCGCGAAGATTAGCTCACAGAGAACAGACGTATTGGCAGAGTATAGCAAAGTCACCTCAATACACGTCTACAGCCTAGCCCCGCATCCGCTCAAGGATCTCCAGCTTCTAGCCGACACCGCACGGCAGGTAGTCGGACTGTCGATAGCAGCAGGCGACGACGGTCTAGCTGCGAGCAAGACCTTCGGCACGATTGCGAACCCCAACGTGCGACGAAGGGAGCGCCGCGGGCCCGTGCCGAAACCCGCCGCTGCTGCTGCTAGTAAACCTCCACCCAAGGTCGAACCGAAGGCTCAGGATAAGCAGGAGGCCAAGCCCGCAGTGGTAAAAGAAGAGCCCAACGCAACCGCTACCAAGGATTCCGCACCAGCAGCGCCGGCCAAGAAACCCGTCGCGGCGCCGAAGCGGCAAGCGTCCTCGGGCATCGGGCAGATGTTCGCTCGGGCCGCGGCCAAGCCCAAGAAGCCGGCGGCCAAGGCGGCGGCCAAAGCGGAAGCCGAGGACGACCAGAAGCCGGCGCTGTCGGACGACGGCGAAGACGACGGCGCGGAGCCGGCGCCGGACGCGGGCCGCGAGCAGAGCAGCAGCGCGCGGCAGTCGCGGAAGGACCGGCAGGCGGAGCTGCGGCGGATGATGGAGGAGAGCGACGAGGACGACGAAGCGGCGGAGAAGGCGGACAGCCCGGCCGACGAGCCGATGGAGGAGGAGGAGGAGGAGGAGGAGGAGGAGGAGGAGGAGGAAGCGCCAGAGGAGCCGGAAGCGAAAGGGAAAGCGAAAGCGGAAGCGGAAGCGGAAGAAGAGCCGGCGGAAGTGGTGTCGAGCAAGGGGGACGGCCGGCGGCGCGGCCGCCGCCGCGTGACGCGCAAGAAGCAGATCATGGACGACCAGGGCTACCTGGTCACGATCCAGGAGCAGGCCTGGGAGTCGTTCTCCGAGGACGAGGCCGCGCCGCCACCGCCTAAGGCGGCTAAGCCCAAGCCGCCGCCCCCGCCCAAGGCGGAGCCCGCAGCGAAGCCGAAGAAGGCCGCCGCCGCGGCGAAGCCCGCCCAGGGCAACATCATGTCTTTCTTCTCGAAGAAGTGAAGGGCCCGACCGGGGACGGCTGTTGCGAGGCGCACGCGCAAGGGAGACAGACGGGAGGCATCCGCATCTGGTATACGGCCGGCAGCCGAGGGAAGCGTGGTGACGCGGTGGCATGGCGTCGGCGCGGGTTCCGCACGTCGGAAGGCTGGCTTCACGGAAAGAAAAAAAAACAGCCGCCAGTTAGACAGGTAGCAATGGGCCGAATAGATACTCTAGATACCTCTACCTACCTACCTATCTACCTACCTCCCTAGTGCCGCCTCCTATGTCCAGCACCTACCTCGAACTCTCCTCTAGACCCCGCGGGGGTTGCTTATAGAACTGCTCACACACGCACCGATATCCCAGCCACAGCCGCCCATAGGTAAGGTATACTTACAATCGAGCACCGATAGCCACGGCCCCAGCCGCTGCGCGCAGGTCCCCCGCCGCCCAGCCCGCGGCACCGAGCCTCGACGCGAGGACCAAGGCGCGATGCCGCGCCCGTCGCTCGGTCCGGCGAGGGGAGCAGGCAGCTCGACGCGGCGAGCTCGGCGGCGGGACGGCGTAGCTCGGGATGCTACCGCACACCGCGTATACACACGCAGAGAGGGGGGGGGGGGGGAGGAGGGGGAGAGGCGAGTGAGTCACTCGCGCCTCGCGCGCGAGAGGTTGCGCTTAGCTTACCGTGCGTCGGCCGTCCCGGCTGGACGCGGGCGCGAGGTAGGTCTAGCTGCAGCGTCCGGCGGCGGCAGCAAGAGGGGGGGATGCGTAATAAGGTCTGAGGGATAGGGTGTGTGTGTGTGTGCTCGACGAGGGGGGTGGTCGGGTGCGACGTGGAGATGCTGGGGGGGGGGGGATGTAACGGGGTTGTTAGGGGTGGGGGGGAAAGTATAGCGGTGCAGAGAGGCAGAGGGGCAGGTGGGCAGATAGGTCTGTCCGGCGGCAGGACTGTTGCTGCGCTGCGCCGGTGTGCCCCGCGGCCCTACGGCGGGGGGGGGGAAGGTTGCTGGTTACTGCTGCTACCTACTGCTACGGCGACGGGCTGCGCGAGAGAGCGAAAACCCGTGTTTCGCATACTTGCATACGTAAAAGTGACCGGACCTGTTCGTCGCAACCACCACTACCCGCCCTCGATCTAACCTAGAAATCTGCGTTGTCCTAGGCACATAGTCGCCCGCGAGAGGGGGAGAGGGGGGACAAAGGGGGGGGAGGGTTTGGGGGGAAGGAAAAAAGAGAGGGAGAGGGGGCGAGAGACGGGGCCCACGGGGGAACGGAGGAATGATGAGTGGGTAGCCGATGACGGTCGGGGGTTGGCTGGTTGTGGCCGGGTTGCCTAGTAAGGTGTTCGGGAATATATGTGTGCTAAGTGTGTTCCATCCGATAACACCTCTTCATGTAGGTAGAGGGGATGATGCATTGTGCTGGATTCCCTAACCTCTATGCGCTGTCTGCATGGTTTAAGAGACTGGACAGAGGCCAGGGCCTGCGAAGTCGCGTGCCGCCATCCTCCTCATCCTCCTCCTCCTCCTCCTCTTCCCGCTCTTCCTTCGGAGGGAAACGGCGTTAAGGGCACGCAGACCCTACCTTGGTGCGCAGACAAGGCCGGCGAGAGACACGCGCACAGAGATTCTCTCCAGTTGCCCCGAGACAGCTAATACCGGCCCTCGGCTGCGGGAGGACACGCGCTAGGCACTGCCTAACCCAGGCCTAGCTTAGGTGGGATAGACCACGAGGGAGACGCCAAGGAGGGGGGGGGGGGGGCAGTAGGTAAGTCAGGGTAGGAGGAGGTAGTGGACAGGCAAGCGACGACGCGAAAGCACCCGGCGCCACTGGGGCCACCCCGGCAAACCTTACCGACAGGCAACGCACGCGCTGACGACGAGCAAGCAGCGCAACGAGGCGACCGGCGAAGCGGCACAAGACGGGACAGATGGCGCCTGGCGCTCAGCGGGTTTGAGAAAAAGGAAAGAAAGAAGACCGCCTCGCTCTGCTCTTTTATCCCGCGCAGTCTTTGTCGCAGCAGCGGTCAGGAAAAGAGGTGAGTGCCGAGCATGGCTAGGCTAGGCTAGGCTAGCCCGGTTCGTCGGAATGGATACGGGGTGGGTAGCAGATAGACGGGACGACGAGAGACACACATGTGCGTGTGTGTACGTATGTAAGTAAGCTTAAGAAGAAGAAGAAGGCCCCGTGAGCGCGCCAAGGTTGCTCGCAGGATCCTCCCGGGACGCAGAGAGAGAGAGGGGGGGGGGGGGATTTGCTGCCGTGCTAGTGGCTGCGGGCGGTGATCAGCGGATGTTCCTTTTTTTTTCAATTCTAGATATGTGCGCTCTTTTTCTTCTCCTCGCTCTCGCTCTCGCTCTCGCTCTCGCTTCTGCCACACCGACCAGGAGGCGCGGAGATGAGAGTACGTACTGGGCGCGGCTTAGAGGTACCTAGAAATGCGAAGGCCTGGGGGCCAATTCGGCAATTCGGCGGTGGCGCTGATGCGGACGAGGAGGAGGTAGGTGACGAACCCCCCTTCGGCGCCGAGGCTCCCCTCGCGCCGCCCGTCGCCGTCGACTTGTCGGCACTGCGGCATAAAAGAAGGGAATAGAGAGGAAAAGAGGGGAGGGGGGTAAGAGAGAAAACTGGGAGCTAAGCTCCGTCCGCAGACTAAGTCGGGAAGCTAGACTAGGTCTGTTGTTCGAGAACAGCGGGCCAAGGCATGGACTGAGATTTTCTCTCCCTCTTCTCGGCCGCCACGGCGTTAAGCGGTTAGAGAGGGCTTTGCTGGTGTTTTCTGCACCGCTAATACATAGGTAGGCATGTCTGCCCGCATAACACGCCTTAAGTACATAGTTGCCTCACATTCACGTTGGCGGCGGCGGGGCGGGTCGCGGTCGATGCGTCTCGACTAGCGACTAAAAATTTCTGCATCGTCACCGGTAAGGGGCATTTGGGAAAGAAAGAAAGAAAGAAAAAATCCCATCTTCGTTTTCGGCTTGTCGCGTGGCGCGCTGTGCGGGGCGCAAAATCCTGTTCCAGGATTCGGGTTGAATGCTAAGCTGGAAAGAATTTCGCGCGAGCCAGTTTTATTTTTTTGTTATTTTTTTCATTAGCGTCCACCCGCGCTTGCTGGGATGGCGGCGGAGAGAGAGAGGGGTTCTCGCACGAGGTAGATTGATTAGCTCGATCGGTGGCCGCGGACAAGATGGACCAAACAAGGTAACTCTCATGTTCGTTTAGTAACCTACCTGTCTACCTACCTACCTACCTAGGGGAAGGTAAGAAGCGTGCAGGATAGGTAAGATGTAGGTAGGTAGGCATGGTGGGTGATCTGCGTGTATGAGTATGAACTTCTACATGTAAACACCAGCATCCGCACATTCACCTACATCGATAAACGCATGTTACCTAGTATAAGTAGCATCCGGAGGAGTCGGCAAGGAGGGGAGGGGGAGATGGGGGTCCCTTTTTGCCACCGTCAGAGATGCTTATCTGTCCTCCCAACGCGCGCGCGAAGAATCCGGGGAACGAATAAAGCTTGACTAACGTGCTGTCGTATACAACGATGACGGCGACTCTCGTCATGCTCGGCGAGCGACGGGGGGGGGATGGGGCAGCTTTAGGTGCCTGGCCGACGGCTGGCGCTGTCCCGTAGCGAAGCACCCCGATCTTTCTCCACGTACATAATGATGATGGCATCCCGAGCCCGTCTGAGGAAGTATTCTGCGTCCTATTCACGCAGCCTCCTTTTGCATCCGACGTAGGTATGTAATGCACATACGATGTAATGTATATGTATGCATACGTGCGTGTATGCATCGCTATGGACCGCTACGGCTTGGTGTGAATCAGAGGGCACAGGAAGATCCCGACAGGCTGGGATGGCCGGTTCCGGCTTCACCCACGATCCTGGTCGGGCCAGGGTGGTGGTGTTGCCCGATCGAGCAAGCGGGTCTGGCTGCGGCGAATGGCAGCGCGCCCGTATGCGTCCGGCGTCTTCCACGCGTCGCTCGTCGTCCACCCGGTTTGTTTTCTTCGGCTCCCCTTCCTTCCCCCCCCCCTCTGCGTCTTGAGTCCTGGGTCTCTTCGTGGGAGCGGGCGAGGAGAACCAAGCTCGAGAGGAGAAGATGCGTCCGAGGGTGCCGCGTGCGACGGCCAGTACGGCGGCATGTGCATACACACTATGCAGAGCAGACGGACTGCTCCAATTGCTCCAATTGTCTTTGCTGGGCAGTATACCTACATATATACCTATGGAATATACGTGATTGATAAACGTGGTGTAGATGCGTGCCGAGCAACATGCGTACGCTATGGCGACTTGTTACCGGGTATCGATGCCATCCGCCCGATCTGGGCGACGGTGACGCGAAATGGGTTTGTCACGAGGCCAACCGACCCCGAGGAATCCTCGCCATGCATAACCCGTAGCCGTCGATTGCTATGAAAACTCGGCCTGGGCTTTGTACACATGCGCGCACATGCGTGTATTCATGCGTGTATACACGGTGCGGAACTATGAGTCTGGAGAGTCGGGGAATGATACCTACCTACCTGGTAGGTGTAGTCCCTGGTTTAGGGCTCAGGGCCCCCCGGTGGCTTGTCTCGGTTCCCATTTCCCACGTTACTCGTTACTCCGCGACCCGGTCGGAATTGGACTACTATCCGCACCTGAAGCACGGAAACCCCCTCGGTCTCTTCTCACGACAAGCGAGGACGAGAGAGGTACGTAATAATACCTTAGCCAGGCACCTTGGCTACAGGTTCCAACCTACCGATCTAGGTACCTACATACATAATACAGCATGTGGGCATAATCGCGATTGGGCTTACTCAGGTACCTGGGCAGGTAGGCAACGATCAGGGTAGGTATGTTTGTGGTGTCGCATTGCCCACCGGACGCGTCCTCTGACGTGCGAACCCATACTATATACGACAGAGTGCGAACCCCATATATAGCAGAGCAGAGCAGAGCAGCACCGACAGCAACGGCGGCAGCAAGCAGCATTCCCATATTCACATACGCGCGAATACGTAGTTCCCTACAAGACCTTTCACCACTCGGAGAGCCATTGGACAGGGCGGGGTGGAGAGGGAGGGGTATATTCTGACAAATGCAAGTTGTTATGGAGTAGTAGCCCCGATTTAAAAAAAAATGCATGCATACAGACCTCCATTCTACAGTCTATCGCGCCCATACTTACCTAGGTAAATGCATGCGTAGTACCGTACTGCACAATTACAGCCTATAGCTTTACTTCCTATCAACCTAAGCCGCATCAGCAGGCAGCTGGTAGGTACTATAGCCGACGGTGACCTTGGAGAGGGGCGGCGGCACCTTCGCGGCCAGCTCGTCGTCGTCGTCCCGCGTCCTTCTTGCTCCCAGCCCCTCTCTCTCGCTCGCTCTCCGGCCCGGCGGGGCGATCGACGGCATCGAGCCTTGCAAACATAACCTACCTTGGATGACACATGCCTATACGGGCAGGCTCCTGACATGACGAACTACCTTAGGTACCTAACCCAACCTGTCTCTAGCGAATAGCTAGGTAACAGCCAGGTGACGCTGTAGCGGGACGTAACGCCTCGAGGTCGCCGGGGTACCTGGGATTCGACGGCCGAAAGAAAATGCACTCTCTAAGCATAGGGCTAGCGTACGCTGCACCGCTGCACCTTGGAGCGATTCGTCCGTTCTCCCCTTCTGCCTCTCCCTCTAAGGTGGGGGGGGGCGCCTCCGCTCCCTGCCCCTGCCCCTGGTCCCTGGCCACTACCCTGCAAAATCCTGCACTACCTACCTACACATTACCTCACGCCTATATGTACCTAATTGTATGTATGCATGTATGTGCATACAGTATATCTGTACTATATGTCTGTATGTACAAACCTAGGTATGTATGCATGTAGATATAAAGGCCCGTAATTAGTCAAATTAAAGAAAAAACACATAATAATTAACTATTTATAAAATGTTATATTTAAGTCTTCTTAATAGTTTAAGTTTTATATCTATAATTAATTAATTAGGTTTAGCTCTTAATACGTTTTATATGTCTTATAATCAAGGTAGCGAGGCTACGAGAGTAAACCGCTAAAACGTATATTGGTCCCTGCCTTACCTGCTATCCGCATTTTATGCCATTACGTGCATGCCCAATCCCTATACCCGTCACCGGCAAATTTTGATATTATTATTTCCTCCTGCCCCCCTCCGCAAATCCCATCCAGTTGCAACAACGTCGCCCACAGCCTCTCTCTTATTATTCTACCACCACCATCCTCTTCGCCCTCTGCCATCCCATCCCTTCTCCTCTCTTCTTCCCCTCCCTTCGCCAGTCTGCTAGCAACCCCCCATCACGGTGGCTTATTTCATTCTTCTCTTCTTTCCTGCTACGATCGCGCGTTTATTTGACGGCTGTGGTGCTGTCAAATGAACCTGCAACGACCCATTTTAACCTTTCTCTATGTGAGTCGCCCGCCATTTTCCCCTGCCTCACCCTAGAACCCCAATTCGCCATTGCGCCGCCAGCTGCCGTCATGTCGTTCCCTGTCTTGTGTTATCCTATCCTCTCCTCCTCGCGCTTCATCTCTCGCGGCCTAGGCTAGCAGGAAAGGCTTTTTTTTTTGCTGTCGGCGCTGCCGGGAAACCGCGCTTATTCCATCCCGTCATCCCGTCGCGAGCTTGCTCTAGTACCAATGACAAATTCTCGTCAACATTCCCCCCCCCCCCCTGGGCGTTTCCCTCAGCCAACAACAACCGGTCTTAACTGGGATCGAAGCTGATACTAACCCATGCCGTCTCGTCTCTCTATGTAGTCACCCTCCCCTCCTGGCGTCATCTAAATGCCCACCATCTACTCGTCCTTGTACCAGAACTTCATCCGCCAAGGATTCGCCAAATCCTTCACCCACGGCTATGCGCAGTCCGTCGTAGCTGCCACCCACCCCCATGTTCTGAACTCGCAGAACCGTCCGTCGTTCGCTCGACGTAGCAGTCAGCGCGTCGGACGCCTCAGCAGTCTCCAGCTCCAGAGTGCCTTCCACAACTCCTCGAACCCCGTTGTTCAGCATGAGCTCCGCCACGATCGGCATGCCGGCAACGGGAGCTTGGACGCCTACTTTGAGGCCCTGAGGAAGCAGCAGGATGCTGGCGAAGTCGAGAAGGAGTGGACTCAGTTTCAATTCCTCAAGTCCATCGAATGGCGACCGAACGCCGCCTCCATTCTCGAGGGCCCCGAGTCCATGACCCCGGCCCCCGAGGTGGACGAAGCCGCCGTGGCCGCCCAAGATGGTGCCGAGGATGCGCCGGCTGAGGTCGACGTCGAAGCCGCGCTCGCGCATATCGACGCTGCCATAGAGAAGGAGATTGAGGCTCGCGAGTTGCGCGATGCCCTCGAGGAGACCACTCAGTCTCTCCGGGCGTCGACCCCGTCCGTCGCGAGCGGCCTCCAGTCCCGAGCTCGGACGCCCGTCGTCGAACGGCCAGCGAGTCCTGTTAGCGTCACCGGCCTAAGCCGCCCCGTAACGCCGCCGGCCGATCCCCAGTCCCAGAGCTACGCCGAACATCTGACGAAGCTGTCCGAGGATGGTCGGTATGCCGAGATTCCTGCCGTCTTCGAGGCTATGCTCGTCGCGAACATCAAGCCTACCGCCGCCTCTTACAACGCCCTATTGGTCGCCGCCATCCACATCCCCATCGAGAAGATTCAGGTGGTGTCGAAGGCCCTCGACGTCTACGCCGACATGATGCGCCGCAAGGTCTCGCCCGATAGCGATACGTACAACATCCTCGTCAGCCTGCTGGCTGGCCGTTGTCTCGAGGTCTCTGCCCTGAAGAAGGGTCTGGAAGAGAAGCGTCTTCGGTTTGGTGGCATGGACGAGCCTGGAAAATTCATGTTTGCGTCGAATGAGCTAGAACACGCCATTCTGTCGGAGGACGACCGGCTTGACCTCGCCGTCAAGCTGTTTGAGACCTCCGTCTTGAAGGGCAGGGCCAACTACTCGTCCGAGACGTATCATCAGCTCATCTCTGCTTGCGCCGGGGCCGGCCGCGTCTCAGACATGCTCCACATGTTCGAGCACATGGAAATGAGCGGCGCCGTCCCCTTCGCGGCTACGTTCCCCTGCATGATCACTGCATTTGCCAACACCGGCGACCTAGCCAGCGCCGTGGAGTGCTACAACGAGTACAAGGAGCTGGCGGTCGCCCACGACAATGGCAAGTACACGCTGAACGACCGGCTCGACTCCGAGGTGTACGCTGCCGTCATCAACGCCTACGTTACCAATGACAAGCTGGAGGGCGCAATGAAGTTCTACGAGAGGATAGTAACGGCCTACGGGGCCCGTGCCTCCGAGATTCGAGACGCCATCATCGCCGGAGGGTTTGTCAAGGGCTTCACTTCCCGCGGGATCTATCACGAAGCCCTCCGATGGGCGCAGGTCATCGAGAACAACGCTGGCCTCGCCACTATGGCCGACCTTGCCACTGCCGCCGCCGATTCGGGTGACCGTCACACCGCCGTCGCGGCCTTCTCCAACGTTTCCCCGGCGTTCCGGGGAATCGCAACTCCGGCTATGGCTTTGTTGGCCCTCAGCGTTCGGGACGGCGATGTCCCCGCTGCCGGTAGATATTGGAGCGTACTGAGTAGCCCCGAAACAGCGGTCGACGCGTCATTCATCGAGCCCACGGCCATGTACGCTGTCGCCATGATTGGCTCGGGGCAGGTTGCCGAGGGATTGACCGAGTCCGAGCTGATGTTCCAGCGGATCCGCGCAGCCGAGGGCGAGGCCAAACCGCATCTTGCCGACGAGATAGACGAAGGGATCGAATTCGTCTCTCGTTTCATGGCCGCACGCGCCATTACCGATCCCCGCGACGCATCTTCCCAGGAGAGCTTCACCCACCAGACGCTCAACTCGTCCCCATACCCGTCGACACCTACGGTTTCTAGCTACGAAGACAACTTCGATCCTTACGCTCACAACACCGACTTCAAGGGCTCGTCTATCATTTCGGACGAGCTTGAGGGCGCACATGGACGCAAGGGGCCCCGACTCAACGAAGCGCTGACACGCTTCCGTAACATGCGACGTGCGGGACGCCACCCCCGGTACATCACTTACGCCAAGATGATCTCCGCCGCAGCCCGGGACGGTAAGATGGACCTCTGCCACGAGATTCTAGCCATGGCGCGGACCGACGTCCCCTTCCTCCCCCACTACTCCGCTGTCCGGTATGGCTGGTCCTCGATACTCGATGCCATGGTCGGTTCGTGCCTGACGCTCGGCGACCGCGTTCTGGCGGAGCAGTACCATGTCGAACTCCTCGGGATGGGTGCCGCCCCCTCGGCGAACACCTTCGGCCTCTACATCACCACCCTCAAGGAATCGACCAAGACTTTCGACGAGGCCTCCGAAGCCGTCAAGATCTTCCACAGAGCGAAGGCTGAGGGCGTCGAGCCGTCGTCGTTCTTGTACAATGCGCTGATAGGAAAGCTTGGCAAGGCTCGACGGATCGACGATTGCCTCTTTTACTTTGCTGAAATGCGGACTCTGGGCATCAAGCCGACTAGTGTAACCTACGGAACTATTGTCAATGCGTTGTGTCGCGTTAGCGACGAGAAGTTCGCAGAGGAGCTCTTCGACGAGATGGAGTCGATGCCCAACTACAAGGCTCGCCCCGCCCCGTACAACAGCATGATGCAATTCTTCCTCTCTACCAAGCGCGACAAGTCCAAGGTCCTCGCCTACTACGAGCGGATGAAATCCAAGGGAATCTCTCCCACCGCCCATACGTACAAGCTCCTCGTCGACACCCACGCCACCCTCGAGCCCGTCAACATGACAGCTGCCGAAGCCGTTCTGGACATGATCCGCGCGGCGGGTCAACGTCCTGAAGCTGTGCATTACGCCTCGCTAATTCACGCCCGCGGGTGCGTTCTCCACGACATGCCAGGCGCGAGGAAGGTATTCGACTCCGTTATGAGCGACCCAAGCATCCCGCCCAACGCCTGCCTGTTCCAGGCCTTGTTCGAGGCCATGGTCGCCAACCATCACGTGGCCGACACCGAGGCGGTCCTGAGCACGATGGGCCGGAGGAAAGTGGGGCTTACTCCCTACATCGCCAACACCCTGATCCACGGATGGGCCGGGGAGAAGAACATCGAAAAGGCCAACTCCATCTACAACAGCGTCGGCCGCGAGAAGCGTGAGCCTAGCACGTACGAAGCTATGACCCGTGCCTTCCTCGCCGTCGAGGACCGCGAGAATGCCAAGGCGGTCGTTAGCGAGATGCTCTCGCGAGGCTACCCCAGCGCCGTCGTCAACAAGGTCCTCGAGCTTCTCGGCGGTGGCAGTGGTGAAGAAGCCGTCGTCGTCTAAGAGAGCCTCTCGGGGACAGGACGAGGCTGGCTTTCGCAGTGGATACCCTTTTTTTCGTTTCAATCTTTTTTTTCTCGAGTCAATTCCATTTGTTCTCGACTTCAATGCGATACCCCGCGGTCTACATCAGGAGGCTGGCATGCCTTTAATTTTCTCTTTTTATAAACTGCGGTGGTCCGTTGAAGCGAAGAGCAGTGTATAAGCCCTCTCTCTCTGTGTCTCTCTTATTCCATACTCATCGGGGACGGCGGGCCTCGTCCGAACCGGGCGAAACAAGGTTCGCCCTGTCGCCGACAGGCAGTCCAGGCGTTATTCGGAGGGAGGGGGGGTTTTCTTAACGGGGGACTCTTTACTACTACTGCATGCCAACACGACACTTAACGTTCGGGCGGTATGGGGGGGGGTTCCAGGAAGATCATCGGAAAAAAGGGAAACGGGCACGGGCATTTCACGGATCGGATCTTTTTTTCTCATACTCATAGACCAACGAAACATCTCCACTCTGCATATAATCATCAACTACCATGGGAAGAAGAGAGGGGCACGCATAAACGGGATGTACACATAGACACTTAGGGGTGGCGGGGAGAGAAGGTCAGAGGAAGAAATAAATAAGGGAGAGGGGCTCAGACTTTCCCGACGATGATCTAGAACTGCTGCTGCTGCTGCTGCTGCGTATTGGTGTCTGATGCTGCGATAGTGACGGTGATGGTGACGGTGTCGATCGTGGTGAGAGTAACTTGGCTATACCTATCATCGTTGTCGGCACTGGTCACCGATACGAGAGGGCGGCCTACGGCGCATGCAGCGACGCGGGTCGCCTTTTAGGGGAGACCCGTAGCGAGGCGCTGCGGGTATAGGTCGTATTATATTACTATACTAGTACGGCGCTACGGGAATAAGGGGATAAATAAGTAGTAAATAAGTAAGTATAAAGGGCGGGTATATATAGAGAGAGAGAGAGGCGGAAGAGGGGGGTAGGTAGATATAGGCCTATACGTAAATATACTTAGCGATAGAGAGAGATATATATATATATAGGAACGGCTATCCCCCCGGGAGGGCGGCCGTCCACGCGCCGCAGGATGCTGCCCGTCTCCGTTCCTGCGCCGCGGCGCGCCGTGGGCAAGGTCTTGTAAGCCGTGAGGTAGGCATGGTATGCATTACACCGCGCGCCGTCTCACCCAGACGAGCGCAGTCTGTCTGTCGACATGTCTATCTGCCTGTCTATCAGGGCACACACCATACCACACCACTTCCCCCTCTCTCTCCCTCCTCTCTCTCCCTCCTCCCTCTCCCCCCTCTCTTCCTCCCCCCTCTACCCACGCACCCCAGCACGCACTCAACCAATATTAAACTCGCCCGCCGCATCCATCACGACCTGGCGCGTCTTCGCGCGCATGCGCGCGCGGCGCGCCTCGGCCTCCTCGTCGTCCTTGTCACCACCACCATCATCGTCTCTCCTCCCGCCCTTCCGCGCCCTCGCCTCCTCCCCACCACCACCACCACCACCACCGCCGCCGCCGCTCTTCCGCCGCTTCGCCGGCGCCCCGCCCCCGAGCCCCCCCGGCGCCTCCCGCAGCCCGAAGCTCTTCGCCCCGTGGCCCAGGTGCATCTGCGCCAGGTCGAAGAAGGCCCGCTCCTCGCGCACGTGCGTCGCGTACGCGCGCACGTGCGACCGGAACGCGCGGCGCGCCGACTCGAGGAGCAGCTTCGCGTCCGCGTCCGCGTCCGCGTCGCCGGCGCCGCCGTTGTTGTTGTTTTTGTTGTTGCTGCCGTGGGTCGCGTGTCCGTACCCGCGGAGCAGCCGCTGCTCGAGGTGCAGCTGGAGCGCCTCGGCGCGGGAGTTTGGCGTGGGGCGGTCGGACGCGAGAGCGCGGGGCTCGGCGTCGGCGGCGGCGTCGGCGGCGGGGGGGAGGAGGACCGGGGTGGCGAGGCCCTTCTTGAGCGTGTCCTCGTACGATGTCACAGCGGCGGCGGCGGCGGAGAGCTTGGGTCCGAGCAGGAAGCCGACGTAGCCCTCCTCGCAGCCGGGCAGGAGGAAGAGGGCGGCGCGGCCGGGGCGGCCGGCGCGCGCGGTGCGCCCGACGCGGTGCACGTGGTCGGCCGCGCTGAAGGCCGGGTCGTACTCGAGCACCAGGTCGACCGCCGGCACGTCGAGCCCCCGCGACGCGATGTCCGTCGTCAGCAGCACCGCCGGCCCGGCCGACTGCGCGCGGAACGCCGACAGCGTCGCCGTGCGCACCGGCTGCGCGAGCGACCCGTGCAGCCGCATCAGCGCGACCGCCGGGTTCGCCGGCGACGTGATGTACGCCGCGTCGGCGATGGTGTCGCGGGTGAGCGAAGTAGAGGAGGAGGTGGCGGTGGCGGTGGCGGGAGTGGTGGTGGTGGGAGTGGTGGTGGTAGGAGAGGAAGCGCTATCGGACGCGGGAGCGGGGGGGGGCGGGGAGGCCCGCGAGCGGAGCAGGTCGAAGTGGAAGTCGACCGAGTCGGCGCACGAGATGAATACGATGGCCTTCATCACGGAGCCCTTCCGGGAAAAGGCCGCCTTGAGATACGCTATCAGGGTGACGAGTCGCAGTTTTGCCGGGACGACGACGAAGGATTGCTTGAGCTGCGACGGGGCGCTGAAGACGGCCTCGCTGGCCTTGACCGCTTCCTCTTCCTCTTTGGCCTCGGCGCTCTCGCTCTCCGGCTTGGACGCCGTGATGTGAACCGCGTCCTGGAGGCTTATCTCGCCGAGGCGCTGCACGTTCATCTTCATCGTTGCAGAGCACAGCACGGTGACCCGCCGGCGCGGCAGCGCGTCGAGCTTTGTGCCGTCCGCGGCCTCGTCCTTGAGCGTCTCGGCGCGGATCTTCCCCACGATGTTCTTGAGCTCCTCCTCGAACCCCATCTCCATCAGGCGGTCGCCCTCGTCGAGGACGAGCCACCGGACGGTGCCGACGTCGAGCACCTTGGTGTTGTCGAGGTGGTCGGCCAGGCGGCCAGGCGTCGCGATTAGGATGTTGACGCCCTTGCGCAGCCGCGCCTTTTCCGACTTCTTGCTCTCGCCTCCGATGACGGCGGTGCTGACGATCCAGGGCGCGCAGCGCAGGACCTTCTCGAGCACGGTGGCGATCTGCTTGCACAGCTCCCTCGTCGGGGCGAGGACGACGGCGAACAGCCCCGAGTTGCGGTGTATCCGGATGCCGGTGCTCGTGCCGTCGGGGTGCTGGCTCAGCGCCACGATGCGCTGCACGATGGGGAGGAGGTAGGCTAGGGTCTTGCCGGAGCCCGTCTCGGCTTGCAGAAAGGCGTCGCTGTCGCCGCCGACAAGCGGCGGGATTGTATTCTTTTGTATGGACGTCGGCGCCTTCATCTCCAGCTTCGACGACAGGTGTTGAGCGATGCGCCGCGACAGGCCGAGGGCGAGGAAGTTCTCGGCCTCGTCGGACAGCGGAGCGTTGGACGGTTCCGCGGCCGCAATCTCCTCGACGGGAGCTTCGAATACTGTGCGCGGCGTCGGGTTCGAGGTGAATAGCCTTGAGCTGATTCCGCCCAGCTTGCTGCTAGCATTGTTGCTGTTGGTATTGGGTCCCTCCGGTCTTTTAGGTCGCCCCGGTTGCGCATCTCGATCAGATGTCCTCTGTCGCTTCGTGGGCCTCTCGTCATGGACGTGGTGCGAATCGGCCACTTGATGCTCTTGCCGGTCGGTGGTGGATGGCGTGGCATCGTCGGCGCCGGCGGGCGCTCGATTTCTTTGGGCGCTGCGTTTGGCGTGGGATCGATCTCTCCAGCGTCCTCCGACAAACTTAACCTGTCTTCTGAGCGGCTCGTCGCCTATCTCGAAATTCATAAGCATACCGCTGCCAGCCATGGTTGCTCGATGTTGGGGTTGATTTCCGCTGGTTGACTGAGGTGGTTCGGTGGGTTTTGTCGCAGAGAACGAAACAACCGGTTTTGTTTGAGAAAAAGCGGCAGAATTTCCTCGACTTTCTGGCGGTCAGGGAATGTGGGGTTATGTAACAAGCATCATATTTCTTAAACGCGTATAACCTTTAGCCATTCATATGGATAACTTCATTATCGATAAACACGGGCTATCCTTAGCTCTAGAGGTAGGTACCTATAAAAGCCTAAGTCGCCCAGGCTCGCTGCCATCCCCTTTCCCCTTACCAGGCCCCGGCATAAAACACGGTATGATCGGCAGAAGAAGGCAAGGAAAGGCGGGAAGAAAGGAATAAATAAAGATTTAGGCGTCATAATCTCCCTAGCTCGTACATACGAATGTGAACGTCCCTTGATCTAACCCCCCTTCCCGCTCCCGCTCCTCCCTCATTTCCCTATCCCCCATTCTATGTGAGTATCCCCGTAAGTGCCGTCTAACCAAAATCATCCTGAGCATCTCCGGCGCCCTGTCTGCCCTCCCACTCTTTAGTGTCGATCTGCGATCGAAGCGGCGCCGTCTCAAGGCCGCCGCTGGGGGCCCCTAGCATGCTGACGCGGCGTCCCCGTGGGGTGTCGAGTGCCTCGCTCTCCTCGTCGATCGTCTCGCTGCGGCCCCCGTCCGTCCTCCTCGTGCCACCCCCCCCCTCGTCGTCATTATCGTCGTCGTCGTCGTCATCATTGTCGTCGCTGTCGCCGTCGGCGCCCGCATCCGAGTCCAGGTTCCGGTTAAGCCGCTTCCCGATGTCGAGCATGAACGCGCTCGCGTACGCAAACCCGTCGATGCCGTGCTCCGATGACGGCAGCGCCGCGTACGTCCGACGCGCCTCGTTGAGGCACCGCTGCGCCTGGATGTGCTTGCCCTGCGACAGCCACGCCTCGGCGCTGAGTGCGCTCCACATCCCCGACTTGCGCCGCCGCCCGCCCCAGCCGTGCGTCCCAAGCCCCTTCTTCGACCCGTAGCACACCGCAAGCCGCTCGCGGATCAGCGCGTCGCCCACGGCCCCGAGGATCTTGCTCTCGAGCAGCCGTAAGCCCCATTTCGCGGCGTCGTCGACGCTCGAGCCCCCGCGTATGCGCAGCAGCTCCATGCCGAGCACGATGCACCGCAGCGCTCCGTAGGGCATGCTGCAGCGCGTGATGTATGAGTAGAATGCCGCCTCGAACGCGGAGTCTATCGTGTCCGTCCTCGATTTCGAAGACAGGTTTTGGGGTAGGATGAGGAGACTGATGGCGGACATCTCATTCGTCGCCGCGTAGTATTTCCACGCCTTGTCACCGTTATAATCGTTCCGTAGGATCTCGTATGTAGAATGGGCCAGCTTCCAGTCGCGCAGCATAAAGGCGTAATCCGCCAGCTTCCGCATTATCGCCTCAGGGGCATCGGGGCGGTAGAACCCGTGGGTGTCGTAATTACTGCCGGAGCTCTGGCCCGAGATGGACGACCGGGGGCCGCCACCGAAGCCCCACCGTTTCGTCAGGCCGGCAAACCGTCCGGCCAGGCCTCTCCGCCGCGAAGCCACTTGGTCGTTCCACACAGTTACGTGTCGCTCCATCGTCGGGATTATGGACTGCGTCACCATTTCGCGAATGAAGGTACGTATCGCAGTCGCGTCAGACTCGAATATGTACCTCGTGGGGTCCTCGAAATCCTCCTGGTCTTCGCTCCTGCGGAGGTCGGCCAACTCTTCCGCGGCCGACATCCACTCGCTTCGCGGGAGCGGTATGCTATCATCGTCGGTAGCGGCACTCTGCGTCCCTCGGATTCGGAGAAGGTGGCAGTGAAGGCCGAAACTACGTTTCATCTGTTCGAAGAGTGACATGGACCTCGTGATGTCGTCGCGCTCCTCCTCGTGGATGAGAACGTAGTACCGTAGAAACTCGCCATCGACCCAGACGGGCAATCGCTTATCGCCCTCGCTGGACTCGGTGTACAGTCTCCGGATGGCTTCGATCGGGGACGGGTTCCGAGAACTTATGGCAATGACACAGGCGACCGGGTGAGCCAGCGTCTCGTGCGGCGTGACAGGCAAGCCGGAGAGCAGCCTGCGTAGATATAGAGAGTAATACGGCGAGGGTACGTCGATGTCGAGGTCGCGGTTCATGGGGGGTGGCGGTACGCTAAAGAAGGATTCTTCTGCGAAATTCAGATGGCGGTCCACAACTGCCTCGACATCGGAGATTGTTATGCCTGTCCTCAGCGGACCTCGCCCGGAATCGCCCGGCTTCCCGGGTCCTCCGTTTGTCCTCAAACCGGTGGTTGCGGGCTCCGGGTGTACGATGCCCTCGCCAAACTGCACGAAGCGTATCGAGTAATCCTCGAAGGTGCGGCTGGACCCGATGCTGTCTCGTACTATGACCTTGCCCTGCACGCGCTCGCCGAAGGGCCGGAGCAGCTCCCACAGGCCACGGGAAAACCCCTTCTCCTTCAGCAGGACATCGGTGTCCTCGGAAGTGTAGACGGCGACGTGGGGCACGAAGGCGCCGAGAATCAAGTTGAGTGGGTCACCCGGGTTGTCGCCGGCACCGGAGACCAAGGCGAGGGCATTATTCACGCCGGTGCCGAAGACGGAGCTGGCTGCTAGGCGCGAGGCGGGGCGGCCGACGGGCGACTGGGACCGGGATGCGGGGGGTGACAGGGTCGACGCGTAGAGAGAGGCGGCAGACGGGTGAGATCGCCGGTAAGGGAGAGTCTCGGAGCGGTAGAGGGCTGAGGGCATATCGTTGAGAGATTGGCGGGCCCTCTGGATTTTCGAGGCGGCTACGGGGGAGGCCGGGAGCGACCCGGTGCCGAGAGGCAAGTCATGTTCGGACGGTGGCATCAAGTCAGGCAGAGGGGCGTGCGGACTGAGATCCCTCGGGGCGACTTGACGGTAGCACGGTGTCGCATCTGTAGAGGGTGCGAGGCGGAGGCGAGAACGGTATGTCGGGCTCGAGAAGGACGGGCCGGAGGCGGCCGGGAAGGTGTAAGGCCTAGGTGGTGAAGTAAGGAGAGGGTCGCTGGGACGGAAGCTCTGACGGCGGAGGTCGGACGAGGGTTGGAGTAGTGGAAGTATATGCTATGCGGCGCCGTGCGCATCCGAGTTGGTGATGTGTTCCCATTGATTTGATCAGATAACGAGCAAGGCTCGAAAGTAGCGAGGTCTCTCGCCAAATAACCCGCCAATGCGGCACGACCCAGCCAAGCCACTTTCTCCCAGCCAGCAGAAGGGGACCTGGCTCCCTATCGATAAGGCACAACCGGCTCGACACAGCCACGTAATTACCTCATATTATCTAGGTACCCAAGGTACCTGCTATGACTGTGGCTGATGCCGGACTCCGGGGGACATTATAGGTACCTAGGTAGGTAGGTACCTAATATATTCGCAATAGGTAGCATCGTTGCTATGGAATACACAAAACGCAGACGGAAATCTGAACAAGTAATGCCGATGGATATACCTGCACATGCGCTCCAAATTGGAAAATGAATACCTATCGTACCTAGGGAAACCTCAAATTCAGAAAGATTTCGATAGGCACAGCAGCAGACGTAGATAGAAAACGAAGTATGTAACAAGTAAATTGCCGCGTAACGCCTACATTCTACCTACGTATACTCATAGCTATGAGAAGGTATATAAGGGCCGATCCTGTACGCGACACAAATTTATTCCGCTCAATTCCTACCTTACCTCCTAGGCAGTTGGCAACCGCATAGCTTTACTATTTTGCCCTTGGACAGCACAACTCTAGGCCTATAGTGGAAGACGATTATCCCCCGCCGGACTCCTCCTAGCAGTGAGTCTCTCGAGCGCTCCAGCAGAACCCCGAGGCTCGGGGCACGCCTTTAACCTCTAGGTATGTTAAGCCTACCGTCGTCGCCTCCTTTCAAGAGCACTGAAGTGTCCTTTCGCGCTGTGCTTCCATTCCTACTGCCGTCCCCGAACCGCCAACGCAGACGACATCCAGCTTTATATGCTAAATGCCCCGCCATCTTGCCTCTCGCCTACCCATACCTGTGTTCTCGGCATCCGTAGATTAAGAGGCATATACTCGCGCCCGACCATGCCCGTCGGCATTGGGCAATACCTAAGGTCTGCCGGTGCTACCGTCCTGGTAGGGAACATGGCCTCCCTGCCCATCTACCCGTATCTGCCCACTAGAGTGCCTGTCTATTCGTTCCTCACCTTGCAAGCAGCATGAGAACGTTGCATCAATTTGCCGGCTATTAGGCGGCCAAGGTGTGTGTGTCTCGCGCAGGGAGTGTTTCCTATCCTCTCTACGCGTCCGTGCCCAAATTTCCCCATTCCAAATTCCGCTCTCGCCCTCCTCGCTTCCGCCACCGCAAGCGTCAGTCTCCTGATGCTGACCGCACCACCCCCGAGCGAGCCAGACCAGGGTGGCAGACCCGGACCGGCCCCCGATTTCGACGTCGCGATGGCCCCTCGCGCCCGCATTCCCATAACGTTATGGAAACGCCCGCGGTGGGTCTAGACGCCGAGGCAGTCAGTATGTAGGGGCAAGTCGAGAACAGGCTATACGGTAACCACGTTGGATGGCGTTCGGGGAACGCCCAGTAATTCATCTCCGATGATGGGTGAACGGACAGAGGAGAGCTGGAGGGGCTTCGCATCGTGATTGGCTCGTAGCGGCTTCGCGCGACCGAAAAGGGCAAGTTAAGCAGGCTAGGCAGGGAAACGCGAGGCGACGACGAGAGAAGAGTCTTGCAGGTAGGGAAAAGGAGCTGGAGCTTCGTAGGTACGTTTACATCTACCTATCATTGTGTTTCTCTCTGTCTCGTGGGAAGATGGGGACAACGCACACCATAAGCCTTATCCACTTCCATCGCACCGACGACAACAAGACCCGCTGTGACCGTCTAGGGAAACAAAAGCGAGACAGAGAAGGGGGAGGATAAAAAGGGGGGAGGGAGTGAAGAGGGCAGATTGGTGGGGTGCCTCCGACGGGATGGGGGGCTTTCCTAGAGGTGATGCGACGATCGAGGAGCAGGAAAAGCGAAATAGGTAGGTACCTATGTGGCGGCCGGCTTTCTGCGCCAAGGCGGCTGAACCTGCGAGGGGGGAAATGGGACAATACGGGAGCGAGGGACGACGTAGGCATGTTACCTACCTCCTCTACCTGTTACTTACTACTTACTTAGGTAGTTAGGTATGTAGGACTCTGACGAGGTGAGGATTAGCAGTAGGTAGCAGTAATAGGAGGTGGTAGGTAGATATGATAGGAAGATGGCAGGGACGGGGAAGGGAAGGATGGTGTGCTTTTTATGAGTAGGGCTCATCTCGGGACACCCTTTTAATTTCTTGTACTTGGAAAAAACCACGTCCCCATCTCCCACCCACCTACCTACCTACCTACCTACCTACCTACATATGCGATGCTACGCTCCATCCCCTCCCTGTTGGAACAACGCCGAACGAAGGGTCATCTTGAGCCCGCCTAAGCGAGCTAGATGGGGCGCCAGGTACCGTGAGACGGCGGGGGAACAGAGGCAGGAAAAGAAGTTACTTGGCCTTGATACTGCTACTACACAGGCACGGGCAGGGCGAGGTAGGGGAGCTATGTGCCGATCGATTCGCGAGCCCCCCAGCTCAATATATCTCCTCGTTACGCCATATATTGAGCTGACGACACCCCTCGGCCGGCTATCCTGGTCGTCGTTGCTACCGAGGCGCCGATCGAGAGAGTGCCCTCCGCAGCACGTCAGCCGCCAGCACGCCCAGGCCCTCCGATTCCACCTCGTATTCCTTCATTCCGTCTGTCCAAGAACTTCGCAACGCCGCCGTGGCGGACAGGATGTCCCATGCGGGTCTCAAGTACCTGCGGCCTACTGGCCTACTCGACCTCAGGCGTGTTCAAGGCGTCCTCGCTTCCTCCCTCGAACCACGCGCGACCGCAACTTGTAGGTAGGTACCTAGCGGTCAGACGTACATGGCAGAAAAGGTCAACTCGTAAATGCACGACCGTTGCCGGACCAGCAGTTCCGAGCAGTCGACAATCCGCACACTCGCTCGATCGGTTTAATCTGCTCTTGCATCCTCCCAAGTAGGTAGGCAAGCCCGAGCCAGCAGCCGGATCTACCTATTTTCTCACAGGGTTGTGGAGAACCCTGTCGTGAACGCGCACGACTTCCATTCTTCGGCTTCAGCCAAATGTCTGCGCGAACGAGGGAATCGCCAGTCATTTTAGCCACGCCAATCGAGAGCCTCGCGGTTCCACCCTACCATCCCACCCATCCGCACGCGACCCGCCGGATCTCGCCCGGTGGGGGGCGTTCCCGTCACCATAAAGGCCCATGGCTGCGCGCCGCTGTTAGAGGACCCCGATCCTCAGGAAGCAATCGTCCGGACAGTCCTGAGCCGCCCTAGGACTTGAACGTCATGTTGTTCCCTTGGGCAGGTAGCGGTGTCGCCGCCGCCGCCGCCGCCGCCGCCCTGTTCGCAAGCGGCCTGACCGCTCTCGACGTCCACGAGAGACGGGGTGATGCCCTCCCTACTACCACTTCCACCCCAGGAGTATCGCCACTCCCCGACTCTCCACTACTCTCCGACTCTCCGCTTACTCCTACGTCTTCTGTCGCCCCTCCGGTAACCTCGGCGCCGGCCCAACCCCCCGCCCCCATCGCTAATTGCCAGAATCATCTGCTCGTCGACGACTTCTCTACATGGGCGGACGGCGTGAACTCCCTCAACGGTGCCACTAGCGGTAAGATACCTGCCAACTCCCCTAGATTAATGTCTCCCATACATAAATATATGTCACGGCCATCGTATAAATCACCTGCGTACGTGAAAAGGGAAATAGATAGAACCAGCTAACCCTTCCTCCTTTCTCCCCCCCGGCACCTTGGCAGATGACCAAACTATGAACGCTACCAGCGCCGAGGGTGGCATCCTCACTTTCACGCCTAATAGCATCAACGTCTCTTACATCTACGAGCAGTTCGAGTGCCTCGATACGCAGGGCTCCGGCTACGACTCGCTATCGTTCCAGATTAAGGGGCCTGAGGCCGCCTCGGTGTCGGTTGAGCTGCAGACCGTCGACGAGTGCGGCGGCGAGGCGTACCGCAGCTTCTACTACACCGTCAACGGCCTCAGCGGCTCACTACAGACCATCGACGTCCAGCTCGCCAACTGGCCCGAGGCAAACCTACGCGGCATCGTCGGTGTCGTCTGGTACGGCTTCTCCGCCGGCCGCACAGGCGCCGACAACGAGTGGCAGCTCGACAACATCCGTTTCCTCTGCGCCGAAGTCGCTCCGCCGGAGGACCCGGAGCCTACCCTGCTGCCCGAAGATCCGACGCAGCCAAGCGGCCCCGCGACTACTGTCACTACCACCATCTATATCACCGTGCCCGGAGGTGGCGTTACTACGACTACCGCGACGACTACGGGGGGATGGAGCACACCGGCCCCACCGACCACCACTACTAGGAGGAACCCGTGGCCCACGACGACCCGGCGACCGATTCCCCCATGGTGGGACGACGAATGGTGGAGACTCTGGCCGCAGAGCGAAGGCGCCGAGAATTCGCCGGCCACACGGACTGTCGGGGTGGAGACCATCCAGAAACTGGTGGCCAGGGATGAGGAGCCGGCGGCGGCTGAGTGCAGCCAGATCCTAATCGACGACTGGGTATCGCAGTCGCGGCTGACCTTCCTATACTACAACGCGCTGCTCAAGCCGACGAGCGATGACGACACGATGCAGTCTGTCGTTGTCAAGGACTACCGGGTGACGCTGACGCCACGGGACTCGTACTCATACTTCTACTCTCAGCTCGGCTGCGTCGACGCACGAGCGCACGGCGGCATCTCTCTGCGCATCGCGGCGGCGGCCGGCACGACTTTCGATGTGCAACTGTCGTCGAAGCAGGGCGAGTGCGGAACTGAGCCTAACACTGACGTGGTGCTCACGACGCGGCAGCTCGGCTGGACGTTCAACGGCCGCGAGCAGCTGTACTCGATCCCCTTCTCGGCGTTCGAGGGCCTTGACCTGTCCAAGTTCCATATGATCTTCATCAGCAATCTCCAGACGGCCGTCACGCTCGGGCCGGTGAGCCTGTACTGTGGCAGTCAAGTTGTCGAGTACACCCCCCCAGCTGTCGAGGAGCCGACTAAGCCAACAGCTACCGTGCCAGCGCCTACGAGCACGGCGACGACCCTCGTGATCGACCAGTTCGCTGACGCTGACGTCAACGCGCTCGGTCAATGGCACGGGGCGGATGAGGGGATTTCCTTGACTTTCCGACGAAACACGATGACTCTCCAGACCAACGATTCCGACCTGCAATGGATAACACAGGTCACGGGGACGTGCCGGAACCTGACCGAATTTGACGGTTCCTACCTCCACATCGCTTACTCCGGGAGCAACCTATTCACCGTCGCTTTACAGCAACACAACAAGGAATGCAGCAACGACATCTATCCGTACCCCGAGACCTGGGACTCGCTAGAGGCGGCGCGGTACAGCACCGGGTCTGACATCTACATCCCGATGAACCACTTCAACATCGACCGCTCGCGCACCATCGGCATCTCACTCAAGGGCTTCTACGGCGGGACGGCATCGACAACCTTCTCAAAGATCGAGATCATCAACCGCGTGCCGTCGAGCTTCAAGGTGCCAGAGAAGCTGCCGTCGGGCACGTTTGTGTTTGCGTGCAAGCGGCCCAACTCGTTCGCGTTCGCGATCGACGACGGCGACCCGAGGTTCGCGGCCGAGGTGATGCGCACGATCGAGGAGGAGAACATCCTGGTGACCTTCTTCACCGTGGGCGCGCCGCTCCGCGACCAGTCGACCAATCTCAGCGCCATCTACAACGAGATGGCGGCCAAGGGCCACCAGATCGCGCTGCACAGCTACACGCACCCGCCGCTCGAGGGCCTGCCCAGCGACGCGGCGATCGACTGGGAGTACAGCAACGACATCGCCGCCGTGGCCGAGGTGTTCGGCGGGCTGAAGTCGCGGTACTTCCGGCCGCCGTTCGGGACGGAGGGGGCGCGGATGCGGCAGCGGCTCGCGGCGCTGGTCGAGGACCCGTACATCGTGCAGTGGAGCGTCGACGTGGAGGACTGGCTGTGGGCCGAGTCGGCCACGCCGGAGAAGCAGCTCGAGGCGTTCCGGCGCGACGTCGAGGCCGGCGGCGACATCGTCGTCATGCACTACCTGTACGAGAGCACCGTCAGCTACCTGCGCGAGTTCATCCAGATCGCCAAGGCCACCGGCAAGCAGCTCATGCGCGTCGACCAGTGCCTCATGGACCCGAACGCGCCGCCGCTCCCGGGCGCGTAGCCTAGGGAGTAGTACTAGCCTAGGACATGGATGCGTAGGTAATGAAGCCGTGCGGACGAGAGCGCAGGCGGAGGTTGCATCCGGGGGGGGGGGGTATACTTGATAATACCCGATAATTTGAGGGGCGCTGCTTTACCGGTGCTTGGCTGCCCCCCCTGGCTGCTAGGGGAAAAAAAAAGAGTTGATGAGATCTATGCTTCCAGGCCACACGTCTCGTATAGAGTCGCGGACGCTCATAGACAAATAAAAAAGAAGAATTGACATTGTTCGAATACCCGCTCGCGCGTGGTCTCTCCTCGTGAGGGTTCCTCGTAGCCTCCTCCTTAATCCTCGGGCCGGCCCCGCTTGCCAGGCGCCTAGTAGCCTCGCCCGTGGGTCCAACATACCTACCTACGCCGGTGTCCGCATCCCGTGTTCCCGCCGTCTCCTAGTCTCCCTCCCGGCTAGGGTGGAGAGAGGGCCGACGGAGCCGGGTTCATAAGCCCCCGCCGACTGTCTCGATGAGGCCGTCTCGGCCGGTGGACGAAGGGGGAAGCGGCGACGTCGCGGAAGAAGGCAGACGTTGTGGGAAGCCGGAGGAGAGAGGTAGGCACTAGTCGTCGCATGCACTTACTTACCCGATGTCTATCCTGCCCTACCGCCTCAAGCTACGTAGGTAGGTAGGTAAAACTCGGCGATCAGTTAGTTCACAGCAGGCGTCACGCGAACCCAGCTCGGCCTCGCGAGCAGCAGCAGCGGATGTGCAAAGGAATGCAGAGTCGTTCTTGTTACTAGCAAGCTAAGCCACTACTCTGCCCAGCCAGACGTGGGGGCCGTCTCTCATTCTCCCGCTCTCCTGCTCCTCCTCCTTCTGCCCCCCGGTCCCGGTCCCGCCGCCTAGTAGACGTAGACGCCGGGCTCGTCCTTGGCGGCGGGGTCGAGCTTGCCGTCGGCCTCGAGCTGGCGGAGGGCGCGGGCGGCGCGGGCGGCGCCCTTGCGGACGGCGTCGGGGGTGCGGGGGGCCGGCGCGAGCCCGTACGGCGCCTCGGCCTCGGGCTTGAGCACCGGCACCGCCTTGAGCCCCGCCGCGGCCACGTCCTTGCGCAGGCTCGCCACCCACGCGTCGTCGTACGCCGCGCCGACCACCACGGCCCGCGGCGCGCCCAGCGCTAGGTTGCCCGTCCCCACGCGGCTGCCCCCGCCGCCGCCGCCGCCGGCAGGCGTCGGGATCTCGCCCTTGAGTACCAGCGGGATCTCCACGAGCCCGGCCTTCGGCGAGCTGACGAAGTGGACGACTGCGTGGGGAGGTTGGTTAGTGAGGGCGCTCTGGGTGTCGAGGGAAGAAGAGGGGGGCAAGGGGGAGAGTAAGAGGGAAGAGGGAAGAGAACCCCCGAGTCCGGAGTCGAGAGCCTGGGTAGAGTGGGAAGGACTCGGGAGGCAGGGGTGCGAGGGAGTCGGTTGCTTACCCTCGTAGTCAGGCTGGAGAACCTCCTTGAAGACGTTGCCGAGGTCCTCGGAGTGTCCGCAGAGGATCAAGGGAGTGGCGGTCATGGCTGCTGTTTCTGATGTGGTTGGTAAGTAAGTGGGACGCGTTCCGAGAGCTTGCTGCGAGATGCGGTTGTTGGAGATATCAACTTGCGTGCTGTTGTGGGTTGGCGGAGGAGAGAGAAGTCGAGCTCGGCGCCAGATGGGGGAGGGAGCCGACACCCCCTTTTATACTCGAAGCCGCGGCCCGCGTGACCCTGCGTCCCCGTCACCGTCTCCGTCACTCGCCGCCGGCAATCTGATCCATCGCGTCATTGCTCGACGTGGCACGCAGACGAGGCGGCCCTCTCCGCGCACGGCGGGATCCTGACCGGCCAGCCCACGTCTGCACTATCTAGTGGCAAGGTACGTGGGAATATACGGGCTATACCTTGTGCTCTATCGGCTCCCCCAGCTGACCTTAGGGGGAACCAAAAAAGGGGGGGCCTTTCCCCCTGACTTGCTGGATGACATACTTCCCCCCCCCCCCGTCTTCGGCGTAGTTGTTGAGTAGTGGCGAGGTACAACGACGCCTTCTCTATGTCCCTGACGCGTCGTGCGCCGAAATTTGAGTGCAACGAGAGGCTTAGGCAGCCGGCAGGAGATCTAGGTCCCACGAGGCTATCCGGAGGGACTCCGGCGAGAGCCTTCTAGAAATTATCCAAGTACGCGTTTCGCAACGGGGGACCGACGCTGTGGCACCCGGGAGGGCCTGGGGGCTTCTATCCCTCCGGTGCTTCGAGTGCGCTCGCGCCAACCTGGCCTGTCGTCTCGGCGCGCACCGGACCGAAGTGACGTGTCCTTATAGCCTCATCTGCCTCTGGTCACGCCTGCACACGTGGAACATGGCGAGCGAGTCCAGGTCGGGCGTGCGCCGTGCTGACGTCAAGCCAGCCGGCTATCTCTCTCTGCCTCTGTCTCTCGCTGCTTGGCCCCGCATGGCCATCGCCTAGGGCGGTCCTGTCATCTCCCCCAGCCTGCCACACGAGATTTCCCGTCGGATCCGATCAGTCACCGAGTTGACGTCATTAGCAAGGCTGCGAGCCAAGTCGCGGCCCGCCGCGAGCGAGAGAGCTCTAAGGAACGCCAGGCGATCGCGAACCACTCGTATGTGCTAGGCTTGGTAGTCAGGAGAGAGGACAGAAAGAGAGGGAAGGGGGTGGAGGGGGGGGAGGGGGGGGGATACTACATGCCGCGAATTAACAACCTGATATTGGTGAAATGCTACACTTACGAGGGACCATAGCACGAAACTAGATCGTCGGTCCGCGTCGAGTCATCACGTCTAGCGGTCGTGACGATCTGCATCCAGGCTCTAGTGCCGATAGAGGGTGGGAGCACGAGAACGGGTTGCGGAAGCCGGTTTCGAGCATTAGCGAATAGCTGCAACTCCAGGAGATTAGGCTGGGAGGAAAGTCTCGGGCGGCGTATCGCTAGAGAGTGACGTAGCGAAGACCCGGAATCGACGGGCTACGAGGTACGATAGACCAACAGCGTCTGTACAGGCTACGACCGAATCGGCCACGATAAAAATTCCCGGCCAGACGTCACAGGGGCAAGAAATCTATCATTTAATAGTACCGATATGACCTGAAACTCCTGAGGCGCGCATCTCGGCACACCAAATGAGGGAGGAGAGCTCATCCCGTAGTCGGATCCCCTTCCCTCAATTTCATTTCACTCTTTTTTTCTGTCTTGTGTCTACTTTCGTCTCGTTCGCCTCGTAACGTGTGAGGCGTGCATTCCCGTGCAGAGGCGGTTGTTGGTTCGACCCCTGAACGGTGCATCGCTAAGCTTCCCGGACGACTTTATCAATTGCTTTCGCCACGTATTCGACATTTCTTGTGTTTAGCCCGGCCATGCTGATACGGCCGTTCTTGGTCATGTAGATATGGGCGTCCGAGCGGATCTTGAGGACTTGGGCTTCGGACAGACCAGTGAAGCTGAACATGCCGATCTGGTCGGTGATGTGGTTCCAGGTGCCGGGTGTGCCCAGCTCTTCTAGCTTCTCTCGCAGGGCCTTGCGCATGGCGATGATACGACCGGACATAGTACGTAGATTCTCCTCCCACTCGGCGAAGAGCTTTGGGTCGTTGAGGACAGTGCTGGCAATACGGGCGCCGTACAACGGGGGATTTGAGATCTCAGATCGTTGCAGGATGGCGAGCTGGGAAGCAATTCGGGCGATGGTAGTCTCAGCATCCGGCGCGGGTCCGGTCACGGCGTGGAAGCAGCCTGCTCTCTCACCGTAGAGGCCGAAGTTCTTGGCAAAGCTTTGCGCCACGACCAGCTCGAAGCCCTGCTCGACGAAATATCGAACCGCGGCGTTGTCCCGCGTCAAGTCGCCGGACGCAAAGCCCTGATAAGCAGTGTCGAAGAAGGGGAAGTGGTTCTTGCGGCGTAGCACCTCGGCAATCTCCTTCCACTGTTCCAAGGTAGGGTCAACTCCGGTGGGGTTGTGGGCGCAGGCGTGCAGCAGGACGATGGACCGATCCGGGGCGTCCAGTAACGTGGATTTCATACCCTCGAAATCCAGTCCTCTCGTCTCCTTGGAGAAGTAGGGGTATTTTGCGATAGGGATGCCGACGTTGGTGAAGATCTGGTTGTGGTTTGCCCACGTGGGATCCGAGAGATAGACCTTCTTGGTACCCGGATAGAACTTAGCGAGGAAGAGAGCGCCCAAGTGAACGGCACCGGTGCCGGAGATGGTCTGCACGGAGGTGACGCGCTTCTCCTTGATAGCGGGAGAATCGGCACCGCCGAGGATGAGTTCGGCGGCCTTGCTAGTGAAAGAGGGGATACCAGCAATCGGGGCATATTCGTGATTTAGCTCGGGATCGTTGCGAAGGATCTCGTCTGCCTACGCCCGAGACGAAGGGGTAAGCGGCTAAGCTAGAACAAGGGGAAGAAGGGAGTTACCTTCTTGACCACGGGCAATACCCACGGTTTGGCGTTGTCATCGCGATAAGCCCCAATACCCTAGATTTCCCCATTAGCAGCGACCCTCAAGACAGGATCGGGGTCGTGTAGGGTGCACTGTCGTAGTAGGGTGGGTTTATAGGGAGCAGGAGCAGGGGGTTTCTGGCGGACTGTCGCTATATGGTACATACCAAATCTACCTTATTCGGGTCCTGGTCAGCCCGGTAGGCTCTCATCAACCCGAACAAGGGGTCTTCGGGGGCCTGAGGGACGACCTCGGCGGTGAAGCTGGTGGCGGAAGGGGGCGACATTTGTCTGGCTAGGCTCTTAACTCTAGAGAGGGATTGCTCGCGGTAGGACGTATCGGAGGGCATGGTGCGAGAGAAGGAGGGGGGGGAGAAGGAGAGAGAGAGACGGAGGGCGTTTAAATACGGGCAGGTATTGTTGGCAGCACCTTGGGGTAGCTGTTAGCTGTTAGGCGGCAGAGAGGTATGTAGGTAGGTAGGCGTCGTAATAGATACAGGTGGGTGTGGTGCGAGTCGACCGCCAAGCTGACCGGGCCAGTGGATACGAAATGCAGCGAAGGCAATAGGCTGGCTGGGGAGCTCCTCTTTGGGCTCTCGTGTGTTTGTTTTGCGCGAGCAGACGGCCCAATCCAACGGCCAGCTCGCTTTGGATTGAGCACCGGGGTGTTAGGAGAGATACTATTAGAAATAGTAACTGGAGGAACGGGCGTGTTCGAGAGGGAGACGTAGGCGCTCCAGTCGGGGACGAGGGGCGACGAGGGGCGACGAGATGGGGAGGACCTTAGCGGCAAGCGGGGTGGTGAGTGGGCTGAGAATGGAGTTGTTAGGTAAGAGAGTGTCCCGACTTACGACCGCCTAAGATGGGTACCTGGGCAGGTCGGGAAGGAGGTGGTATCGGCGGGGTTTTCTGTACTTGTCTGCGGCAGTGTCGGCAGGTAGAGGCGGGCGGAGAGATGGCCGGTGAGGTACCTGCGGCAGAAGTATTTAGGCAGGGCAGGCTACCTTCGAGGGCAGGTATTTTTATTTATTTTCCTGCTTGGGCACTCCGGTCAGTTGACGCCAGGTGGGTTCGATGCGGGCAAGCATGCGTTATGCTGCGCTACGCTATGCTATGCTACCTAGCTAATGTAGGTTCGTCTGCAGTCTAGGACGTAAGGCAAAGCGCCCTGGAGTTGGTTCCGGAGCACGAAAAGGGGATGCCTACAGCTTGACAAGGCCGGCCGGAGGCGATAAGGCGACGGTGGTGCTATCTTACGTGCCTTGGTGTCACTCGCGGCCGAAGGGGAACTGTAGAGGCGGTCAGTTAAAAAAAACCCCAATTAAAAACAAGGTAATATCGGCCTGATGAGTCCAAAACTGGTAGGTAATAATAGGCTTGGGGAGGGGGACGATCAGATAGAAAGAAAGAAACAAAGAAAAGGAGAATGGCAAAATCGGCGTCTGCCAACCAGCTCGTCAACACTGCACTCTCTATGGGTTTAAAAAAAAACCCCCCTACTTAGCTCACTCACCTCTCTTGGGGGCTGGGAGGCGGGGGTGGATTTCTGCGAGAGAAGAAAAGAATACCCCAGATGGGGGGAGCCACCGCGTCCACCATCCACGCCCACCCTACTTATCTACTTCCGGCGGGGGGGGATCTACCTAGGCAATTAATCTTAGGTAGGAACCCGCTCGTGCATTCTTCCCTCGAAATCATGCCTGCTAGGACCGCTTTGCCTAGGTTGGGGGGGAGCGCGTGGACAGATTCCCGTCCCCGTGAGATGGATATTTGACGATGGTGGCCAGGTTAGACCCTTTTCTTCTTCAGCGAAGCCGAGGTTCCGCGACACTACCGCCCCGGCTCGGCTTTAGCCTGTCCGAGAGACCCGGCAGCGACCCGAGGGCGCTTTCGTCATCGAGCAGAGAGATGTCTACATAAGAGTGCTGAGGATGATGGCAGCGGACGCTTTCTTGTCTACCTACCTATCTACCCAAATCCCCTCTCTTCGTTGGATGGGACGGATGTGGTCGAGTGGGCGAAGATGCCGAACCCACCCGTCCAAGTCGTGGCCAAGCTCGGTATTCATAGTTGAGCACGCCCTAGCCTTAGGTAGGTAGGTACCTATCTTATGCGCCTCTTATCTGCGCTTCTCACCCTATCCACGTACGATGTCGATCCCGTATGCCCGTCTGGCTTCAGTAGGAATGCCTACATGTGCCCGGTAATATATGACAGGTACAAACACACTCTAAATCTCGACCCTACATCACTTGAGCGGGTCTCCTTTTCCCCGGTACATGCGCAGACCGCTTAGGTAGAGATGCATCGCCAACGGCGCAACCTCCCCTGCAGAATTAATCAATGGCAGGCTCCATGGCAAGGAAAGGTAGGGAGATTCCGGGCAGAGCCAATCTGGCTATCCTGAAAGGTCGCAGGACTCGGCATGCGACATATCTTCTTGCCGAGAAATTATACGTCGAGGCAGGTCCCGTAGACAGCACTGCGAGTACCCCTAAAAGCTGCAAGGATTCTAATACAAGCTTGGTCCGACATGTGATGATCTGACCTGCTTACTCTCTTCTTCCTTCACATGCACCCACGCGAATCGACCGACCCGATGCGGCGCGTTTCCCTCTCCTTCGTGCAGCGGGAAAAGAGGTAGTTGTCTCTACATACATCATATCCTCACCTCGCTCGCGGATCATATGACCAGATCCCATACGATCAAGAAGGCGCACAGCCCGCACGTCGCGAAGAACGTGTACCTGGCCGGGCTCGCCTTCTGCGTCGCCTGCTTCAGCTGCCTGTTGCCCCCGCCGACGTTCTCCGCCGTCTTCTCCGAGTCCGAGACCAGCTGCTCGATGCCCGCCGACTGCGTCGTCAGCGTGTCGATGAGCTGCGTCTGGAGCTCCGAAATCTCCATCAGCGACTTCTCCGCCGTCCTGTTTTTTGCCTCCGTTAGCAGCAGATTCCCGGCTATTCGTAAATCCCCGATCCACCTACCTAACTTGGTCCAGTGTGCTCTCGTAATGTTTAAGCATGTCTTGGTTGTCCCTCTCGAACATTTGGATTTGCTCCGCCGTCAGATCCCCTCCAGCCGGTGCGTAGGGTGGCGTCTCGTCGGGTGGTGGTGCGGTTTGACTTGGTCTCCTCCGCGGTTCAGCCGCGCCTCCCGCCTCCTGCGCGTTTCCTAACGCGCCGAGAGGCGGACCGCCCTGCCTCTGTGACTTGGCCAGCACACTCCTAGTCTTCTCCATCTCTCTTGTCAGTCGCCTCTCCATCATGTCCTGCTGCGTCTTGACGCATCCCTGTAGTCGGTGTCGTAGAAGCCATAAGATGCTGTCCCGGTGCGTGCTGAGAGCGCTCGCGCGCTCTTCCGCCGCGACGTGCGCGGGCGATTTGTCGACCGGCGACCCGCCCGCCGCCCACGCGCCCAGCGCGCCCAGGCCGCGGGCGGCGAATTTCTTCTGGATCACCTTGGACGCGATCTCGGATCGGGCTTGCTCGACATCGGCGAGATGGCGGATGCTGGCGTTGAGCTCCCGAAGTAGTTTTTTGGCGTTCGCGTCGATCTCCTCGCGTTCTCGGTTCGAGAGCGGCCGCGGTTGTCCGTCTTTCTGGGCGGTCCGGATCAGCGTTTTCCGCGGCTGGGCGGTCGAGAGGTAGGATTGTCGGATATTCCTGAGATCGGCATGGAGCGAAACGATGTGAGAGTTCTAGACTTACGGCAGCTTGTTAGCAGGTGCTGCGCGGCAAATAGCCGGACGGTGGCCGAGAGAACTTGCTATTCGGTAAGCCTCCCTCAAGAAATCGTCCAGGTCGTCGAAGCTGAAGCTCCCTTTCGACGTGGAGACCTCGTGCGGCTTGAGAAGGCCATTGAAAACCGGCGTGAGGTCGGTCATGGCGGGATAACAGTACAGGAAGACGGCAATCAACTGAGCGACACGTCCATTTGGGGGGGAGTTGGAGGCGGGGATTTCCCGTTAAACAACTGGAAGCTGTAGAGGCGTTGACGTGACGGAATCTCAAGTTAGCAGCAACCTGTCCAATTCGATAGGAGCTGATATGCATCTACCGGTTAGGATGGGGATCCGCCATAACGTCGGGCGGATGGGCAGGATGTACTCCCATGTGGCTGAGGCGCCCCATTTCAGAGGTTAGGTACCCAGGTACCCCCTACGTGGGCGACTTTCCGCAACAAAAAAAAAAAAAAGGCCACGACGGAAGCGGCCAGAGAAGAAAGCGGCCGCGGAAGCGAAGCGCGCAGTTCGCCTCCGACTCGCTTCCGACGACCGCTAAGGCCGGCAATGGCTGGAATTACGTGCTGTAGGTGTTTACCTTGTGGACAGGAAGGGCGAAAGTGATAGCAGCACCCATCGCCGCGGGATACGACATTTCGTAGAAATAGGCACCTATGCCGACAACGCAAGGGGGATGGATCTCCTCGCCCGCAGCGCTCGCAGATAAACACCCAATTCATAGCCTACTTTACGGAGTTACAGCCCGCGCCATGACCCATGTCATATGCATACGTCCCATTCCCGTGCCGGTCTCGCTTCCGCCCGGATGCTTGATGGCTAGAGAGGAACGCATGTCCGAAAGTTGACCGGGGGGAGGGGAGACTTACTGGCTTTAAAGGGAGATATCGGTACCGTTCAGGGTCTTGCCATTTTTTTCCCGCTCAGTCTTACAAGTCGATGCTGTTGCCGACGTGATTTGGATCTGTCCTCGCCATGGATGATAACCAAAAGATAACACCGGCACCAAAAGACTCCCGCGACGATGGGTCGCAGAAGAGCTACTCGGTGAAAGACGGAGAATTGACATCCCAAGAGCTCGAGCGGGATAGTTTTCGTGCCCAACCAGGAACGCCCGATAGTCATGAAGACGGTCGTAGCTCTCAGAACGGCGTCGAGGGTGCCGGTGAAGCCCAGGGCCTTGACGCGCTCTCTCGCGCCTCCAGCGCGCCCCTCTACAGCGTCTTCTCGCCCTCCCTGAAATGGTGGATAATTGCCTTGAATGGTATGATCGCCTTCATCTCGCCCATCACCGCCAACATATACTTCCCGGCGATCCCCTCGCTCGCACGGGACCTGGGCGTGTCGATCGCCGACATCAACCTGACGGTAACCACCTTCATGGTCTTCCAAGCCATAGCCCCTACTTTCTTTGGTGACTTCAGCGACGCGGCCGGGCGGCGGCCGGCTTCGATGATTGCGCTCGTCGTCTACCTCTGCGCCAACATCGGCCTCGCCGTCCAGCGCAAATTTATCGCGCTGCTGCTTTTGCGCATGCTGCAGAGTGCCGGGAGTAGCGGCACCCTCTCTCTCGTGTATGCTGTGGTCGCGGATCTCGCCCCGAGCTCGGAGAGGGGCAGGTCCATGGCCGTCGTCGGGGCGGGCATCACAATTGGCCCAACTCTAGGACCCGTAATCGGCGGCTTGCTCGCCCAGTACCTCGGGTGGCCGTCCATATTCTGGTTCCTGTGCATCGTAACTGTGGTCTTGATAATCCCCTACGCGCTGACGGTGCCGGAGACGGGGAGAAGGGTGGTAGGGAACGGGTCCATCCCGCCGCAGGGTTGGAACATGACGCTCATCGACTATGTCCGGCTCCGACGCCAGGCCCGGAATCGGCCAGCGTCCACCGATCCGCGACGGAAGATCCGTCTCCCCAACCCGCTGCACACCCTTGCCGTCGTCGCCGAAAAGGAGATGGCGCTGGTGCTGTTCTACAACGCCACTCTCTACTTGGGCTTCATGATTGCCACCGTCACTATCTCCTCCCAATTTTCCGAGATCTACCACTACAGCGACATCGAGCTCGGACTTTGTTATCTGCCCATCGGATCAGCAACAATCTTCTCGTCGGTTGTCAACGGTCTGCTGGCGGATTGGAATTACCGGCGCATAGCCAAGAAGCTAGGCGTCGAGGTCGACCGGAAGCGTGGAGAAAATCTTGGAAGCTTCCCTATCGAGAAGGCCCGTCTTCAGCTAGTGTACCCGCTTCTCGTCGTCGGCACCGCTGCATACATCGCATTTGGCTGGGCGCTGCATAAGGAAACCCACGTGGCCGTGCCCCTCGTGCTGTCGTTCTTCATCGGGTTGTGCATCACCGGCCCTTTCCAGATCCTCAACATGCTCATTGTCGATCTGCACCCGGAGGCCCCGGCCACGGCTACGGCCGCAAACAACCTGGTCCGGTGCCTGTCCGGCGCGGTAGCGACGGCAGTTATAGATTATATGATAAGAGGCTGGGGACGAGGATGGGCCTTCACCTTCTTCGCCCTGCTATTCAGCCTTTGCTCGCCGGCGCTTGTCGCCATCGATAGATACGGACCCCAGTGGAGGGAAGAGCGCCGGCAGAAGATGGAGAGAGCCGCGGAAAAGAAGGAGGTCGGAAAGAGAGAAAAAGCAAATTCTGGGGCCCTGCGAAACGGTGGCGTTCTGACCGAGTCTCCGTCCACCGTCCTCCCGTTAAATTCGGTCAACCCCATTTAGAATCCTGCAGATCGATGGGTTCTTTCGTATTCCCCATTCGCGTAGACAGAGCGAGACATGGATGTCCAAAGAGGGGGTTAAGAGGAGGTGGTAGGTACTTTATCGTATTCTCTATATGGTAAATACGGCGGCGGTTGCACAGCGCCTGTGTGCGTGAGAATCCCTAGACGGGGCCGTAACACCAAGACAAAATTGCATCGCATATCCTGGGAGTTGGCATGATCTGACGATATCAAACGACGAACACGAAGCAAGAGGGTTTTGCTATATAAACAATTTATACCTATGTATTAGCCTGTACTAACACGATGCTTCATGTACGGTATATACTGTTTAACAGAATATCAGTGTGCGGGTTGTCCGTCTAATTAAATATACTTGGTGTAGGTACCTGCCCATGTGCTTTTCAACTGGGCGGTCGTCTCTTCCTCACTTCAACCTACTCAACAACCATCCTCACGACTTAACACGAAGAAGAAAGTCGCATCGCCTCGCTCGTCATTGCCGGTTCTCTAAAAGATCCCCAAATCTTTAGAAAATGGAATAAAGATAAGATGCGGCATCCGCACCCTTCATGATGGCACGTACACTCCCATGGCAGCGCATCAGAACCAGCCCACCGCTCGCGACCATGTCGACGACTCCCGTCCGTCATCAGCGAGAGGGACGCAGTGGGCCTGATCCCAACGGCCTAGTAGCATCAACCCCCGCACCGCGTAAGCAGACGCGCAGACTGGCCCCCGAGTCCTCATTAGCGTCGTCGTCGCCGCCTCCGGAGCCGCTCGCCGAGAGGTGAGTCTTATCGTACCTCGCCCCGCCCACCACCGCGCCGTCGCTACACGTCTGGGAGCCTCGCTAACCGGCGCCCGGGTCTCCCCGGGTCTCCCCAGTCCCATGCTGGCCGGCCTCGAGCGCGACGACCGCTTCCGCATGGTCGAGGACGAGCTGCTCGCCACGGCGCGGCTCTTCACGGCGCACCTGCACGCGGCGGAGTACGCGCGGCTCAAGGCCGCTGCGTCGGAGCGCCCCATCCGCGGCATCGCGCGGCCCGTCGTCGGCCGCGCGACGAACGCGGCGAAGTGGAAGCTCGGGCGGCGCGCGCGCCTCGAGCGAGAAGCACAGGTCGAGGACGGAAGGGAGGCTCGGCGAGGCGATGCGCGGGGCTCGACCTCGCTGCTCGGGCTCATGGAGGGCCCGCAGCCGCAGGGCGCGCGGCTGGGCGGCTTGGATGCGGCGGCGATGGCGCCGCGAGCGACGACGCGCGCGGCAGCCGGGTTTGAGGCGCCGTGGGCGGGAGACCGGAGCGCTGCTGTGCACGGGCAGCGGGACGGGCTTTTTGGGAGCAGCAAGGGCGTGCGCAAGCGGGCCTGGGACGAAGACGAGGAGACCGAGAGCGACGGCGGAGATGACGAACTAGATGCTACCGCTCCGAGCAGGCCAACTAGCAACGTGCTACCGGCAACGACTGCATCTCAGCCACTGGCGCAATCAAAGCCCGCTCCAGCCGTGGACGGGGAGAACAAGAAGTCGCGCGGCTTGGCGGTAGATGCCCGCTCTACGACCAAGGTGACGGGGTCTAAGGCTACGGAGGATGGGGCGGGGTCGTCGGGTGATTCGGACGATGATCTCCTAAGCCGCGTCAAGCGGCGGCAGGAAGACCGGCAGCGCATGCGGGAGCAGCGTAAGAGATTAATGGCTAGCAAGCCTCGGTCCGAACAGGCGGTGGATGATATTATCCCGGGTTTTTTATGATACACATCATACTCCACACCCCCAAACCCCCTTTTCCGCGCATCACCTCTTTTTCCACTCTATACACAGACAACGCTTAGGTACTATATAAAACACGCTTCACGCATCGAAACCACCCCCACCCTTTGCGCCTTTCCCGCGCCTACGACGACGGCTCGTAGGGGGTCTGGAAGGGCTTCTCGGCCTGGGGCGTGATGCGGGCGAGGTGGCGGCGCTGGCCGCTCTTCCAGTCGAGCAGGGCCGAGTGCTGCGTCACGCGGTTGTCCCACACGACGACGGTGCCCTCCTCCCACTTGACGCGGGCCTGGAAGTCGGCGCCGTACGCTAGGTGGTCGTACAGGAACTTGAGGATCGCTTCCGACTCCTCCTTCTTAAGGCCCACGATATCGCGGGTGACTGCGCGGCGTCGAGTCAGCTCGGACACATGTGAGGAGGAGAGGAGAGGAAAAGCTTACACTGGGGGTTTATGAAGAGGGCCTTCTCGCCGGTGGCCGGGTGCGTACGGACGATGGGGTGAGCGTTGACGACAGGCTCGCGGCGGCGGATGCTGCCCCGGGCGCTGGACGCGTTGGCCTGCTCGACGCCGGAGTGGGTGGCCTCGAGGCCGTGGAGGCGCTCCTGGAAAAGAGGGCTGAGGCGGCGGTAGGCCTCGACGGCGTCGACGAAGAGGGTGTCGCCGCCGGTCTCGGGCTTGTCGAGGATGTAGAGGAAGGTGGTTCCGGGGGGCTGGCGCTCGTACGAGACGTCAGAGTGCCAGGCGACGGAACTCGTACGGTTCTCGAAGAAGACCTCGGCGCCGCGGTCGCCCTCGCCGCGGTGCACCAGGTGGATCTCGGGGTGGCCCTCGGGCGAGCCCGAGGTGGGGTGGATGTGGTGGCGGCCGAAATAGCCTCCGAACTCTAGCGCGTCGGCGATGGGTAGGTCGGCGAGGTCCTGGTCACGGAAGGCGACGACCTTGCGCTCGGCGACGAAGCGCGCCAGCTGGTCCTTACCGGCGTTACTGAGGGAGCTCAGCTGCACACCGCGGATCTCGGTGCCGATGGTCGGGGTCAGGTGCGTGACGGCGACGCCGTCGGCGAGCAGCTCCGGGTACGAGGTGTCGGCATCCTTGCCGTGCTCGTAGTGCTCGAACGGCTCGAGCGGCGGGTACTTCTGCTCGGGGTTCCACGTCGGCAGGTAGTTCGGGTACTACGGGGGGCGGGTCGTCAGCATCTGGCAAGCGGTTCATCGATCGACTAGCTAGCCGGCCGAATTCTTTTTTTTTTTTTTTGACAGTCTTACCTTAGCCGCCTTAAGGCCCGTCTTGCCCTCCTCGTCCTCCTTCGAGTACTTGTACGGGGCGAGCTCCTTGTACGGCCCGGTGAGGCTAGCGGTCTTATAGTTCTGCGTGAGAGTAGCCGCAGGTGCGGTCTCGGTGGTGGTAGTCAAAATCGCGGCGGGGGCCATGGTGCTTGGTTAACACGCAAGGAGTTACGTTACTTAGGAGGGAGGGCGAGAAAAGGGGTTGACGACGAATGGGGATAGAGAGAGACGGCGACGGGTTCTGGGTATAAATAGAGTACCACTCTAGGCTATCGCTTACTCAACGTCGCGGGGAGGAGTTGGGGAGCATATATGCAGGTTTATATACGCACTCACGCCGCGTTACGGTCCCCGTCAAACATGACCAGCTCATCCGGCACCTCATGCACGAAGATACACAGACACGCAGACACATGCACGCATAGGTCGACAGGAAGACAATCTCGAACTAGCAACACTGATGTGCGAGCAAGGACCTTATCACGCAACCCTCTGCCGCTCCAATAGGAGGCAGCAGATTCCTTGACCTGTACAGCCGCCCATCGCATATCGGGACTAATAACGGGGGGACGTGATGGTGCGCTGCGCCCTCTCCAATCCGCAGTGGAAGACGGGTGCGGGAGAGGACAAGGAGGGGGAGGGGAGGAGGGAAAAAAGAAAAGAGAAGACGGAGTAACGACCCCGCGCCGGTGGTTCGGCTGGTCCTTCCCGCAGTATGGATGTTGCTATCGCGGAGTTGGATCACGTCATTGCCGCCCAGCGCTCGTCACCAACTGCAACCACGACCAACTTCGATGCGCCGCTGCCCCGGCTTTCACCACTCCCGCTATCATGGAGCAATCGCGGATTAGTCACCCTAGTGCTCTCGGGCCTCACCCGGGTTCCTGGTCGCGCGCCGCCACGTCCCCTTCTCTCTCGTCTTCCCCCCCTCCGCTGCAATAAATAGGTACCTACCTAGCAGTCTGCCTGTCTGCCTCCTCTCCTCCTCCCGCGCGCAGATATTGGACGGACACTCTGCTGCTGCTATCACCACCGCTACTACCACAGCCGGTACCGTCCCCCTATCGATTTCTTTGTTGCCGCCGCCCCCCTTCCAGCTCGACACCGACTGCATTGCGCCCCCATCCCCACGTGCGAATGACAACCCCGTCGATGGGGACGGCCGTGAACAGGCATGTCCCTCTGCCCAGCTACCATCTTAGCGAGCCCCGACAAGCGGCGTGGCCCTCGGCAACCCCCCGTCCCTATTCGCTGACGATGATGGCATCGCCTCTTTTGCCTATGCCGCCCCTCCGATAGGACTGGACCTAGTCAGGTGCAGAGATAACTACCTCATAGTCGAGTGCCGAGATCGTCGTTACACGGAAATCCCAGCCAGCGTGACCGGTTGGTTGGTCAGATCGGTTAAGGAGCCCTCGTCCTGGCTGCGTTGCCATCTGCCCTCCCCTCCCTCTTCGCCCCTGCTGGCCTATCCGCTATACTATAGGCCTGAAGACTCGCCCACGTCGACGGGCCGCAACTGGTAGCTACCCTACGTCTTATCTGCCCGAGGGTGCGCAGCAGATACTACCCATCCGTGCGCTGCAAGTACCGTTAGAGCCACCCAGCGGGCGATCGAACCACGTCGACATCGGCGCCAAATATGCGACCGTAGTCGGCGCGCCGCCCGTCCTCGACCTCCGATCTCCGTCGGAGACCACCGCGTCGTAGCTCGGGAGGAGGGGTGCGTGTATGTGTGCACGTCATCGCGTGGCTCGCCTGGTGCGAACCGCGGTATCTCGCGATCGACGGGCGTGAGGTGTGGAGCCGCGCCATTTCAACGCCTTGAAGTAGCCGAATCTCCTCTAGTCTACACCTGTCTGGGATTACCAATCCTGGTTATAGCATCCAACGTAATTCTAGTCCGCAGTCAATCTCTCTATTGCACCGCGAGAACTGGAGGATGAGCAACTTGTGCACGCCTACCTCCGTGTTAGACGTACCACCCCTTTCATATTTACACCGTAAACCTCTATCTCTCTTAGTACGAACTCGTATTCATACACCAAAGCCGACGCTGGTGTATTAGACGCCGGGGTTAGCAGAGCGAGACACGTAAGATGAGGACATAGAAGATAAGGGTACTGCAAGAGGAACGAGTACCGAACAGTCCATGAACGAGCGAGGACGCGAGCCAGGGGGGTAGACAATCAGTGCGCTCGCACAGAAAAGTCCCTGTGCTAACCCTCGTACACATCTCACTCTGGTCTAGTCTCACCTCGTACAGGCAGCCTAGCGACGAGGGAGGGCATATAACGCCTACTACCTACTCTCCGATAATGCCTAACCTACGAGAAACTCCTAGGGAAAGACAGGGGGCGGTTGGTCGCAAACGTACACTGCATCTAACCTGAGCAACCTATATAGCAGATATGTGCACAGGTACGGCTTGGAAGACGACGAGTTTTATGATAGACAGGTGACAACATCAGGGGCCATGGGAAAAACCGAATGTGAGCGTCTCTCGCTTTCCAATGTCTAGTCGATGTCGTCTGCAACTATTTATAAATTTTTTCTTCCCCCTACGGATTATATTAACCGTGGGAGTCTCCGGAGTCTGTAGGATTTTGTAGCCTACGTGTTAACTCCTACCTATATATATATCACCGTCGCTGGATCGAATGCCTTTTCAAGCCCGGTAAGCCTTCAACATCGGAGAGACAGTATACCGAAGATATTACGATGCGTAGTATGGAGTTGTTCTAGTTCCAAATAGAAACTAATGTGGTGCCCACCAACGTTGCGGGTGCCCACCTACCAACGGCCCGTAGTTTGTAGCAACTTCCATAGGATCCATGACGGCGACCCTGATTAGGTAGGAAGACGGGAGGGTGACGAGGACCCCGTCGTCAAGTTGTGGTCTCGACATCTCGAACTCACGGTGAAACTTCTCCCCCGCCTGGAAACTTTACGCCTCCCTTCTCTCAAAGCTTTTGAGGTATGCGTCTCGTCAGCTGCTGGGGGGTGGCGTCTGTACCTACGGCCGATAGAGCTGCTAATACCTATGGACAGTCGTTCCTCACCTATACTTACCTACCTATCTAGAAGTACTACTCGGAGTACGCCCAAGGTAGTGTGTGTCTAGGCACTTACAAACACTCGACGACCCTCGAGAGACGGCGATGGCTAGTAACGAGATCTCGCGGAGTGAATACGCGCATGTTTCCCTCAAGGCGGAGCATTCACCGGCAGCTACCAAACCCTTCACAACGACGGACCCAGAGTTACCTAGGACACCGGGACGAGGCGGGAAGTTACCCAATGTGAAAGCTACGGACGTCTGCCGACGACATCACCTCTTTCGATTCTGGCCTTGAGAAATTGGGTCCATACTGCTGGCCTGTGGCCTCGTGGCCGCGGCATATGTCCTGCTGTCCCACCTCGACGGCTAGCAAGCACCCGGGGAGCCGCTTAGCATCAAGCTCAAACGCCTCGCTGCCCCTGGCCCACTTCGCCCCCAGAGAGGTTCCTATCATTGAATTGGAGCCAGCTCGTACGAGGTGCAGGTAGATATGAAGGGCACCACGGTCAACGCGATCGTCGCCTCGAGGAGGCGAGGTAGAGCCAGCGCATTCGGAATAGCTGCTGTAGTTATAATGAGAACGAGAATGATGAGGACTCGATATACTGCGATGCATTGTTATGACTGTACCGGTTATATGTCGGAAACGGGGATGTATCTCTATCGTGCATGCAGTAAGCTATAATTCTTAGATAAGCACCCTGGCTGCAGATTACTGCTTATCAATCGAGGGGCAGCATCCGGTACTTACTTATCTTCAACTTTTTATTTCATCACCACTCCCACTTCTGCCACCCCACTATCCATACATCACTACATCACTTGGGAATAGCATATCATCGTCATCCACTCCAAGATTCTCCCCAACCCACCCGGATAAACCGTCACGATGTCGATGGATATAGACATAGATGCCCCATTGTCAATAGCGCCCGTGCAACAGGTTGGCGGCCCGGCGACTATTTTCTGCTGCGACTGCGGCGCCCCCATCGACGGCACCGTAGCCATCGACGCCAAGTGCTACGACTGCTTCAAGCTCACCAAGGACATCTCCCAGGGCATCCAGCGCGAAGCCACCCTCCACACATGTCGAGATTGCGACCGCTGGCTTCAACCCCCGTCCAGCTGGGTAACCGCCCAACCCGAATCCCGCGAGCTGCTCGCCCTGTGCCTGCGGAAGCTGAGCCTCAACCGAACAAGAATCATCGACGCCAGCTTCATATGGACGGAACCGCACTCGCGGCGGGTAAGAGTCAAATTGGTGATACAGGCCGCTGTCGCCGATGACCGGGTTATGCAACAAGCGCTGGAGGTGGTGTACGTCGTCGCGTATCAGCAGTGCCCGGAGTGCGCAAAGTCGTATACGGCGAACGTATGGAGAGCGAACGTGCAAGTTCGGCAAAAGGTGCTCCACAAGAGGACATTCCTGTACCTCGAACAGCTCATACTCAAGCATGGCGCCCACCGCGAGACCATTAATATCAAAGAAGCCAAAGACGGCATAGACTTCTTCTTTTCGGCGAGGAACCAGGCCGAGAAGTTCGTCGACTTTCTCAATTCGGTGGTCCCCGTGCGCGTCAAGAAGTCCCAGGAGCTCATCTCGCAGGACACCCACACCTCAAAAAAATCGTACAAGTTCACCTTCTCGGTAGAGCTGATACCGGTATGCAAGGACGACCTCGTCGCGCTCCCGATCCCGCTGGCCAAGCAGGTCGGGAGCATATCGCCGCTCGCCATCTGCTACCGGATCGGCACGTCGATCAACCTGCTCGACCCCAACACGCTGCAGACGGCGGAGATCAGCGCGCCGGTGTACTGGCGAGCGCCGTTCACGTCGCTGGCCGACTCGAAGGACCTGGTCGAGTTCGTGGTGATGGACTGCGAGCCCGTGGGGCCGTCCAAGGGGAAGTGGATCGTGGGGGAGGTGCAGGTGGCGCGGGCGGCCGACCTGGGGGTCAACGACCAGACGTACTTCGCGCGGACGCACCTGGGGGGGCTGCTGCGGGCGGGGGACTTCGTGCTGGGGTACATGCTGACGGGGACGAACTTCAACAACCCGGAGCTGGAGGCGCTGGAGGAGTCGCACACGTACGCGTCGCGGATCCCGGACGTGGTGATAGTGAAGAAGCACTACCCGGAGCAGCGGCGGCGGCGGCACGGGCGGGGGCGGCAGTGGAAGCTGAAGCGGATGGCGCGCGACGAGGGCGAGATGCTGCCGCGGAAGCAGGACCAGGAGCGGGCCGACCGCGAGTTCGAGCTGTTCCTGCGCGACATCGAGGAGGACGCCGAGTTCCGCGCCGGCGTCCAGCTGTACAAGAAGCCGCGGCAGCCGGAGGCGCGCGAGCCGAAGCAGGCGGACGAGATGTCGGTGGCTACGGAGGAGGACGGGGGGAGTGGTGGCGACGGCGACGACGACGACATCCCGCGCGTCGACATGGACGAGCTGCTCGACGACTTCGACGAGCTCACGATGGAAGAGCGTTAGGGCTGTGGGTGTGGGTGTATATGTGGATGGAGTTTTTATCGCGAGGGAGGGAGAGGAAAAAAAAAGAAAGGGAAGAGGGGAAAGCAGAAAAGTTCTTCGGTAACATACATGGCTTGGCAGGGCATAGTATCAAGGCGCAGCGTCGAGGGGAGAAAATATGACGAGTGACGAACATCGCCGTCGCCGTGTGGGGTCATGGATGCTGGGATATCGGTTCAGGGACGCGTCTACCAACCTACCTTGCCTAGTTCCAGGCTCTAAAGGGTTATTGAGAGAGGGGGTGTCGGGATGAAAATATAGTGCTAGGCCCTTACGCAGAGTATGTAGGGAGGTACCTAGGCAGTATCGAATCTACCATACAGGGAGGGGGGGGTCTATTGATACTATGTCAGCAACCCTTTCTATGACTGGACATAGTGTCTGCCTCGTGATAAGAAGGAGTTAAACTCTAGGCTGACATTATTACCATTTCCCGACATAGTTACCATCCGGATATAATGTCTTTATTTTAAAAAAAGGTACATTCTATAGGATTACCCGGTTACCTCTATGTTACTAAGTACGTACCTTTGTACCTTTGTATCTTTTACGTCTGTTACCTACCTCCTAACCTCCTACCTACCTACCTACCTACTTCTTCCATAGGTTCGAAGATAGGTTCGAAGATAGGTAGATAGATTCCACGCGCGAACTAGCTCCTATAGGTTCGAAGATAGATAGATTCCACGCGCGCGAACTAGCTTCCATAGGTTCGAAGATAGATTCGAAGATAGATAGATAGATTCTACGTACGCGAACTGGCTCCTATAGGTTCGCAGATAGGTTCGTAGATAGGTTCGAAGATAGATAGATTCTACGCGCGAACTAGCTCCCATAGGTTCGAAGATAGATAGATTCCATACGCCTGAACTAGCTCTCATAGGTTCGAAGATAGGTTTAAAGATAGATAGATAGATTCTACGCGCGAACTAGCTCTTACAGGTTCGAAGATAGGTTTGAAGATAGATAGATAGATTCCACGCGCGAACTAGCTCCTAAAGGTTCGAAGATAAATAGATTCCATACGCCTAAACTAGCTCTTATAGGTTTAAAGATAGATAGATAGATTCCACGCACGCGAACTGGCTCCTATAGGTTCGCAGATAGGTTTGTAGATAGGTTCGCAGATAGGTTCGTAGATAGATTCGCAAATAGGTTCGAAGATAGATAAATTCCACACGCGAACTAGCTCCCATAGGTTCGAAGATAGTGAACAGGAGCAGCGTGGGCACGCTGTGATGGAGGCACGAAATAAGGACTGCCTAACTACTAATAACTGGCCTAGTACCGATCAACCTAAGATTACAGCTGAAAATAGCTATAATCGGTTAATCGGCTAGCTAAAAACGGTAGCTGGGAAAGGAAAAACTAGAAAAGGGTAATCGAGGAAGGCTAGAAAGGCATGGTAAAAAACGAATGAATGGCTATAGGTCGTAATATCTATAGGTTTAAGTTTAGCTAATGAAAATATAAGTACGCGACCTATATAAATATATATCGAAAAGGCTACGTAGCCTAGATCTACCGCACTACTATAGCCTCCCTAGTTTAATTAATCCCTAAGGAGTAATTAAACTCCTAATAGTAATAGGTACGGTAGCTCTCGTTTCCTATTAATCCTAAATAACCTAATCCCGATTAATCTTAATTAATTAAAAGCTAGCTAGTTTAATTAAAGGCTAATAGGATAAGTTAGGAAGAAATAGGTCTTTAACTAGGAGCGATTATAATAGTAATAAGTAGGTAGTAGGGTGGGTAACTATAACCGTATCTAACTATACCTAATCCTGATTAATCCTAAACCTATTTAATCGTTACTAACTAAGAGCTAAGCTAGTTTAATTAACGATTAATAAGAAATAGGAAAGATCTGATAATAAGAACTAGGCTAGCGGAGCTATAACCTATAAACTAACCTAATTAACCTATTCCTAATTAACCCTAATTAACTAGGAGCGAGCTAGGTTCATTAGGGCCATTAAGAAATAACAGGGATTAATAGTTAGGAAATAGGAACTATAACGGGTAGGTAAAATAAGCGTAGCTCCCGTAAGAAACGAAAGAAATAATTCCATACGATGTAACGTAATCCCGTCCTTCTCGTTTATAACTGTTGCCGATCCTTTTCAACTAATTTCTAATCTTATAAACTAATTGATATATCCTGTTTATGTCCGATTATTTCCGTTTCTAGCTGTTATTCGTATGACCGTTCTTATATTCGTCTGGTAGTATCTACCGGGCTTCCTTTGATCCTCGATTCCTTTCTTGTACGTAGTTTTAGGGGCTCTGGCTCTTCCTACTAATTATATATCGGTAAGGGCGATAAGAGGGGTCTCTAGGCGTTACTATTCCTATGGTTATTCTTAATCTTCTAGGCTATCTTATTTAATATCTCATTTATTCCGTATCGCGGTATCGTTTATATGGGTCTTTTAGGCTGATCGGTAGGTTCCCCGATTAGGTTCGTAGGTATTAAGGAGGAGTAGAGCGTACGCGATACTAGAGACCCGGATAGGTTCACTCGAAAGTATACTCTATCGAAGACTATAGTACGTACGATAGTCTAAGATAGATAAAACTAGTATCGCTATACTAATCGAGAGGCAAGGAATCTAATATAGTTATCGTATCTTAGCTATGTTCCTTAGTCGTAGAGATATAGTAATCGCTAACCCGAAGGCATAAAAGGTAAGGAGAGAAAAGGGGTAAAATGTAAAAGTTACTTATTCGGCTATAGCGGTACGACGAAGTAACTTAAGCGCCTATAACTAAAATAGATATATTAATCGGAGAACGACGAATCTAATAATAAAAACGAATCTTTAATTAAGGTAAAAATAATAAAGATAATAATTTAACTAGTGTAGTGGTGCGGTAGATCTAGGCTACGTAGCCTTTTCGATGTATATTTATATGGGTCGCGTACTTATATTTTCATAAGCCAGACTTAGACCTATAGATATTACGACCTATAGCTATTCATTCGTTTCTTGCTATGCCTTTCTAGCCATCCTCGTCTTTACCTTTCCAGTCCCTTTCCTAGCTGCCGTTTTCAGCTGGCCGATTAACCGATTACAGCTGTTTATAGCTATAATCTAGGGTTGATCGGCACTGGGCCAGTTATTGGTAGTTAGGTAGCCGTTTCGTGCCTCCGTCAGCGTGCCTACGCTGCTCCTGTTTAGTAGCGACCATCCAGTAGCTCGTCCTTACCTCAGCCTTAGGAGCGACCTTTTAATCGACCGTTTTATAGTTAATAGGTTTAGGATACGACGATTAGGAGATTCCCTGTTTTTTAATTAATTAGGAGCTATTTTCGTAGCTCCAGAGCCGTTTTCGTGGCTTTTGGTCTGAATTTTCAGGTCATAGCTTCGCAGCCTTTTCAGGTTAGGATTAACGGAAGGGCAGATAACCATAGCGACCATCAACAACCACGCCCTCCCATCAGCTTTTAATCAGCTTACCTAAAAGCTCGTTCGCCGATTAGTAAATCTATCCTATTCTCGTTTCTTAGTTGTTTCTTTTAAAGGAGCTATGCCCGTTTTTACCCGGTTTTGCCTCCGTCGTTTTTCAAGTGCCTAGATGGTAGTTTTCGCCCTTAGTTAATCTAACTAAGTTACCGCTACTACCCCCTTTTTATAACCTCGTACGCGCTTAAAGATATCCGTTCTTTACCGATTAGTTTATTTTAATTATAAGAGGCTTGCCATCCGATCGCCCTTGTTTTATCCCTGCCAGCTAGTTACGGTACCTGGGGAGGTTTCTCCTCTCTAACCGATAGGTGCTACGATGCCCTTATAATAAGATACCGACATACCTTATACCTACGAACCTAATCGGGACCTACCGATCAGCGCGAAAGACCTATATAAACGATACCGATACAAACGAATTAAGTAGATATTAAATAAGATAGCCTAGAAAAAAAAAACAGTTATAAGTTATAGTCGGAAATAGCTATAATAATGCCCGGAGACCCTTCTTATCGCCCTTACCGATATATAATTAATAGGAAGAGCCTAGAGAGCCCCTAGAACCACGTATAAGGGAGGGATCGAGGGTTAAGGGAAGCCCGGTAGATACTACCGGACGAATATAAGAACGGTTACTAGAAACGAGTTACAGAAATAGTCGGGCATGAATAGGATATATTAGTTAGTTTATAGGATTAGGAATTAATTAAAAAGGATCGGTAAAAGATAGCTATGGACGAGAAGGACGGAGATTACGTTATATCGTATGGGATTATTTCTTTATTTCTCACGGGAGCTACGCTTATTTTACCTACCCGTTATAGTTCTTATTTTCCGATTAATCCCTATTATTTCTTAATAGCCCTAATAAACCTGGCTCGCTCCTAGTTAATTAGGGTTAATTAGGAATAGGTTAATTAGGTTAGTTTATAGGTTATAGCTCCGCCAGCCTAGTTATTCTTATTATTAGATCTTTCCTATTTCCTATTAATCGTTAATTGAACTAGCTTAGCTCCTAGTTAGCAGCGATTAAACAGGTTTAGGATTAATCAGGTTTAGGTTTAGGATCAGGCACGGCTGTAGTCAGTTACCCACTCCACCACCCACTTATTACTGTTGCAATCGCCTAGTTAACCTATTTCCTAACTTATCCTGTTAGCCTTTAATTAAACTGGCTAGCTTTCGGTTAATTAGGGTTAATTAGGATTAGGTTAATTAGGTTTAACAGGGACGAGAGCCACCGCACCTATTATATTAGGAGTTTAATTACTCCTTACGGATTAATTAAACTAGGAAGGCTGTAGTAGTACGGTAGATCTAAGCTACGTAGCCTTTTCGATGTATATTTATATAGGTCGCGCACTTATATTTTCATTAGCCAGACTTAAACCTATAGATATTAGGACCTATAGCTATTCACTCGTTTCTTGCCATGCCTTTCTAGCCATCCTCGTCTTTGCCTTTCCAGTCCCTTTCCCAGCTGCCGTTTTCAGCTAGCCGATTAACCGATTACAGCTATTTACAGCTGTAATCTAAGGTTAATCGGTACTGGGCCAGTTGTTGGCAGTTGGGTAGCCGTTTCGTGCCTCCGTTAGCGTGCCCACGCTGCTCCTGTTCACTAGGTAATAATTTAAATAATAAGTATAGTATATCCCGTACTTACGGGAGCTATAGTTATTCTATATAGGTATAAGGCCTATCGTAACGTATTACGTAATATATTAAAAGGATATATCTTACCGTATTATTATAGCCTCCTTAATTTAATTATACCGTAAGGGATAATTAAATTAAAAAGGGTAGTACGGTATATTCTGATTAATATCTCCCCTTAAAAACTACTACGAAACTTTATTCTACCGGCTATTATTTAATTATTATCGTCGTGCCTTTAGCTTTTCGTTTAATATTATAAGGAGGCCCTTTTAT